TCCCTACACAACTGTCCTTGTCAGACACTCCTTCCTACACAACTGTCCTTGTCAGACCCTCCTCCCTACACAACTGTCCTTGTCAGACCCTCCTCCCTACACAACTGTCCTTGTCAGACCCTCCTCCCTACACAACTGTCCTTGTCAGACCCTCCTCCCTACACAACTGTCCTTGTCAGACCCTCCTCCCTACACAACTGTCCTTGTCAGACACTCCTTCCTACACAACTGTCCTTGTCAGACCCACCGTTCTACATAGCCGATAAGGGGAATCTACGCCGTAAAAATTCAGAGCCAACACCACACCGGGAGCGAACCGGGAACCTCCAGGGCAGCGGGTCAGCGTCTCACTCACGCATTTGCTATAACTACTCCCCCCATGTCGCTTGCACGAAATGTTCAACAAAATTTTTATGAGCGAAAGCGACATGTAAAACATATTCACGCCTCAATTATGTATGACAGGAATATGGTGATAAAAGTGTTGGCGAAATGTTGAATAATAGAAATATTACGTTCTGTTTTGATTTCAATAATTCGTTTGCCGGACGGCCCAATGTATTTGTTAAGGCCAGCTCAATTTTCGTCAAGGTAGCTGAGATGTAAAAAAGGTTAGGGCACGTGATTGTTGGCGAGATTTTAGGTTAGGGTTTGGGTAAGCATTGGGGCTAGGTTCAGGTTTAGGGTTGGGATTAGCCCTAGCCCTGTTTATATCTCGTGACCTATGACCAAACTTGAAGTTGGTCATATCAAAAAGATCTAACCGTCCAATACATCGTGCAATTTCACACCAAGTTTCTAGTTTGGGTCACTATACACACTGATCAGCAGTGAATATTCGCTAGGCCGCTGGGAGCAAATTCTTGTGAACGAGAAGACCAGAAATGGAAGTCAATGGGACAGAATGTCGAGATCAGCTTGTCAATTCCTTCTGTTGACAGATTTGCACAGTCTGTCGCCACACGACCCACTCACTAGTGGTACTACTAACTGGGCGGTTCTCGAAGGAGTGGAAGAATGATGTCATATGGAATCGAGCGCCGTGACTATGATAGTGATGAGATAGTATAAGACAGTGGAAGAATGATGTCATAATAGAATTGATAGATAGGGTCGAAAGGGACTGATACCATGTCCGTTCACAATTTCCCCTGTAGCAACCACACACTTCATTTCATCTGTAGAAAGATATGGTATAAGGGAGGTAATCCATGTTAATAAAACAAATTTGGCGAGAACTACCTGTCGAACGTTGGCTGAACACTCCAAGTCAAAGAGAGAGAGAAATGTGGTTTAACGTCCACTCGACACAAACTAGGTCATTTCTGGACTAACACATGGTTCAATTTTATTTTAATAATTCGCTTGCGCGTAGGGGTCTTTAGCAGTGGGAGGAAACCGGAGGACCCGGAGATAACCATGAGGTTGGACAGGCGACCCTACTCCTTGCCACGTACAACCGGGTAATCAAAACCCAGCCAGTTGGTTGACTCAGTGACCGTATGATACAGCACGCACGTGCTAACCACTCGACCGACCCCCCCCCCCTCTCCATGTCAATCTTTCTAACTGGGATTGTTTGGTTTCATTGGATGTTTTGCTACTGACGCACGAGGTCGCAAAAAAGTGTTGCTTTTTTCAGTGTGATGAACAAATAATAATATAAAATAATAAAACAGATGAAAACGTCGAATCAGTCTGATTAAAACACAGATCCTATTTCGTTTCTTTTTTATAATTTAAAATTTCGTTTTACTTGTCTTTCCTACGCTAGGATCTGGAAGAGTTGTTTTGTTATATAACCGGCCGCATTTTGGTTGAAGTGAGGGATAAGCCAATGGAACGGTCTGTTACGGCGAGTTCTTGGCGTGCCATGCACGGAACTGTGGGTAAATCACTAGAAACGTCACCGCTGATTGATTAATCCATGTCTGGCGTCATAGAGTCAAAAGCCGCTCCTCGTGCGACCCCTGACACGACCTTCGAAACAACTTGTCAGATCTTCATGCAGCGTTGGCCATCGAAAGTATAAAAAAAACGAAACGAAATATAGATCTGTATTTTAATCAGATTGGCGTTGAATTTATGAAGCTGTACGCTCCTATATTACAACTACAGTGAAAGTTTCAGAGAAAGCGGGGTTTGGATGGCTGAATGGTTAGCGTGCGCGTGTTGTATCATAAAGTATGTCATTGAGTCGACTGGCGTGGTTTCGAATCCCCGGTTGTACCTGACAAGAAGTAGGGTCGCCTGTCCAACCTCGTGGGTTTTCTCCGGGTCCTCCGGTTTCTTCCCACTGCTAAAGACCCCTATGCGCAAGCGAATTATTGAAATAAAATTAAAAATCATATGTTAGTCCCGAAATGACCTAGTTTGTGTCGGGTGGACGTTAAACCCCATTTCTCTCTCTCTTCAGAGAAAGTAGTAATACAGGTTTTATAATGTTATATTACCAGTATGTATATAAAGGTGTTTCAGAGAAGGTAGTAATAAACGTTTTATGAGCGTGTCGCGAGAAAACCATGCAGAACGTGCTAAGGCTTCAATCACAGATTTTGACCAAATTTGGTTTATAAGTTGGGATAGTCCCAAAACCCATAAATGTGCAATATTAGATAAATCTTTCAATTCCTGACTGAGAAAATTGAAAAAAAAAAAACATTTTTCATGTGGTGAAATTGACAAAATCTGTCTTTTCTCAAATATCAAGTTTGGCAAGTCCTTACACCTTTACTATACGTAGCAGAAAGACCAAACTCACACAGTTTGTAGATGACTCAGTGCTGTTACCACAATATTAACTTCAGACGATTCTGGCGAACGAGATCTGTATACGGACTGGATATCAAAGCCTGGTTAAATTCCCCATTTTTCGTCACCCAAAGTTTGACGCCCTATAGCTACTTCTTTCATGGGGTGGGTTTAAAAAAGTTATGCTCACGTGAACAAGCAACCCCCCAACATTTGATACAAAAAATAAAAATGATCGGAATCGAATTGACAAAAACTAGGTAAAGGAAACAATAACCCATGAAATTAATCTGTAATTTCCCTATTTTGGAGATAATTAACCGTAGTAGATAAAAAAAACCCCTAACAATTTATTTTCCATTTCATTCATATGGTGTTTACTACCAGCCATAAAATACATTAGTATCTGTTTTATAAAAAATATCTTGAAAAAAAAATACTTTCAAAGGCCTGTAATCGTTCATGGCTCATCTGGCGTCGACGGGAATTGGCTTCCGCAGTTGTCCACGACCTTCCATTGGAGTATCGACGTGCTCAATCTTAACAAAACATATCCATTACTCTCAAATAGACATTATTTTAAATAAAATAATCCAACGAAAATGACAAATTCACCTAAAAGTGAGATTCGAACCACCAACCGCACGACTTCCCCCGACCCACCCGCTCACCGAGTTGCTTGTCCCAGGGCCCCAAGGTCCATGTGGGCCCTGTTCTGGGGGTTTGCCTAGGGCCTCTCTCTTATTCTAAATCCGGCCCTGAAGGTGCAGCTGACCGTGCCCGAGAGCCGTAGCTACCATACTACACTGTTCAATGTCACCCACTTCGACGCAAGGATTCGTGGCCGTTAATATTTAAGCTTCCACATTTCTGTATTGTAGAAATCAGTGGATTTGAAAAAATGAATAGTGGAAACATGCTCTGAAATTAAACATTTTGTAGCCATTTTCGGTAACCTGTTTGAAAATGAAATCTTAAAGAGACAATACAACAAATATGTTAAAGGGACAATACGACAATACCAAATATACAATAAATACAAATACACACTTATATAGAGTACAACATGGTACAAATAATGGCTATGGATATGATGAAAACGTATAAAAGTCACAAATTTTATTTCTCTAATTAAATTTGCAAAAAAATGTATCACAAAAGCTTATTTTTAGCACTTTTCAATAAGCTGTATATTTTAAGTATGTTGCATTCCGGTCATTTTTTTACACCTATGGATACTATGTGCTTAGCACTTCAAAACCATCCAAAGAAATTCTACTTGCGACCATGACAGTTACAGTATATCTTTTTCTGCACTATAAGGACAATGTGAATTTGGTACCCTAAAACAAGTCCACACAAAATAAGTATGTACTGATTTTTTTTTTTTCAAATTAGTGTTGGGTGGAAGTTGACCACCTGCTTTATCAGACAGGCTCAAAATTAGAAGGTTGCTATTCCACCATAGAATGCAGTCTGTGCTTAAAAAAGGGTGATAAATACACATGTGAAAATCGCAATTTTACCCATAAAATGAATAATTCCTGTACAGTCCTTTAGAGCGACATCAGACTGTAACCACTTCAGCATGTCACTTCTTGCCCCTAGGGGGTGTCATACCATAAGTTTGATCAAAAACTTCCGACCCCTCATCTTGGCACTTTTTGCATTACACTCTTATAACGTTATATTACCGGTGTTATATTATTTATGATTTGATGATCATGTAGAAAGTTGTGAGTCATTTGTCAGATTTGGTGAAACCCCAAGACTTGACATGGCATTACATCGACCATGCGTCCAAGGATTTATTTGGTTGCAAATTGTTTAAAGCTTTGTGAAAGGCTTGTTTCTTGCCTTCAGATTTTAAGAGGTCAAGTTTAAGATGAGTTATCTCCCATCTAACTAGAAACAGACATGTAACAATTCTATGTAATACAATTAGAGTTTATTGCTGAGAATCTTAGTTGAAAGGTGACTCAGTAACGAACAATAATTATATTACATAGAATTACGTCCTCAGACCTGGATTAAACAGGGGTGGGGGTCCTGGCAGGGTACAGTGCCTAGTTGGGATGTACGTTAAAGACCCCTGGAATTCAATGACGAGTAGGTAGACACACCGCTGTCCTGGCCAAACTGAACGTCCTTATTTGCCCAGTTGGTGAAGAAAGGAACAGTGCTAAACTCCCATTTCATTTTGATATGCAAACGGTTAAGATATTATTCATAAACTGAGTAGTTATTAGTTGATATTTTTAAAGTTTATTGCACAAGAAAACTAAAAACAAAAACAATTAGTTACTACACAGAGTGGAAATCTTGGATAAATACAATCAACCATACAGAGATGAAAACAATATCAGAAATAATAAAATAAATATATAAAGATGTATCAAGAGTCAAGTTAGAAATAAAACAGGGCATATTTATCGACAGGCAACTGTGACAAAGTATGTGGAAAATATAGCCAACAATTATTCATGTGACATTATATTCGTTGAATTATGTTTTCATTAACAGTGCCGTTATTCTTACAGTTGCCATTAGCTCCTTACATGAATTTTATTTAACATTAAAAGAGTCCTAATAAATTCTACCACATCTAATATAACATTATTACTTCTAGGGATGCAAACTTGAACAATTGTTCGAAATAGAATTTTACCAATAAGTTGAACAGAAATATTTATACGTTCAACGAAGGTCTTATTCACAAAAATTATTTTAAGGATTCTAAATTTTCATTGGTTAAAAGCTAAATTTCTGAGTACAGACTGAAGATATTAACCGACTTCAAAATATGAGCAGTTTCTGAATTCATTTCATACAATAATTGTTTTATGAGCACAATCATTAATCATCTTCTTCCCTAAAACTAACGAATACATAAATGTATATTTAACTTACTATTCAGAATAAACGTATAAATAAAACCCTGAATATTTCTAGCACTGATAGATAAAAGATTTCAAACAGATGAGACAAAATACAATATTAACAACATCTGGTCCCGAGACTGTTGAACATTTTTTTGTTCCTATCACCTCCCAAACACAATGTAGAGCAAAAAAAAAAACGTTTTGTAATCTCGGGACCAGGTGAGTGATGAGCCAACATGTATCATGAATATTGTAGCTACCGTAAACATTTACACATACAAGAGTTTATCCCTTTATAAAACTTCCCCCAGAATCTATTTAACCCATACTTTCTGATTTTAGAAGGCAAGAAAGAATTCACTTGGTACATGAAAATATCGACTACCCCAGTTCCCTGTAAAAATTAGAGAAAAGTAATGGTTTTTTTTTTACATTTATACTTGGAACTCATTTTTGTAACAGAATATAACTCCTGCTCCCTGAATTGCCCAAGTCACTGAACCAGTAACTTAAATAGTTTACGGCACTCAGGAGGTTTCCGATGCTACAGACAGCAGTAGTTTCAGACAGTCCAACTGTTAAAGGGTTATTATAATAAAGTATATTATGATTATATATAAATGCCAGTCATGTACACGAATATAAGTATTTCTATAATAGAACAAATATACACAACAACTTTCATACGTACAACACATGGTCCTAGAGACGTCAGCTGATGAAATCAAAATTCATTTTCCAAAATATAAAGTACAATAAACAATACCGTATGCATTTTTTCATCCCAATATAGTGTTTATTTTAATATTCAAATTTTCAAACAGTAAGGAGTATAACAATAATGGATTCACTAACATTTAATAATAAAACTAATCAATCATACAACATAACTTTTAATATTCTTCTAAAATGTGAACTATATTTGGGCTAATCTATTATTTATTTCTGGACAATTTACTGGGGTTTTTTCTTGTGTACATATTTTGTAATTTTGTAAAAGCAACTGAATGAAAGATACAGACTAAGAGATGGTTAAGTTAGATAATTTGTGCTAAAGCCAATATTTACATACAGCCAAGTATAGTTTTAGGAAAGCATGCAATCCAAATAACGGACTAGGACTATACACAGACCGACTGTACACCTGTGGTGTGTATCATAACAAGATCAGATCAGCAGTGGAGTTGTCGAGACGACTTCCATGTTTATCTGCTTCCTTCCATAGGTGTGTTTTATGAAAACAAGGGAGGCAATCGACTTATTGAACAATGCTAACATAGTGAATATACAAGCATGTGAGTTAAAACTGAGAGATACAAGATAATGATGATATATAACAATATCAATATTTACATCCAGACTTTATATAATACATTATATTATTATAACCCTAGTTAATATAATATTACTCTCTTGTTCTAAACACCAGATATAGTCAGTTTAATATAACTTTACAGTCAGTTTAATATAACTTTACAGTCAGCCTCACGGGCGCTTTTAATATAACCTTTATACAGTCAGTTTAATATAACTTTACAGTCCGTTTCACAGGCGCTATTAATGTGACTTTACAGTCAGTTTCACGGACGCTATTAATATAACGTTTCCACATAATAATAGTGTAATAATATGTGTACTAGACGGAGGGTGTTAACAGTAAGCATACACTGCTTCGTGCGCCATCACTATGTACTTAAAATAAAACCACTGACTTTATCCGGCTTTTAAAATTAGAGGGCAACAGTTATCTAACTGGGAGATAATCACAGGCAATAACAAATATTTTTACAATTTTTTTTAGAATTCTTTCGATCGAAAAGTCACATTAATTTTTTTTACAAGGGATTATTTTAATTTTATTTTTAATTATTCACTAGGATGTTTCCTAAAGATCCAGATTCTCAACTGTATTACAAATTGGCACGGTGTTCTAAACATTGTTCTACCAATAACACTTTCTCCAATCTGATTAAAATATACATCTATATTTTGTTTCTTTTTTTTTATACTTTCGATGGCCTCTACTACATAAAGATCTGACCGGTTCTAGTGGATGGTCACGTCAACGGTCGTACCAACGGCTTTTGACCCTATGACATCAGACATTGATTAATCAATCAGCGTTGACGTTTCTAATGGACGCCAAGAACTTGCCGTAACAGATAGTTTCATTGACTAATCCCTCACTTCAACCAGAACGCATGTTATATAACAACTCTTCCAGACCCAAGTGTTGTGAAGACAAGTCAAACGAAATTTAGAACTATAAAAAATGAAACGAAATAGGATCCGCGTGTTAATCAGATTGCAGTTTCTCTGATGAGTGCAAATGGATTTTAAGGAAATAAACAATGACATATACATGTTTTTGGTTTGTCTTCAAGTCTTTAAAACTAATAAACAGAAAGTGAAGTATGGAATGACAGACAGACAGATAGAAATTTGTCTATTTATTATAATTTTACAATATGTATACATAATGATTAATAATTATATTAAATAATTTTTTATAATTTTTTTTTCTGGCTTTTTTTACGTAATTTTTTTTGTATGTGGTACATCAAATTTGTCAGTCAAAGTGCATTTTTTTTTTCTCTGAGGAAAGGTCTTATTTCATCTCTGTTAATGACATCATCAGCATCATCACAAAGACAGAGTTATTTGCCCTTCACTGATAAATACCCTAAGATTATTATCCAATCAACAGCATCCTCCACCTTGACTGCCACCACCTCCTGGCGATGTAAGGTTCGCGTTGGCAGGTGAATGTTGGGGGCCAATCTTTATACCATTTGCCTGTAAAATATAAATATACATAGCTCCATGAACATTTATTTAGATTTTATTTAGCTAAACCTAACTTCAATACAGTCTAATGTTAATAAGACCCTACTTTCATTTTGTTTTGGGGATCACATGGCTAAGTGGGTAAGACGCTGGCTCGCTAGCCTGGAGGTCGGGTGTTTGAACCCTGCATTGGCCGAAAAAGTTCATCCAGATTTTCCAGTGTGGTTCCCCCCCTTGTCAGTGATGCAGGACCTGACAAGGACAGCTGTCTAGTCCTTCGGATGATACGAAAAACCGAGGTCCTGTGTATACATTGGAATGCACGTAAAAGATCCCTTGGTAGTTGGAATTCAATATAAGAGTAAGCAAAAGTGCCGCTGCCCGGGCAAAATTTCCCTCATGGCTTACTGTATGGCGTATGTCTGTCTTCATTAGCCCAGTATAGGAGCAGAACAGTAGGACGTTAAACCCCATTTCATTTTGTTTCGTATTGTTCATAATAATGTAATGTGTATTTATAAGCCGCTGCCCGTCTCTAGGATACATGTATAGACCGATTATACTTAAACACTTTGGCCCATATTTTCGAACAGTGTCTAAAATAATCTGTGATTAGGTCTAATCAGTAACTAGCTAATTAGTTTTTGTATTGTAGAAATTGTTACTATTGGGACAATGAATTTCAGTGGTTGTTATCCATCACATTTCCCAAAACTTCACAAAGTAATTTAGAGTATGAAATTTTTTGTATTGTAGAATTTTTTAGTATTGGGACAGTGAATTTTAGTAATTGTTATCCGTCACATTTCCCACAAGCGACCTAGTTAAGTTCACAATGGGGAGGTGAGGATTGTCTTCACTACAATAGAAAATTCTCTCGGATTAAGATCCAAATTTATCATTATTTGTCAATGTTGTATAAACTTGCAATATTTCTATTTAAAGGGAACATCACAGGTTTTAACAGAGTCTTTGAAACAAAAGTGTACGTATTAAAGTTAAGCGCCAAATTTTAGAGGAATGGTGTATTTACCTTGTCTCAGTTCCAAATATTGAGGCGTTTTGAGGTCGACGTCAAAATTGCTTTTAAGGGTTCGATTCAATTTTTTTTCATTATCTGACCTGATATTCTATTGCCGTTCCTTTCAAAATCTATACAGTGTATGACCCACGTGCTGTACTTGATAACGAAAAGTACATTTCATCTACACGTTATTTTAAAAAAATAAAAGTCTGCTTTTATCCAGACACCGTATAATACTGCTTGAGACAGGTCTCCGTTTCCAGATGAAGACTGACGGGTTTAAGTTGTTTGAAAACGTATCACATATATTAAGTTAGTTGCTCGGCCCTAAGGTAGAGGATTTTAAGACAAAATTAAGCAGTTTTATTCTCCAAAATATAATCGAGATTGACACTTTAAATAAGACCCCAGACGTAGGCCGGTCACCAGGAAGATGAAAATGTAATTATCATTTTTAATAAAGTTGTTCGCATCGCCCCGCTTGGCATGTCATTATATAAACATAAATTGTGTCTATTTCATGTTTCAGTGGAATTTAATTGGCCGTTTAGATACTGCTTTTGCACTTTTTATATTACATAACATTTTATAAGATATATTAAATATAATATCATTTATTATTTATTATATAAAAACATAAACAGTATATTTGTAATTATCAAGCTTCAAAGACCTAAAATTCAGTTATTGAGTTCGTCCTGCCGTTTTTCATTTCTTATATCTCTTTGTTGGTAATATTGTGTAAACATATGAAACGGCAACAAAGAATTTAACAAACTATTTTAATGCAACGAATGTCATTTCTAGTCAACTTTGCCTTGTGTTTTTTTCTCTACATAATCGCAAATATATATAATTATAGACAGACAGTGTAAGTTGAGTATGCGAAGAGTGTGTGTGAATTATGGAGAAAGGGGAATGTATGGTGTTAAAAATAAATAAAGGGAGCTTGGTGGGTAAGATCCCAACTCCCTAACCAGGAAGTTCATCTGGATTTTCCTGCCTACAGAAGATCCGAAAAAACCCTTACAGTTGGAATTCAAAATAAAAGTCTGTAGTGCTGCTGTTCTTGATAAAATACTCTGATGGCAAACTGTATTAGCCCAGCAGAAGCAGATAAGAAGGACGATAAACCCCATTTCATTTCATTTCAAAATAAATGTTGTTTCATGCTTATTTGGTTCATAACTGCATAACTGAATGTATCATAATGGCATATCCATGGACTTAATCCTTTCTTCAACTACTCCCCTGAGATGACAAATATTTGGCGTGACTTAGTCAATTTACAGTAGAACTGACAATAAGTCCAAGTCAAAAACGTTCTAACCAGGGTTCTTAATCCATTTTGAAATGAACCGGCCACGGGTAGGCCTAACAGATAGTCGTCTTTTCAACAACAAACATGTTGGTTTATGCATACTCTATTCACGACAGTAATTGCATAATTCACTAATTGAATAACGTATTCGGGATAATAATAGCTGAAACTCCTTTGATTGCAAAGGAGTAAGATATCTTGTCAGTAGTCTGTCAGAGGTGTGGATTTTCTATGCTCCAATCAGGCTTGTAGATAGATTCTGCTTGAAATTTTACCAGCCCTTCAATTTTTGACATATTTTGTTGCATTTGGATTGGGAAGATATTGTTTTCAAATAACATGTTCCAATTTTCTTTACATATTCTTAAACATACATTATGCAAGAGCTAAATCTGTTTGTTGCAGGTCTTTCTTTAGGTCTGAAATGTTTTCTAAATTATAAATTAGACATTAACTTATCCAGACCATAATCAACTCTAGATGGCATCGCTAGCCTGCGATCATTAGTGGATTATGAGCCGATTTACTGCATAACTCTCCTTCACGATTTAACGATTAAATGGATAATCGAGACTATGCTGTTTATCGTACTGACTTTAGTAATGATGATCGAGGCTAGGCGGAAATTTCAATCATAGTGGATCAATTTGAATGAAATTTTCAGCAAATTGCCTTTACATCATCTAGTCTTTAACTATTATAGTGAGAACTGCCAACTCGTTATCAAATCTCCCATAATGTATCTTTAAGTGCTTTTACACTTAAATTTAGCGGTATTTATTTCATTTTAAGGATATTTTTTTTAAATTCAAATTTTATGGCATGTAAATTGACTGACAGTTATCTTCTGAAACCTGTCAATTTAACAGCGAGTCAGTCCAGACAGGTTAACATGAGTGAATCAAGAGACCTGGGCCCTTATTCATGAAAACTTAAACTAAGATACAACCGAAATTTTAAGAAATACTCCAACTTTGTTGGATATATGCAAATTGATTTTACTGGTCAGCCAATCGAATTGCAGTATTTCTTAAAATTTCGATTGTATCTTAGTTTAAGTTTTCGTGAATAAGGGCCCAGGTCTGGACAATTCGACCACCATATACACAGATCTAACCACTCACCTCATTATTTATATCAAAGACACCATCTTGGATTTTTTGATAGATTTCTTTTGCTGTGTTAATAAAAGCCTGAAACAAAAAATGTATTCAGTTAATTCTCTGTACTAGTAGTTACCTTCACTAATGTTTATATGGGAGGTTTCAGAGAGAGAGAGAAATGGGGTTTAACGTCCACTCGACACAAACTAGGTCATTTCGGGACTAACATGGTTTTAATTTTATTTCAATAATTCGCTTGCGCGTAGGGGTCTTTAGCAGTGGGAGGAAACCGGAGGACCCGGAGAAAACCCACGAGGTTGGACAGGCGACCCTACTCCTTGTCACGTACAACCGGAGATTCGAAACCACCACAGTTGACTAAATGACAGGCTTTATGACACAGCGAGCGCATGTGCCAACCATTCAGCCATCCAACCCCCTGGGAGGTTTCATGTTATATTTACTTCATATATTTATACAAAACATATGAAATGATACAATGTTCTATGATGTCAATTTGCCCTGATAGAGGCACTACAGTATGCTCTTATTATGAATCTCATCTGTCAAGATGTTTTTTACATGCATGGCAATGTGTACACAGAATTCGGTTTTCCGTACCATCCAAAACACTACACACTGTTCCTTGCCAGGCTCTCCATCCTGCATCAGGCCAGAAAATCCAAAGGAACTTTGTCGACCAGAACATAGATAGATCTCCAGTGCTTCACTGAGTCACCGTGCCTCCCTATGTTTAAACTAGATGTGTAAAAGTTATATTCACACATCTACTTTAAAGTAGCTAAGTCTCTAACTCAATATCATTCAAAATCTTCGACATTGAAAACACGATTTATTTGTCGGTTTGTTGTGATCTTACCGGGAAAAGATGGCCTTCTGGTATCCAATATTTAAAGACAAAATAAACATTTTACCATTGGTACACGAATCGTGTACCATAATGCGTTTCAGCGCCATTTGGAACAAGGGACTCAAAGAACGCGGCTAGACATATTTCACAAGTCATGTCAAACGGTGACGCTATATTCTTATCTGGAGAACAGGCCCAATAAATAATATCGGCGTAGACTGGAATAACCAGATGCTAGAGATTGAAATTCGATTAAGAATACTGGTATGTTTCGCCGAACCTAACTGATTAAAAATTACAGTAAAAACAGAAACGTTTGAATGTAAATCAATTTATATTACATTCATATTACATTATTGTATGCGTTGCGACCCATTTGTGTCAATTTCTAGGTCCCAAATATTAGCGACTTAGCTCCTTTAAAATAGCTGTGTAACCGGGTGTTGCATTTCCATTATCTGAGAAAAAATTATTCTGGTTTGCATAAACTCCTTGCTCCTCATAAATTTGGTGCCTGATCGAACAGGAGAAACATGTATATTATCCACAACGTCTTTAACTTACTTCTTCTACATTTGCAGCTGTTTTAGCAGAAGTTTCCATAAATATTAATCCATGTTCCCTGGCAAAAGCTTCACCTTCTTCTTTTTTAACTTCTCTTCTGGCTTCTAGATCACTAAAACACAGGAATTTAATATTACAGATAGATACATAGTGAGGATATCAAGTTTTACAGATAGATACATAGTGAGGATATCAAGTTTTACAGATAGAGACACAGTGAGGATATCAAGTTTTACAGATAAATACACAGCGAGGATATCAAGTTTTACTGATAAATACACAGCAAGAATATCAAGTTTTACTGATAGATACACTGACAAGGAGGAACTAGACCCTACATCCTGCCTGACTGACAAGCGGAAACAATACCCTACATCCTGCCTGATTGACAAGGGGAAACCAGGCTCAAAAATCCTAGGACCTCCTTGCTAATGGGTCAGCGCCATATTGACTAGATGGTTTAATTTCCTGGATATGTGGCACTATTTGTAAGAGGATGAACTATCTTACCTTTTGTTACCTATAAGCATTATAACCATATTAGAATTAGAATGTTGACGAGCATCTTCTAACCAGGTTGTTAAATGATTAAATGTATCTCGTCTAAAAAAAAAAAAATAAAAAAAAATATATAACAAACTTTGGAAGAATAACCAGTCATATTTCCAAACAGCAACTTGTAAGAGATACATGTAGCGTCAAAACCTCTGGTGGGTCCATAGGTTAGATAATCTAATTCTTTCTATTATTCTTGGGGCCACACCAATTCACAGAGATCAACATGAAACTTGTCATGCATATTCTCTGGACGATTATTGCAGAATTTGACAGAATTTAAAGATGTCTTACTGTCTAGTAAAGTCGAGAATTACAGGCAGATAAACAGTTGTCACCTTGATGTTATATTGTAGATAACTTACCGAGTAATATCATAAACTAACAAAGCCCCAGCAGCACCTCTATAATATGATCTGGTGATAGATCTAAATGATTCCTGACCGGCCTGAAATATACAATATATTTACATGTATCAGTTTTTAATTAACTTTTATCATAATTAACATTTATTCTGTAATGAGAGAGAGAGAGAGAGAGAGAGAGAGTGGGTTAACATCCACTCCTTTCAACACAAACAGGGTATTTCGGGACTAAGATAAGGTTCAATTTTATTTCAATCATTCGCTTGTGCGTAGGGGTCTTTAGCAGTGGGGAGAAACCAGAAGACCCGAAGAAAACCCACGAGGTTGGACAGGCGACCTAAGTCCTTGTCATGTACAACCCGGGTAGCGAAACCACACCAGCTGACTCAATGACAGACCTTATGATACAGTGCACATGTGCTAACCATTCGGCCATCCCCCCACCCCCGATCCAGCAATAAACAATTATGCCTATTGGTGATTTTGTAATACCAACCAACCTATATGTAAACACAATCTAATTAAAATACAGATCTATAATTCGTTTCGTTTTTTATACTTTCGATGGCCTACACTACATGAAAATCTGACAAGTTATAGCAAGATGTCATGTCAGGGGTCAAAAGACCGACTTATGACCCTTTTGACGTCAGACATTTGATTAACCAATCAGCATTGATGTTACTAGTGGATTACCCACAGTTCCGTGAAAAACATGCCTAAAGCTCGCCGTAACAGACCGTTTCATTGGCTTATCCCTGACACCATTCAGAACACGAGTTAAATAACAACTCTTCCAGATCCAAGTGTAGTAAAGACAAGTAAAACGAAATTTTGAACTATAAAAACGAAACGAAATAGGATCTGTGTTTTAACCAGATTGATGTAAACAGTGTTAAAGATGGATGACAATTCAATTCTTAGATTGGATGCTCCCTGTCCCTTGAAATAGATTCCCAGGTCTTACATCCCCTCACCACTTTGTAATGATATCAATAATGGCATTACATTTATAAAACAAGTTATCAATATGCTCCTTCAAACCGGCCATAAATTGAATATTGAGAAGATTATAATTGTATTTGACATAGTTTACTAGAGAACAGTTTGTAATATGTAAATGTATAGAAGATTAAATAAATACAGCTTAATCAAAATGATTTAAACATTAAGGAAAAAACAACTGTCACATTAAATGTATGTGGTAACAGATGTTGAGATTACACTGACGGGGAACAGATGTTAAATATTACAGATACTTGTATTATATGTTGTCAACTTGTCCCACAGAACAAGGCTTGACATTTCATAATATATATCATAGCATCATTGTCATAACATTATCAGCTATGAATTTCACACTAAACAAGCTTATATATAATGATTTGTAAATATGTTATTAGTGTCTACAGGAGGCCTTGAGGTATTTACTTATCAATGTTACTCTTCATCTAAATCACACAGTCAAACTTAATGTCAAGGTTTCCGTGGAGGTCGCAATGTCTAATTGGATGCTACTGTTTTAGGGTGACCCGTGCACTCTACAGAAAGTTGGTCTCGACACGGCTAAATGTGCACGCTTCACTTGCGTGTCTCGAACTGATTTCTGACTACCCCGCACTCTCTTTGAGTCGATAACTAGCCACGGCACGTGCAATTCTCTACAAATATATCAACTATTACAGCCGTAAAAATCTATTGTTGACGATTTTGAATAGCAGTAAAATTTAGCTTCTTGGTTATTACAGCAGCTTTAGAAATTACGTTTGTTTTATTTTTTAAATTGCTTTATCATTAACTGTACCGTTAAGAGCGGCATCTTTTGGTTTAGTACAAATACTATCTCTGAATCACTTTCTTTAGCAGGAACATGATACTAGCAGTAGTTTCATTTTACTTTTACAAGTTTCTTAAAACAATTGTTGAGTTGTCTAAAGTGCTTATTTCTAAATTCAATTTCTTGTTCTAGCTTTCTGTTATGTTTCGTAAAAAAGTAGTCTTGATTATCCCGACCTGTCAATCAGACGTAGAATGGTCGATATACTGGTTAGGCGAGACTAATTTCAAAACAAGGGCACGTAACCCATCTTTTACTCAAAAGTGTCTGGATGTTATGGACGACACTTGGAACCAGTTTTCAGTCTATTATTTATAGATGATTAATGGTCATAGCTTATTAAGTACAACATGATCGTTTATTTAGTGACTATAATTGTGTGAAACTGATTTGAGGCTTGGCATATATATAAATATTGTGGCGTAATTGTCGAGATATTTGGAGATATTTATTTATGGTGGGTCACCCTAACTGTTCATGTGTCTGCAGTAAAGGGAGATAACGTAGCTATAAGTCTGGGAATTGCAAAGCAATCTAGCAACGTCCAGATGTTGTAGAACTCGAAGTTGCTGCTTCAGAAACATGCATACCGGTATCCTTATAAACACTGAATCATTTTTGGACGTTATTCCAATTTTCATATTTCAAAATCATAGTAGTCTATGCAAAGGAAAAAATAGAGAAAAAGATTCAATGTAAAATATGAAACTTACTGTATCCCAAATCTGTAATTTGATCTGTTTTCCATCGATTGTGATCATACGTGCACCAAATTCTACACCTGTTGATAAAAATAAAATATTCATGAATATTATTTCATCTTGATTATAGTATCAATCTACTGTTTCACAAAACAAAATTATTGTAATTTTTACAACTGACCTGTCACAAAAAATGCAACCCAAAAATTATCTCTATTATGAATAGTCTCAATATCTGATCACCCATCTTCTTTGATTTCCTCACCTTTTATTCATATAAGATAAAAATATCGGAAATGAAAAAAAATGAATACACTGGAGGGGTTTTCTTATGTAAAGGAGCCAAATATTCTAGGGTTTAGGTGAAAATAAAGTATTTATTTTGGGTTGATCTGATATGATATGTCAATAATTGAGGCTCTATACAACTAAAATTTCATTTTGAAATATACTGGTAAGAAAAAATGGATCGTTTCCTAATTCTACTTTTATTTTGGGTAACTATGACAATACACAATATAACATATTTGACTTTTCTGGGCCCAGATGAAAGAAACTGCACTGATTAAGATGGACATGTATGCTATGCAGTGTGCTATAGTATTATGGTAAATGAAAGTTTGTCTATTTTTACTTTGCTATTAAGCTCATCACTGTTTCAGCCCATCCTAACGACTAGAAGCCCCCTAGATGACAGAGGTCTAGTCATTGTAACAATGGGATTGTAGCGAATAATATCTATATAAATAAAAACAATTTACCTATAGTAAGATCATGAACAGGTTGAAATCTTTTATCTGTAAACTGTAACAATAGACAGGATTTACCCACACCTGTAAAAATAAAAACATTAATTAATAATTTATATTTTAAAAATACAAGTTTAAAACACCTTGCTTATATTCACCAACGTGTCTGATGAAAAACGCGATACATACACAATGAGAGAAATTGTGTCCTCCAAATCCCAAACACCAAGGGATATTTCAGTCCTTCACGTTTAAGGGGAGCTTTTGTTCCTGCTCCTCTCGACGATCGTCGGCTTTCCTTCGAAGGAGTCATTAAAGACTCCGGCAAAATAGCTAAATCGCTCTCCTAAATATTGAGATTAATAACCTACTTTCAGTTTTTGTTTACTTTTAAACTGCATATATTCAAGGTATCAGGAGCTTTTTATGACTCCAGCACAATTTTATAAAAATGAAGGACTGATATTTTATGTGTTCGCCAACATGTACAAATAACCTTTCACCTTACATGGATGTACCGTTTAAACACATTTCTATAAAAAGCTATAACTATAAGTTTTTACATAGATTCTCTTGTCATTTCTAATCCTTCACTGTACAATCACTTCAGTATTACAGATCATTTCAGTAAGCTTATATCACCATATTTTGAAATTTTTTAAAAAACTTTTCTGCTCAATATCAAACTCGGTAACATGGATAACCAGTCCCAATCCGACAGTTGTTTTTATTTTTGTTGATCTGTTTGACGACAAGGAGTTGTCTTCAGTAGTCATATGTTTTTATAAAATATTACTTCTTGTTACGTGATCAGTATACCCTAATCTTTAATTACCATATAAAAACTTATTTTATAACCTCAAGTTTTCCGTAACATGAACAGCATGTTTTCATAGCTTATATTAAATTTATGACCTAAAATTTATAATTTAAACTAAGATATCAACTTCATTTATGATCTCAGATGTCGTCTCTACTCAATTTAAAGCAGAGGGGGGGTAGGGTGTCGACATAAGACATAACGGATCAGATCTGGTGAGGAGTGGGGGGGGGGGGGGACTGAAGTTGGCGTACATGATTCACAAACAGATCTGATGAGGAGTAAAGGGGGGTCTGAAGATGGGGTATATGATTCATAAAAAGAAAATGAGCGACTGATTTTACCATTTTTCCAAATTTGATAGGCTACGACGCTTCCCCTCACCAAGCCCCTAATATTAAGACAGAATGGTTGGCCGTACAAGTGTGTCCCGTTTTCACATTAATTCACTGTTCTAATAGGGAGGGTAGAAATTTGCCGAGTTAGTCAAATGTAGGTACATGTACCACTGTCAAACTTTAAATTCCTACTATACAAAAAAAACCTCCCCAACCTGATACAGAGAAAACCGTTTTAGTACCAGTAACCCTGCATTAAAATAGTTAAATATATTTTGTGCCAATGGCTACATTTAGGAAATAACCCCCTCCCCCTTTCATAAATACTATTAGTGAAAACATCTATTGTTAAAACTTTAGGTCAACTGGTTAATCGACTATCAAAAATCACCCAACATTCACGTAACAAACAGAGCTATTCTACAATTAAAAGCTCCCTTGTTAACTGACCAATCATAACATCTGTTATCTAATTAGTATGAATGATTTAATTAACCAATGACAGGTGTTTTTACATGTAAGTTGAAGTACCTATAATCTCCTAGTGGTCATGTAATAATGGTTTAATCTCACTGTGCCCCCCAATCAACTGGTGTTATAGGGTAGTGGTGTGAAAATTTAAGTAAACAAAGGATTATAGACTGTATCCTTATTAGTACTGTTCACCTAGTTAAAATTTAATTATTCTAATGATTAAAATATATAAGTTAAGTTCACGTGTCATTGGTTAACGAGTATCTTAAATATTATTCACCTACCTTTCATTTAGACAGTACTCATATATCAATCAAATATATGATTAGAAACTCACTATCATTATATAAGGAAAGTTGTCACCCTCAATTACATTATATCTTTTAAAATGGCTCAAGTTCGCATAGGGTTTATTCCTAATTCTCAAGGAAGTAAAAATTTAGTTAATTTGGGGTATAAGTACAGAGTAAAATATATGAAACCCAATAGCAACAGCAGACTTTTACTGAAAATACAATAGTTCAATTGGATAACGGGGGACGATTGCCCCCTAAAAGACGAAAATATAAAAGAGTAGAAGAATCTATTAATGATCTAAAAATCAAACTGTTAAATGGAGTAAAAAGTGCAATTGAATATACTGACGCCATATCACATTTAGTAGGGTTATGATTTATGTTTGATACATGTATTTGTTGTTACTTTTATGAAATTTATTGTGAATAAAGTTGTTAATTAGTTTAAACCTAGTAGTTTAAAAAAAACAGACTATACTTTTAACACCATTGTATTCGATAATCCCCTTGCTTGATTAATCCCCCCATGAGAACAATAGCAGGGGGCACAGTGAGATGTCCCCGTAATAATACCCTAAAGCTAGAATCATTGATCTATAATAATCATATCTGTTGTTAAATGTTTACCTATAAGTGATTAGAGTAGAAAAGATATGTTTAATCTTCAGATTAGGACTGACTATCAGTAATCCCCCCCCCCCCCTCTGTACTCCTCAATCAGAACTTATCTTATGATTATCATTCTACATGATTTATGGTGAAAACAACACAATAAAAAGATCATCATCACATAAATAAAGTTCAGAATTTCTATAGAAAGACATGTTTTTAACATTTTGACTGCTGTAGTTTTATGTTACTATGGTAAAGATCAGTAAACTTATAAAATAAGTCAGTGTACTTCACACCAATAAAACTAACAAGATAAAGTTGCAGACAATTACACCATGTATTGTCTGTCATGGATGTAATATTACTGAATGGGTAATGACCTGTACTATATGTACAGTACCAGCAACAATAGGTGACGATTTATATAGTAGACAGGACTGAAGGTATCTATATTAGACAGGACTGAAGGTGTCTATAATAGACAGGACTGAAGGTGTCTATAGTAGACAGGACTGAAGGTATGTATAGTAGACAGGACTGAAGGTGTATCTATAGCAAAGTAATGATTAGATACAGTATGTGTGTTTAACTAATATTGATTTTCTCTTCTTACTATTTATAGTAACAAATACATTAACAAATAATAGGTCAATAATATAGCTGCCTGTCGTTGGCAATAAATAAAATAACAGTTCTAACTGTGGCCTATTTGTACTTACAAAGTAACCAGTTCTATTACTACTATTAGTAGTATTAGTGTTTAATGTTCGTTCGCATCCACCGCTGGTGAAATCACAGACAAGTTGTCTTTATTTTATTAGGCTTAACGAAAGGGTTGAGAAGACGGCCCTATCTCCAAGCCACATACACCCACACCAGGGATCGAAATCATGACCGCAAGTCTGAGATGACCGGCCAGTCAGAGGTCGAAGTGGGACACTCTAGACCATTAGGCCATCCCAACCAACCTCTCATTCATCTTGTATACCAAAAGTAAATTAAATCTGTTTCCATAGAAACACAATAATTGTAAAAAGTGAGAAAATGTCTGTATTAAGTTTTATAATGATATCCAGAACAGTTGATGTGATACGTTCCAGAGACGCGCGATTATAATAAATAAACTCCTCCCAGTAACTGATATATAACATTATTCAATATGGTTGTCAATTGTTCTTGAACATAACAATATTAGCTTACAACGCGAACTGAGAAACATAGTTTATATTACAAACGATGAGTTGAATTCAGTGTTTTAAAAACAACCATAAATCCATCACAATTCTGTTTTAACAGTTCTGTGCCATTGCGTTGAAGGTTGAAATGCAGTCAAGGGATACTTCTACCAGCCAATTCAATTGTTTTTCTATTGATTGAAGTCGAAGAGCAACAACGTGTATATGTAGATAGTTTTCTACATTTCAACCCAAACTGTTTCAATGGGGATTCTAACCATGATGACTTGCCTAGACAATTATTCATGTAAATAAATAAATTCTACATCAATGGACAGGTTTATAAAACATATAAAATGTTATATATTGAAGTTCAATAGAGTCTTTGATTTACGAGTATGTAAGTAGTGATATGCGACCCAGACGTAGCTGTAAATTTAAATAATAAAGATGTCAGATTGATTTAGTTCTGATCTCTTCCATTTTGTACAAAAAACCTCATTTCATATATTATCCCTATCAGAACCTAACAGTAGGATGTTAAACTCCATTTCATTTCCTTCCAAAATGACTGTAATTGGTGTAATAAATGCACAAGATGGATGGAAAAGAAAGACATTAATATTGTTCATGTTAGGTCAAGACAAGTAAACATCCAAGCAACACAAGATGTGGCTGATAAATTTTCTTTTCAACTGGATGAACACTTCATTGTACATTTAATAAAATAACATTTCCTTTACCATTTTTATATTTGCAGGCCCTATGACGAGTGGAATGATGCATGCCGTAAATCCTTCTGATCTTTATATATATAAACAACAAGATAACAGATTCATTGTCACGTGGATTGTCCTCAATACATGTCGTGTTATGCTAGTTCTAAGATTTTAGGGGGTTGGATGGCTGAATGGTTAGCACGTGCGAGCTGTATCATAAGGTCTGTCATTGAGTCAACTGGCGGGGTTTCGATTACCTGGTTATATGTGACAAGGAGTAGGGTCCTCTGTCCAACCTCGTGGGTTTTCTCCCGGTCACCTGGTTTCCTGCCACTTCTAAACACCCCTACTCGCAAGCCAATTATTGAAATAAAATTGAAGCATTTGTTAGTCCCGAAATGACCTAGTTGTGTCGATTGACTCTAATGCCTACACATTATTCGAATTCTAACTTTCTAACTGTCAAGGCTTCTATTATGTGTACACACAGGACCTCATTTTTTGTTCCATTCGAATGACTAAAAGCAGTTCACTGCCAGGTCCTCTGTCATACACCACTGACAAGGGAAGCAGTGGGAGAGGGGGGGCCACACTGGATAATCCTGATGAACTATCTCAGCCAATGTCCTAGTCACTGAACCAATGTGGCTACCAGCTACATGTAGGAGCTAATTACGATAATGAGTTATACTATAGTTAAACACCCTCTGTGAATAACCAGTTATTGAACTCCTCTGTACAATACCAAATAAGTTTAATAATTTAAATAGAAAATCAATATAATATTCATGTGTTCAAATTATCTAAAGGAGTGGTTTAACCAGAAACATGTGGTCAATGACTTTCATAATCAATCAAATTGGCAGTGTATTGAAATATACGACTGGATAGTAAAAGGCTACTTGTAATAACAGGTGGCTAAATGTATTAGATCGAATTGATAAGGCCAACTTCAAATTTGGTCAAAGGTCACGAGATGTAAACAGGCCTAGCGGTAATCCCAAGGCTAAACCTAACCGTAATGCTTACCCTAACCCTAACCTACAATCTCGCAACAATCACATGCCCTAGCCTTGTTTACATCTCAGTGACCTTGATGAAAATTGAGCTGGTCTTAACAAATAGATTTAGCCATATTAGATCATAAGACGCCTATCACACCTAAGCAGAATTCCTGTAATGGCTGTCATCTTGTCGTCTGGTATTGATTGGTCTTCTTTATCCTGTTTATATTGATACCTTTAAAACATGTTCAGGTACTACATTTTAATCAATGTTTATATTGATATCTTCAAAACATGTTCAGGTGCTACACGTTAATTAGTGTAGCGACATCTTGTCACGTAATACATGTAAATATTAAATCATTATATCCATTTGTGTTAATCACTTGACACAACTCACAGAATAATTAACAAAAAAACAAAAATACGATTTTACTATAGACCAGGAACTGACCATGTTGTTGGATGAAATTCAAAAATTGAATTCACCAAATCGATGCAGAATTGTTCAAAGAATAAGTAGGTCAATTGGACTTGAATTGACGGAGCCTTAGGCTTTTTCGAAGAGCGTCACCCAAAGAAGAAGAAACTCCAGTTACATTCAAATCCTTCCGAAGCAAAAATCATATCCGGAAGTACCAAAAATATTTATAAGAACATTAGAAAAGTTCACAAATAGGTTTGAAATACAGGTAAAATGGTGTTTAATGTCCTAAATTTCTGCATGAATCTGAATAATGAAGATAGGCATACACCATGCTCTAGTCCTACCAGAACAATGAAGATAGGCATGATTCACCATCAGGGGTCAAAATAATGCTTGCCTACTTGTCGAATCCATGTAACATTTCAAATGACAAGAAGAAATAATGTCTATAAAAATTCTGGCTAAAAATGTATCTGTCTAATTTATCCATTACAATATGGTTGGAAAAGGGGAATCTTTTATTTTAAAACAAATTACCTCCGCCAAAATGTGTTATAGTGAACGCTGAGTCTGTACATGTAAGCATCTCTTACAAATGAAATTGAAATACAATAAGTTATTTTATTTTTAAATTAAAAACAAAAATCAATGGTGACAACTTGAAATGACCCAGTGACAAGTAAAAAATATTTCTACTTGTCACCTGTGACCTGAGACAAGTAAAATTTTACAAACATTTCAACTCCTGTAATCACAATGCTACAGTACATAGGGAAATTTTGCATGAAAAGCACCATCATTACTGCCCACTTTTCTTCATATTTCAATTTTCAAGGTTTCGTGCATGCCAATATGTCAGTGGGACCTCATGTTATTGGTCTCATCCTTGCCAGGAACTATCTCAGCCAATACTGTGATGGAACTCAGAATTTATTTGTTACACAGCAAGCAACATTATACTGATTGATTGACTGGTGGGATCTTGATCTCATACTTTTAAACAAAACAATTAGGGTCTGTTTAATATTGTAATTATATTAGATTTTATCACATTCTGGGAGTCTGCTATTCTGATTAATAAAAACTAGAAATAATCAGATGTGAAAGGACAATTTACTCTCAGTTGTCTAAAACAAAACAGGTAGGCTACTGTCTCATTTAGGTGTAAAAAACTGACAGAATAGTTTCATTATATCAATAACAATGAATTAATTACCAGAAAACTTTAAAAATATAATAACAGGTGTCACTTATTGCCCTTGATCAACAAACTCTAATAAAATACTTCCAAAATCAAATCAATTACCAGAAAATAATGACATTGACACAATAGAAAGTACTAAAACAAGTTTGACACCACCTAGAAAGGCCGATTTCGCTCACAAACAAACTGTCCACAAGAGCAGCATGTACATGTACCCCCACCCCCCCCCCCCCATCACTAACACAATAGTAAGCTTATACTGTAGGCAATTTGGGGGAAATTAATGTAAGAATTAGATAGAAATTAGATAAAAAGCTGGCAGTTCCAGCTATAATATTTTAAAAACAGATCATGAAAAATGAAAATATATTCAAAATTTTGGTAAAAATACATTAGTCTGAATGTTATGTAGTCTCGATTAACATTGCTACCGATGTTACAATAATTAGTCTTGATTATATCAATTTTTAAATTATTAAATCGGGATCATGTTTCAATCCATAAAAATTGCGTCCATCTGATATTCTTCTAGACAGTTGATTAAAGATACATTAGTTAAGAGTTTAATAAAGAGTTGGTCATTCTTGCTATAATAATTCAAAGAAAATATTGAAAATTTCATTCAAATAACTTCATTCTCAGCCAAGTTATCATTGTTTGTAGTTTTGACAAGATGTGTGCACAGTGGTAACCAGGGCTCTGGTATTCGGGACTTAGCCTTGCTTTCCCAAAAATTAAAATTTTAAATTGGCGAACCGTTTTAATCTAGTTAAAATGTTGAGTATCCGATGCCATCGAGAGTCGATTATGGTCTTGTTTTGTTCATAAATGTTTAATTAATAGTTTATATAACATTTTAGGCCTAAAGAAAGACCTGGAATAGGCAGATTTAGCTCTTGCATAATGTATGTTTAAGGGTTTTTTAATTGTGCAGTTTCAAGGATAAATCAAGCTAATATTTACATGACAGATTATTCATTGTGATTTTATTTTACCAGGATATAATGTCTAATTTATGTAACTTTTGAGGCCAAACAAAAGAAAGACCAGCAATTTGCAATAGGCAGATTTAGCTCTTACACATGGCTATCAATATCATTCATAGTAAACATTTAATTTGCATCCTCTCAAGTTTGTAAGTTTTTGATGACAAATAGGTATTATGTGCAGGTATTGGGTTAATTTGGTGGTAAATTGTCTTGCCCTATCAAACGATCCAATTCCATCTTGTCTTCTGTCAACAAAATCCATCAGTTCAATAAGCATCTCTAAAAATAACCCTGATCTCAGTCTGACATCAGTTCAATATATTTAGCTGATTACTCGACTATTTGTTCATAATTTGTTAATGCATTAGGCCCCCCCCCCCCCGTACCTGATCGGCTAAACCAGATACATTCAGCCAAATTAATAATTTGATGGCATTTGAATTGAAGCCATTTGATATGTAGCACTATTCACCTTATTGTGTTGGGACTATATTTAGAACAAAACCATATCAAGATACCAGACAGCATTTGACACAAATAAATTAGCATAAGAATAAGCTAAAATGATATGACGAGTTTTTATCGATAAAATCCGTTATTGTTCAAATTATTGTTATGAAAAACACAATTCACCAGTCTTTATCATGCATTCATTATACAAAATCGCCATTTTGGAACCGTGTGTGAATATCGATGTTTTGTGTCGAAATAAAAGCTGAACATATTTTCAGTCGGGTCGTGAAAACGATAGATATGAAATATAAATGGCCGATCTTCAAAATAGCAACATAACGTAGATCATACATACCTGTATCCCCAATAATAATATACTTGAACAGATAGGCGTACGACATTTTGCGATGTGTAAAATTTTCTAATGTTGGTGATGTCAACGCTGCGTGACGTCACTTATTGACCCCGGAAGTTTTTGTTGATCATGTGACTTGTCGGTGTCACAGGTCGTTAAAGGCGCCATATTGAAACAATTTCTTTTGATGTTGTGTTCTGACATGTTTATTTGTCACACGTCTTCCTCGATGAAATTTCACAGTTTTTAATTGTTCAGTTTCAAGGATAAATCGAGATAATATTTAGATGACAGATTATTCATCGTGATTTTGTTTTATAAGGATATAAATGTGCACAAATAGTTGTTAAAAATGTTTGTTTACATAAAATATTTTTGTTTATTATTTTTTTCTTTCTTGAACTCGTAACAACATCATCAGTCAGTCCATAACTAATACCATCTATTCTTCGTGTAGAATTTTGTTCATTGTTAATTTTTTGGGTTCGAAATAAAAAGATGGAATATAAAGGAAATCATTTATTTATGAATTATACACACAATCACCTTCACACTGTCATCTACCTATTTCACATGCTGTGAACTGCATAATTATACCAATTAAAACTGTTGACAACATGTCCGTAGTTCGATCGATCGTTGTGTTGGCCGAGAAAGTTCATCAGGACTTTGCATCGTTTTCCCCCCTGTCAGTGGTGCAGTACAGAGGTCTTGGCAAGGGACAACGTACATGTATAGTCGTTCTGAGGGCCTGTGTACACATTGGCATGCACATAAAAGATCACTTGTCAGTTGGAATTCGATATAAGCATAGGCTGTAGCACCGCTGTCCAGGCAAAATTTCCCTCATCATACCACACTCTATGGCTTATGCTCGTCTTCATAAGCCCAGTCAAAGCAGAACAGTAGGACGTTAAACCTCATTTCATTTCGTTTGTTAAGTATATATTATGAACATGTTAGTAACTAAGTAAGACAGCTGATCACAATTTAGAGTCAAACAATTTCTACTTTTGTTACTTTAAGATCTACTTATTATTATAAATATTAAATCCTTCTCTCTTATTTAATTCAGGTTGAAGATATTTGTATATTTTGTTAAACTTGTTATATAAATAACACTAGATATCAGAATTAAACAGCCATCATGCAGTCACTGGATGTATGTAAGAAATCGTCTGGTAAGATCTGGCATCGTAAGCCAGTACCGTCCAGTGACAATGGGTGAGTACAAGACTCTTCATTATTTATCGCCCGTTGATTAAATTTGCTGCCCAAAAATTCAAATATATGACAGGTTAAGGACAAACATACATGTACAGTTCGTCCCAAATTTTTGGGACCGAATTCACAACGTCGCGTCGAAAAAAATCACTCGGAAATCGCTATGGTTTCACGGTGAATTTTCGCTTGATTCCGAAGCGATTTTGGAATCCACCATGTTTCGCTAAGAACCCACTGTGTTTTGCCACATTGCAATTTGCTGTGTATGTGTTTCAAGTTAATTTTGTTGTTGTACATGTATAGTGGGAGCCATGGTGGCTAAGTGGGTAAGACACTGGCTCACTAGCCTGGAGGGTGTGTGTTCGATCCCTGCATTGGCTGAGAAAGTTCATCCTGATTTTATGACGTGTTTCCTCTTGTCAGTGGTGCAATACAGAGGGCCTGACAAGGACAGCTGTCTAGTCCTTAGGATGGTATGATAAACCAAGATCCCATGTATACATTGGTGTGGATTTAAAAGATCCCTTGACAGTTGGAATTCGATATAAGAGTAGGCAGTAGCGTCACTGCCCGGGCAAAATAACACTACACTCAAAACAAGACCAGATTTGGTTTCCTCCCACTGTTAAAATCCCCCAATATGCAAGTGAATTAATGAAATGAATTTGTATCATGTTAATCCTGAAATGACCTGGTTTGTGTCGAGTGGACATTAAATCCCATTTCAATGTGGGCGTATTATTTCGTCACCCTGTCCCTCAGATTCTTTTCAAATTTGGTGTGAAGCACTGTGGTCATGATGGGACAACCCCAATCTATATTCAGCATTCTATGACTTTTCGTTCCAGAGTTATCCCCTTTTTGTTTAAAACCTTGTAAACATGCTATAGTCGACAGTCAGTAGTAATATATCTAAATGTGTTTCAGGTTATTGGTTAAGATTAGTAGTAATATATCTGGAGCTCTGACATCACCTGGTAGATCGGTACGATTTCTACATGCTACCTTTAATAAAACAGGTGATATATTTCTAGCAGGTGATCATCAAGGTCATATTTACATGTTTGATCTCGATCGAAACAGGTTGGTATAATTCTAGATTTTATTAAACAGACTGGTAATTATTTCACAAACATTTTCGTTGTTGCCCTTTGCTCCTTCTTACCTTTACGTTCACTAATGCCTAGGTTCCATTCAACAATTTTTGCCTCGGTGATGTACATGTGCAAATGGAAATTGATGAACCTGTTTTTTTGACAATGCAAGCTTTGAAATTTTTCGTAGTTCACCCGAGGCCTGTTGATGGTTCCACGTGGCTCACACGATGCCCCCAGAGTTTTCCTTTAACTCTGTGGAACCTGTTTCCAACGCATCCCATGGCTTGTAAATTTCCATCGGTAGTACATCCCTGAGGCATAAAATGCCCAGTGGGACCTAGGCACAAGTGTGAAGGCGAAGCCAAGAAACGGTAACAAATGGTCATAATCTCGAACCATGGCAGCTTCGCTATGAGGCAAGAAATATCTACAAAACATTTACTTTCATTAATTGTCATTGGTCGTGGGGCCGTGCATTGAAAGACTCTGATTGTCATTTAGTGGACTTTGAATCCCTTGTAAATTAAATTAAATTAAAGCTCTGTTTACACTTGGCCGCGATAAGCGCGTCGTCCTCGATATGGTACCAGACTGCGATAAATTTAAAAAAACTGACCCGTTTACATTACTCTAAAATAACCGGTCTCGGAACGGTGGCAGTCACACCAAATGTGGAACTCTTTGCAGAAAAGTTAATTTCAGTCCCTATGCAAATTACCTGGATGAAAACAATTATGGCGGTTGATTTAGTTTCGGCAGCCATTTTGACAGAACTGATGACAGAACTTTCAAAGTTCGCGGGGAAAAGGTCAAGGTCCATTTGGCGCATGTGGAATAAAACGTATTGAAAGACTCTGATTGTCATTTAGTGGACTTTGAATCCCTTGTAAATTAAATTAAATTAAAGCTCTGTTTACACTTGGCCGCGATAAGCGCGTCGTCCTCGATATGGTACCAGACTGCGATAAATTTAAAAAAACTGACCCGTTTACATTACTCTAAAATAACCGGTCTCGGAACGGTGGCAGTCACACCAAATGTGGAACTCTTTGCAGAAAAGTTAATTTCAGTCCCTATGCAAATTACCTGGATGAAAACAATTATGGCGGTTGATTTAGTTTCGGCAGCCATTTTGACAGAACTGATGACAGAACTTTCAAAGTTCGCGGGGAAAAGGTCAAGGTCCATTTGGCGCATGTGGAATAAAACGTACTGAGAACCGTTCTCAGATCGAATAGCATTTACACTACGAAAATTTAACCGTGTCATGCCTGGCACCGTGCCGAAACCACCTCACTTCAGTGGCCTAAATTGGCACGGTACTCAGTACGGCATGCTTATGTTTGACCCGTTCACACCTCGAAAAAATTAACAGTACCGTGCCTAGCACGCTTAGAATTTGTAATGTAAGCAGGGTTTATTATATTGTGAAATCCCAATCTGTAAAAGGAATGCTCAATTTTATTCAATATTTACAGACATATGATAAATTATAAACATCCTCTAGTAGATGATATAAGTTGATATTTGTTGATATTTTGTTACAGGTTTAGTTTAGTAGAGTAGATAATATAAGTTGATATTTGTTGTAGGTTTAATATAGTAGAGTAGATAATATAAGTTGATATTTGTTGTAGGTTTAATCTAGTAGAGTAGATAATATAAGTTGATATTTGTTGTAGGTTTAATCTAGTAGAGAAGATGATATAAGTTGATATTTGTTGTAGGTTTAATCTAGTAGAGTAGATAATATAAGTTGATATTTGTTGTAGGTTTAATCTAGTAGAGTAGATAATATAAGTTGATATTTGTTACAGGTTTAGTTTAGTAGAGTAGATAATATAAGTTGATATTTGTTGTAGGTTTAATCTAGTAGAGTAGATAATATAAGTTGATATTTGTTGTAGGTTTAATCTAGTAGAGTAGATAATATAAGTTGATATTTGTTGTAGGTTTAATCTAGTAGAGAAGATGATATAAGTTGATATTTGTTGTAGGTTTAATCTAGTAGAGTAGATAATATAAGTTGATATTTGTTACAGGTTTAGTTTAGTAGAGAAGATGATATAAGTTGATATTTGTTGTAGGTTTAATCTAGTAGAGTAGATAATATAAGTTGATATTTGTTGTAGGTTTAATCTAGTAGAGAAGATAATATAAGTTGATATTTGTTGTAGGTTTAATCTAGTAGAGAAGATGGGTGTACCATGTACAGCTTTATGTTTTAATACTGTAAGAACGTCCGAGTTTCTAGTAGCAATAGCTGATTATACCTTACAGTGTTATGATACAGGTAAATATCTTATTAAACTGATTAATGTTTTGACACAGGTAAATATAAACACATTCGAACTGACCAACATTATCAATAAATTATAGTTACCTGCCTAGACCTCTTTAACTGTAGGGGGGAGGTTGGATGGCTGCATGGTTAACATGTGTACGCTGTACCATAAGGTCTGTCATTGAGTCAGCTGGCGTGGTTTCAATTCCCCAGTTGTACGTGAAAGGAGTAGGGTCACCTGTCAAATCTTGTGGGTTTTCTTTCTCCGGGTCCTCCGGTTTCCTCCCACTGCTAAAGACTCCTACGCACAAGCGAATTATAGAAATAAAGTTGAACCATGTGTTAGTTCCGAAATGACCTAGTTTGTGTCGAGTGGACGTTAAACCCCATTTCTCTCACTCTCCATTTAACTGTGTATTGTTGGTCGTTTTGTGGCTTCAAATCTCATATAAATTATCGTATAGACATTACTTCACATGACAAACCTAAAATCAACTCACTAGACCATCGAATGGCCCAGATTTAAAAATTTAAACAGTCATAACTTAACTCAGAATTTGAATAAAATTTTGAATTTTTAAACTATTATAGCAAGAATGGTCCAGCTCTGTATCTAAAAATCTTACGTAATGCATGTTTAATATAACATTATAACAAGAACGACCAGCTCTCTATCTAAATCTTACATAGTGCATCTTTACTTTAGGTGTTATAGTGAGAACTGTCAGGTCTTTATCTAATCTTACATAATCTATCTTTAAACATACATTATGCAAGATCTAAATCTGCCTATTGTTGGTCTTTCTTTAGGCCTGAAATGTTATATAAACTATTAATTAGACATTTATTAACAAAACAAAACCATAATCGACTCTCGATGGCATCGAATATTCAAGATTTTAACTAGATTAAAACGGTTCGCCATTTAAAAATTTAATTTAAAAATGGGAAAGCAAGGCTAAGTTCCAATTATACCAGTGCCCTGGTTACCACTGTGCATACATCTTGTCAAAACTACAAACAATGATAACTTGGCTGAGAATGAAGTAATTTAAATGAAATTTTCAACATTTTCTTTTTTTTATCATCTATTTTTGAATTATTATAGCAAGAATGACCAACTCTTTATTAAACTCTTAACTAATGTATCTTTAATATAACTATTATAACGAGAACTGTCAGCTCTTTATCTAAATATAACTATTATAACGAGAACTGTGAGCTCTTTATCTAAATATAACTATTATAACGAGAACTGTCAGCTCTTTATCTAAATATAACTACTATAACAAGAACTGTCAGCTCTTTATCTAAATATAACTATTATAACAAGAACTGTCAGCTCTTTATCTAAATATAACTATTATAACGAGAACTGTCAGCTCTTTATCTAAATATAACTATTATAACGAGAACTGTCAGCTCTTTATCTAAATATAACTATTATAACAAGAACTGTCAGCTCTTTATCTAATCTTACATAATGTATTTTTAATATAATATGAATCTGACATTTGATTCATTTTAAATACTGTATGAAGACAATTTAACAGAGGTATATTGAATTGGGCTTCTTCTGTCTTCTGTTCCGAGTTAGTCATCTGTAGCATATCTCATAAACCATCCAGGATATCTTTATAAAACTTTGTATTATAGTATGTGTGCAGGATGTTGATAAACAAATCTACATTATATTTATAGCACAGCTTTCATGAGTTAACCAGTTTAACCAGAGGCCAAAGGTCGAGGTGTTAAACCTGTTAACGAATGAAGCGTGATATAAATGACTTGTAACATTGCCAACTGTTCAACATGCTTGTTGTTATTGCACAGAAAACCCACCCCACTTCTCTATATGATTTCTACTAAAACTAGTGTAAACCAGCAAAAGAGTGCAATAACATCGAACATGTCTAGTTATTGCAAGGTTAAGCTCCACCCAATCTACTAGAGAGAAAACAATCTGCTTATTCAACAAAAAGAACAAAGGAAGATTTCCTATCCATGTTACAATTGTTATATATTTCAGATAGTAATTCTATTATAACCAAGTCTTGTTAAATATTTCAGATAGTAAATCTATTATAGCTGTAATGAGAGGCCATAAAACAGCTATACATTCCATATCGATCCACGCTTCAGGACGTTACGCAATATCAACATCATCCGAGATAGCCTTACTCTGGGATCTCGAGAATTTTACACTACAGAAAAAACTTACAAATAAGGAAGACATTGGATTATTGAAGGTATGACTAAACAGGAGTTTCCTCCCTTTATAAAAACATTTTATTGGGATTGTCAGTCCCGAACGTTCCGAACTGACAGAACTGCAATCAAGTCGATCGAAATTCAGTTCCGTCACAGTTTTGTCACTTCTGACAACGAAGGTTGTCTGAGTAGAATTGTGACTTCATTATGCAGTCGATGTATAAGTTGTAGCCGGAAATCCTCCATTAGACTCGATTGCCACTATTTTGGAGATTTAGAAATTCAATTCCGAAACATTCTCCCGAGTATCCCCATATTGTTTTTCCAGACAAGAAAAACGTTAATTCGTTCGAATGGGTCGAAAAACTGTGGTCCATTGTCCGCATTGGTGTGCACATAAAACAACTCTGACAGATGGAACTTAAAATAAGAACCGATCGTAGTGCCGTTGTCTGGGCAAAATTTCCCTCATAGCACACTATATGGCGTGTCCCCTTCTTCATCAGCCCAGTCGGAGCAGAGTAGTAGGACGTTAAAATTTCATTTCCTATGATAAATGTATTTTGAAATGAATTGATTCTGTTTTTCAGGTTTTTTTCCTGCCGATGAGTAATACTATTATAACTTGTTTTCGTGATGATTCAATATTTGCATGGGAATCCGAAACGTTAGATTGTAAATATCAGTTACCTGTAGCGGACGGCGAGAAACCACAATATAAAGTCTTCGCGGCTACCAGGTGAGTTAGACATAGAGGAACTAAATCCATGACTAAACATTTCTATAATATTTGAAATTAAGACACGAATTAGAATTCAATATTGGTGCATCAATTGTGAAGTTGTTATCTTGCTGTGATAATATGGGATCCTAATTTGCTATACGTAAGACACAAGGAACATTTTATAAACAGTACGCGGGTTGTATATTCTAAGGTTTCTGGTGCCATTTGTAATTAACAAAACAAAAAGACAGTTTGAAAATAAATAAAAATGGCTGATTCACAAATGACAAAATAATGATTTAAAACTAAAACTCAAACCGTGTAGAATGAACGACTGTCTTTTAATTTGGACTGTTCACATATTTCACACAACATGATTTATAACAATAATTTATTTTTATAAATTGAATATAAATCACTTTATTTACATTCATATTACATAAATATATGCTTTTAGACCTATTTATGGTTCACCCCCTATCAATTACCTTATTAGTTGTTTATGTGTTAAAACTTTGTTTGTTAATGAACCAATCACTCTGTATTGTAACAACATAGGTCTTATGGTTTCTTTTTATAGGAATATAAATATAACCTTTTAGTTTATTAATTTATCATTTTTACTTGATAACGATAAGAGAATACTTGACGAAACGTCGTGCTATATGTGTATAAATCAGTGATTGTATTTCATATAAATTGTGTTGTGTTTTTTAATGATCTCGTTGGTTTTTATAAATTAATAACAATATTGATATCATCATTACTTCTCACCGATAAACAAATTCCCAATGTTTCTGGAAATACACTGGTGAGAATATCTACTATCTATTCTATTAAATCTTACATTATGTTTACACAGCAGTATTTAGGTCTTCATTACCCCTGTTAGAGCTTCCTTACAATATGTTGTTTACACCACAGTATTTAAATCTTCCTTACCCCTGTTAAATCTTCCTTACCCCTGTTAAATCAATCTTCCTTACCCCTGTTAAATCTTCCTTACCCCTGTTAAATCAATCTTCCTTACCCCTGTTAAATCTTGCTTACATTATGTTTACACAGCAGTATTTAGGTCCTCATTTACCCCATTAATACAGAAAAATAGGAAATTAAACCCAGCTTCATTTCACGAAGCAGTATTTATGTCTTTAATAACCCTGTTAATGAAGAAATGCCCAGTCCGTGCAGAACAGAACGTTATACCCTATTTTCATTTTATCTCAGGTAACACAGAAAAATAGGATGTTACACTAAATTTCATTTCATTTCACAAAGCTGTATTTTATTTCTGAATTTGATCTCTGACTTTGTTTTGTGTATTTGAAACTAATATCTGACTTTGTTTTGTGTATTTGAAATTAATATCTGATTTTTGTTTTGTGTATTTTGAAATTAATATCTGATTTTGTTTTGTGTATTTTTAGAGATGGTAGAATATTAGCTGCTGGAGGTAAATCACGATATATACATCTATGGTCGTTAGATACACGTCGTATATTACGTATTATAGAATTACCTAATAAGGTAACAAGTGTTAAACAGGTAGAGTTTTTACCTGACAGTTTTCATACAGGTGTTGATCAGGTTAGTAATTTTATACAGGTAATCTTCTTATGGGGTAATGCTTTTCCAATAAAGTGGGGGTTGGGTGGCTGAATGGTTAACATGTGCACGTTTGATCACAAGGACTGTCATTGAATGAAGGGGTTTCAATCCCCGCTTGCACATGGCAAGGAGTAGGATCGCCTGTCCAATGTCGTGGGTTTACTCTGGGTCCTCTGGTTTCCTCAATCCCAAAAAGAGTGTAATGCTCAGCCAGATAAAGTACGGTTTTGTTCTTTGGGCAATTGCACATTGAATGATAGATCTCAAATTTTGAGGTGGATTGGGTGGTCGATTAGTTTAATGCGTTAGCTTTAGATCTTAAGCTCTGGCATTGAATGGAGTTTCATTTTTTCGATTCCACACTTGTACGTGACAAGGAGTAGGGTCGTCTTTCTGACCAAAAGTTTTGCTGCTGGATGATTTAAATTTTAGCTAGAATAGGTATAATATCAATATCTATGTTATATTACAGGTGTGTTGTGTTGTATATTACAGGTGTGTTGTATTATATATTACAGGTATTAGGAGTACTATGTCAGGATGGTATTATGAGGTTTATTAATATCGACACGTGTAAACTATTATTTGATATCGGTACGGTAGATAATAAAGTTTATAATAGTATTATTAGTCCAGCAGCACGACATATTGTATGTAATATGGAAGATGGTAGTGTAAACGTTTATAGCGTCGCAGCTCTTTCAGCAGAGTTAAATAAGGTATGTTGTATAGTCCACATGCATAAAGGGTTTGAAAATTAAAGTCCTCAAATACGTCAAAGATAACGCCCCCAAATTAGTAGAATACTAAATGTGATTACACGTGTCACTGTCTCTGAGCTCTTTCAGCCGAGTTGAATAAGGTATAGTTAGAGGAGCTAAGTCTGTAACTCAATATTCGAAACTAAAAACACAAATTAGAATTCAATATTGGTCCATTTCAATACATATTGATGATGTATTGCCGTGAAAATATGGGATCCTAATATCCAATATTTAAGACACAGTGAACATTTTAATATCCGCACACAAGTCGTGTACCATATGGTTACGGGTGCAAAAGGAACGAACAAAGGAAAACATATCCTAAATTACAATGCGACAGTAAAAAGTTATGACTGATTCACAAATGATAAATAATAATAGAAAAACGTGAAGAATGGGCTAATCAGGCGTAAACAATTGTCGTTGAGTTTGAACAGTTCGCATATTTCACTGAACATAATTGATTAGAAATTATAATATTTTGTTTAAAAATTGAATATAAATCATGTTATATACACTCATATTACATGAATATGTGCTTTTAGACCCATTTATGGTTAAAAATAAATAGAGCCATATGCCCTTTAAATGGTCCAGTAGCCACGTGAATAAACTTGTCTGCGATATCATCTCGGTGGAAGCGGACGTAAAATACAACTAACTCACACACCCATGAATAAAGGTTTTGAAAATTATGTAATCTTTATCGCTTTGATATCTTTAGTTAAAAGTGCAGACATGTCTTTTGTGTTACGACAGTCTCATCTTTAGGATCTAACAACATTAATGCATAGTTTGAGGGGGCGTGGGATATTCTTTCATTTTATGTTGCTAAGATATCTGGTAATGTTATGTTATCTTAGCCTCCTGCTCCGTTAGTGAACGCTCACACGACAAAAGTTATCATACGATTTGTATTAAATTGATATCGGTGTAAATGCTCCCATTACCCACAAAAGAATAAATATGACACAGCCCTTGCCGATTGCTTGGACGATTTACCTGCAGTGATCGTACGTTTCGTTACCTGTCAACATATCTTTGTGTTATTTTAGCCGCCTGCTCCGTTAGTAAAAGTTGTAACTGGTAATAAGATGTGTGATACGATATCTACAACTGGTGGTAGCGAGAAGACAGATAATCGTACGATAGATGTCACGACACGATCTCATTCATCACATCATTCATCTCGTAAATCTACAAATATTACCCAGGAGTCAACACAGGTAACTATAGAAATTTCTCTATGTCAATTTTAAAAGTGTATTATATAAGGGAGCTAAATCTGTCTGCAGGTCTTTATTTCTGGCTTCAAGTGTTTATTTAAATTATTATTCAGACATTCATTCACATGATAAGCCAGAGGGTTGGCTGAATGGTTAGCACGTGCGCGCTGTATCATAAGGTCTGTCATTGAGTCAACTGATGTGGTTTCGAATCCCTGGTTGTACGTGACAAGGAGTAGAGTCGCCTGTTCAACCTCGTGGGTTTGTCTTGTTCCTCCAGTTTCCTCCCACTTCTAAAGACCCCTACGCGCAAGCAAATTATTGAAATAAAATTAAACAATGTGTTAGTCCTGAAATGACCTAGTTTGTGTCGAGTGGAGGGAGGGAGGGGGATGTTCAGTTTCGGAATTAAATTCCACGAAATATGGCTAAACAAAGTTCAGATGTCATGGAAATGGATTTTAACGTTAATGCTCGTCTGTTTGTCCAACTTATACCACAGATTTTGTTTGTAGTGTTTCAAATTATCAGAGTTTATTCATATGGTTGTTTTAACAGCTTTTTATTTATGTGGATGTATTATGCCGTCATTATGCTGAAACAATTTTCCCAGTTCCCTGACAATCTATTGCCAGATGGGGGCTTGGGAAAATAAGGATGAGCCCTACCAATTTTCCCGGTTCTCTGTCTATCTATTGCAAAATGTTGGTGTATCTTGGCATCTTGCATGGCAACCGATTGTTATTGACATTTGTGTGAATCTTTGGTTGTTATGAATAAAATATGTTGTAACTTCCTGTTTTTATATAAAACTTTAAAGTAATAAATGAAATATTGTTTATATTGTAGGCGAGTTTACCTGATGGTATGGAAATGGATAAATTGATGGCCATATTAAAAGGTTACGGTGAATATCCTTCTAAATACAGGTAATTATATAACAAAATACAGGTAATAGCATAACAAAATCATACAGATAAATTAAACAGCATTCATTAATAATTTAAAAGCCCATTTGAAAAGTAGTGCTCGATGGAATACAGAGTTACAATGTTAAAATCCTGTTCTCTAAGAGTAAAGGTCAGAAGGACTTTCATAACATTTAATGTGAAGGTCATAGGTCATAACATATTTAATGTGAAGGTCATAGGTCATAACATATTGCAGATGGCTTGATTGTTTGTCTGTAACATGAAATGAAATGAAATGGTTTTTAACGTCTTGTTCTGCTCCGAACTGGGCTAATGAAGACGGGCCTACTCTTATGTCGAATTCCAACTGTCAAGGGATCTTTTACGTGCACGCCAATGTTTACACAGGATCTCAGTTGTCCGTCCCATCCGAAGGACTAGACACTGACAAGGGGGAACCACGTCGGTAAATCTGGATGAACTTTCTTGGCCAAAGTCTGTAACATACCCTCCATTTTGATTGAATTACAATCAAGTGACTTGGAATTGGATGTGCTTAAATTGTGTTTAAACAGTTCAACAAATCTCATAAACATATGGTTATTGATGGTGGTGTAATCAACTATAGTTATTGATCGTGGTGTGATCAGCTTTGGTTATTGATTGAGAAATTATCATATATAGTTTATGAATGCTGTATCGCTGTAATTATCGTGTTTATTTGATACGGTGTTGTGTTCTAATGATTCAAGCTTGGTTAAATCAACAATAAACTATCCTCTCTAAATACGAAACAAGAACGTGTTTATCTCCTAATTATGTTAATTGTGTTACAGGTTGTTTATATGGAGGCCTGTGTTTATAAAATGACTTTAGATTATGATGAATGTATTAATATGTTGATTATTTACAGGATCGAGACTATGCTGTTTATCGTATACTGACTTTAGTAATGATGATCGAGGCTTGGCGGAAATTTCAATCGCTTAGTAATCGGTTCATAGTGGATCAATTTGAATGAAATTTTCAGCAAATTGCCTTTACATTATTTAGTTTTTAACTATTATAGTGAGAACTGCCAAGTGGTTATCGAATCTCCCATAATGTATCTTTAATTATTTACAAAAATGTTATATAGAGATCTGCATTTATAAGATGAATTTATAATTGTGTTGATTATTTACAGGATGTTTATTTGGAGATCTGTGTTACGATTACCAGAGAATCATGCCGCTTACGGAGCTCTCGTAGATAAAGGAACACATCCAGCGTTTGCTAAAATGCACGAAGTTTATCCAATAAAAAGTCGGAAATTATTGCGAGTTTTACAAAGGTTGGTTTTATTCTTCTCTCTAGCACATGTGACCAAAGAAAATGTAACTGTGTTAGTCTCAAAATATTAACGAGATAATAATCTTGGTTCGTCTACATTTTAGGGGGGTTGAAATGAAATGAAATGAAATGGGGTTTAATGTCCTACTGTTCTGCTCCTATGCTGGGCTAATGAAGACGGGCATACGCAATACAGTGTGCTAAGAGGGAAATTTTGCTCGGGCAGCGGCACTATCGCCTACTCTTATATCAAATTCCAACTGCCAAGGGATCTTTTACGTGCACGCCAATGTATACATTCGAAGGACTAGACAGCTGTCCTTTTCAGGCCCTCCGTCCTGCATCACTGACAAGGGGGAACCACGCCAGAAAATCTGAATGAACTTTCTCGGCCAATGCAGGGATCGATCACCCGACCTCCAGGCCGAATGGTTAGCACACGTGCGCTGTATCATACGGTCTGTCATTCAGTCAAATGGCGGGGTTTCGATTCCCCGGTTGTACATGACAAGGAGTAGGGTTGCCTGTCCAACCTTGTGGGTTTTCTCCGGGTCCTCTGGTTTCGTCCCACTGCTAGAGACCCCTACGCGCAGGCGAATTATTGAAATAAAAGTGAACCATGTGTTAGTCCCGAAATGACCTAGTTTGTGTCGAGTGGACGTTAAACCCCTTCTCTCTATTTTTTTTGTTAAAGATGCATTATGTAAGAGCTAAATCTGCCGATTGCAGGTCCTTTTTCTGGCTTCAAATGTTACATAAATTATAATTTAAATATTTATTACATGACAAGCCTATAATCAACTCTCTAGCCCATCGGATGGTCGAGATTAAAATGGATTAGCCCGTGAGATTTAAAATTTAACGATGAATTGGATAATGGAGACTTTTTCTTGTTTGTCCAGTACCACTGCTAAGAAAATAAAAAAATTCAATGCTACATCTCCCAACATTCATACCTTTCGCTCAGAATGAAGTAATTTGAATGATATTTTCAATATATTCATTTTACATTATCTATTTTTGAACTATTATAGCAAGAACGTCCAGATCTTTAACTAAATCTTACATAATATATCTTTAATATAACTATTATATAGTGAGAACGACCAGCTCTTTATCTAAATCTTACATAATGTATCTTTAATATAACTATTATAGCAAGAATGACCACCTCTTCAAATAAATCTTACATACTTTAATTAGGAGATAAACACCTCCTGTTTCGCCAGGACATGTCTATTGGACAATAACACCCCTCTAAATGCGAAACAGGAGGTGTTTATCAACATTGTAACATGCTATTTTTTAGAATTTTAAAAGAACTTATTTTATTGTGTAAACTTCAAAATTCGTCTCACTGCAAATCGGCTTTAGTGACGTAAAAACCCAAAGAAATCAATTTTGACGTAATGAAAACGTTGTGACGTAGCGGGTTAACTGGCTGCTCATGTTAGATTTGGCTCGCTTATCGTCTGGTTGCTATAGTAGCCGTATGAGTATAGACACACAAAAAAAAACTAAAATTCTCACTTCATTTTTTTAAAAGTACTTTTTGAAACAAAATTTATGTTTTTGTAACAGATTTTTGAATATTTTGTTGTTTGTAGCTGTTACCTGACAAGGGGGGTGGCGTTTCAAGTTCATCTTCGGTCATATCTCCAAATATTTCATCTAATGTACCGAGATCAAAATTGAGTGTCTCCATTGTGGTTATCTCCATTAAAGTAGTACGCATAATATTAATACGCAGTGATTTTGCTAATTTAGAGGGGTGTTATTGTCCAATAGACAGTGTCTAATCGACCAATCAAAACGCAAGATTCACCCTTAAGCATGTTACAATATTATATGAATCTGTTTATTTAATATATATTTCTTTCTTGCTTGTGGATTTACATGAATGGAATTCCTTCACACATCTCTATACAATAAGAAATTATTTTAATTTCAGAATATTATCAGCATTAGCTCACTGGTCTCCTATATTTGGTGAAACTCAGTACCTACCCATGTTAGCATTTCCTTTCGTTAAATTATTCCAGAATAATCACCTGGTTTGTTTCGAAATAGTTGCTACCTTATTAGGTAAGATATAAAACTATGATAGATAATTTTACGTTATGTCACTGAATATTCAGGAACTGTGAAACAGTCAATTAAAATCTAATGAGTTAAAACCTTGAGATAAATAATTAAAAGTTGTTTGTGGAATCAAAATATTGTATTATTTGTTCTATGAGTAAAATATCATATTATTGGTTCTATCAGTAAAATATTGTATTATTTGATTTGTTCTGTCAGTAAAATATCGTATTATTTGTTCTATCAGTAAAATATCGTATTATTTGTTCTATCAGTAAAGTATTGTATTATTTGTTCTATCAGTAAAATATTGTATTATTTGTTCTATCAGTAAAATATCATATTATTTGTTCTGTGAGTAAAGTATTTTTTGAATGATTTCAGTAAATTGGGGTTGTCATTGGTTTGAGTATTTCCCGAATCCCCCGATCAATATACTAGCTATGATAGAGAATGTATTAGCACATCATGATAAAACATTATTACAACATTTTGTTAAATATGGTGTAACCTCACAGGTAAGTTTAAATTTATAGAATATCTTATAAACTGTGTCCGTTCGTTAGTTCACGGAGGTTAATATCCACTTCCCCTGACTCTGGAAAACTTTTTAAAAGAGACCAGTCAAGTTCTAGTCCAGCAGCCTAGCCTCTCATGGGTGGACGTGAAAGGAACTTTGTTGCCTCGAGCAGCATATCCTCTCAGGGGGGGGGGGCGTGAAAGGAAATCTGTTGCCTCCATTGTCTTGTGTGCCTGTCTATCTTTCCCCCCTTTGTTTCCAGAGCAGAATTGGAAACTATTTAGACTAATCTCGGGGGTGTCGTTTACGAAGCAGATCTCGAGAAACATTCTATTTTTCTTCAAGAAATATTTTACACTATAGTGGTGCCTTTTAATATTTGACCAATCTGATTATAATAAAGATCTATATTTCGTTTCGTTTTTTATACTTTCTATGTTCTACACTACATGTAGATCTGTCCAGTTGTAGTGGAAGGTTGTGTCAGAGGTCATTACAAGCGACTTTTGACCTTATGGCGTCAGACATTGATTAATCAATCAGCGTTGACGTTTCTAGTGGTTTACCCACAGTTCCTTGGACCTCATGCCGTAACAGACCGTTTCATTGGCTAATCCATCACATCATTCAGAAGACATCAATGATAACAACTCTTCCAGATCCTAGCGTAGTAAAGACAAGTAAAAAGAAATTTTAAACTATAAAAAAGAAACGAAATAGGATCTGTTTTTTAATCACATTGCTTTTTAACCTTCTTCATGAAACAATCGACACACAACATATTAATTAAGTGATGCCTTTTGCTCTAGAAACATTTCTATTTTCATTTCCGTGAATATAGAAACTTTACTCTATGAATAGAAGTCAGACTTACTCACAATCTAGGGTGGGCTTAATTCCTGGAGCAGAATTCAAAGACTATTCAGTATTTTACTAATGTTTATACACACAATAACCATTTGTTGATCTGTGTATTCCTTTCTGCGTCAATATATCCAGATCTCTGTATCCCTTCTTGTCTAATATGTCCTGATCTGTGTATCCTGCGTCTATATATCCAGATATATTTTCGCTAAATATTCTTTATTTTTTCACTAAACTGTACATACATCATGTTTCATACAAGCTAATTCAGATGGCATCTCACAAATCATCCAATATTCTGTAACAGTATAACATGAGGATGGTTTTCATTTCTAATGGGAGGGGTTGGGTGGCCGAATGGTTAGCATGTGTGCGTAGTATCATAAGGTCTGTCATTGAGTCAACTGGCATGGTTTCGATTCCACGGTTGTACGTGACAAGGAGAAGGGATGCCTGTCCAATCGCATACATGCTGTATAATAAGGTCTGTGATTGAGTCAAGTGGCAGGGTTTTGATTCCTTACTGATCTACTGATACATAATAAGAAGTAGGGTCGCCTGTCCAGCCTTATGGGTTTTCTCTGCATCCTCTGGTTTCCTCCCTCTGCTAAAGACCCCTACGCGCAAGCAAATTGTTAAAACAATTTTGAACCATATGTTAGTCTTAAATGACCTAGTTTGTGTCCAGTGGACGTTAAACCCCATTTCTCTCCATGTTTCTAAAGGTTATCACAGGAAACCTGTTGTATATATTTCCTAAGAAATTTGGTAAACATTTCACCATATGCATCTACTTTATCTCAAGATATGCCAACTTTGTGGGTTTTCTCCGGGTCCTCCGGTTTCCTCCCACTGCTAAAGAACCGTATGCGCAAAGGGAATTATTGAAATAAAATTGAACCATGTGTTAGTCCCGAAATGACCTAGTTTGTGTCGACTAGATGTTAAACCCCATTTCTCTCTCCCCCTCTCTCTCCTTAGTTAGTTTTATTGTTTTATCTCAAGATCTGTTGATTTGTTTTTTATTGTGATATAAAATAAAACAATGTTATAGAATGTATTCATCAATAGATGTGTTTGTTTTTACTATATATTTCATGATTTGTTTTCATTATATTTTACTTACCTCACAGTTTGTATTACTGTAAGAGAACACTCTTCGAAACGTCGTAGGGATCACGTGGCTAAGTGGGTAAGATGCTGGTTCGCTAGCCTGGATGTCGGGTGTTCGATCCCTTCATTGGCCGAGAAAGTTCATCCAGATTTTCTGGCGTGGTTCTTCCTTGTCAGTGATGCAGGACGGAGGGGCTGAAAAGGACAGCTGTCTAGTCCTTTTGATGAGACGAAAAACCGAGGTCCCGTGTATACATTGGAATGCATGTAAAAGATCTCTTGGCAGTTGGAATTCGATATAAGAGTAGGCGATAGTGCCGCTGCCCGGGCAAAATTTCCCTAATAGCACACTGTATGGCGTATGCCCGTCTTCATTAGCCCAGCATAGGAGCAGAACAGTAGGACGTTAAACCCCATTTCATTTCACTTGATTTCAAACGTCGGCAAATATATATAGTAACTGTTTTTCCATAATGTTAATGTTTGTTTTTGTAATTCATTGAAATATTTTACTGGTTGACACTTCAAAACACAGCAAAACCAGTTATCTACTACAAATGTTCATTGTTCAGATTTGTTGGAACTGGAGGGATTTGCCATCTTCCGATGCTTGTGTTAATTTGATTGAATAGACCTTTTCTTCAGTGCATATAGCCACGCTGCCTCCGTGATTAAAGCAATATCCAAACGGCCCAGTTGCGATCCTGATGTTGGCTGAAAATATTCCTTTTGATTTTCCTGCTTGGTTTCCCCTTAGTGGTTTATGACAGAGGGTCTGGCAATAAACAACATCTTGTGATTCGGATGGAACAATAAAAAACCCAACCCAGATCCCATGTATAAGTGACATAATCCTTTATCAGATGAGACAAGCATCCTAGTTTATTCCAGAAATAATGTAGAAATATGGCACACAAGATTTAATCAGATTTGGTGAATTAATGATGATTTCTGATAGGATTTGGACAACTTGATTCAGTAAGATGTTGGCTTGGAGGTCCCGTGTTATATAGTTGGGGAGCTGCCTTGGCTCAGTGTGTAAAATGTTGGCTTGTTAACCTGGAGGTTCCATGTTATATAGTTGGGGGGGGGGGGGCTGCCTTGGCTCAGTGTGTAAGATGTTAGATTATTAACCTGGGCGTCCTGTGTTATATAGGTGGGTTTCTTTATACTATGAACATCGAAGTGGAACTGGAACTTCTATTCACAGGAAACTGGAGACTCTGTGGCAGGGGTCACTAAACTACGACCCATGGGCTGAGGTCAGTTTGTCTGGCCCACTGTTCCATGCTGAAAAAAAACAAAACATGCTTTAGCTTAGGGCTGGATGATATTTGAAATTTTTTTTATTGCGTGATCAATATAAAAAGCCACAATATATTACCATTATTGCAACAGTAATATTATACTGCTTCAAGAGAAAAGGCTTGAAAAGAGGTGGCAAACCCTTCAAACAGATTTCTAAGAGAAGCGTGGAAATTTAAATCATTGTAGGGTCAAGCTTACGTCAATGATATATTGGATTATTGTGGTATCAAAAAATTATTGTCAATAAAATTTACATATTCCGATATATTCATTTATAAAAGTTATTATCTAGGTCTAGTTAAACACAAAACTTATGCCTTAATACAGCTATGTCGAATATGGATTGATGAAGTATGAATTCTTATGTACGACCAATCTGATTTATAATTTGTTTCATTAAAATTCAATAATCTTTGAGAGAATATTGATGGAGGAATGGCGATAATCTACAGTTAAGCAATGTAGTGTTTGGATTATTGTGGTATATTTAATGGTAAAAAAGAATTATTGTCAATAAAATTTACATCTTGCGATATATTGATTTAATGAAATTATTTTCCAGACCTACTTTAGCTTCTTACATAATGCATATCGTACACTGAGTCAGTAACATCACGTGCTATGGGTATGTGTTGTTGCCAGGCTAAGGTTTTATTTATGTGCAGGGTTGTATTATTTTGTATATTTCATATATTGATAAATAAATAGAATGACTATACTTATTTTGTTGTGTCCATTCAGTGTATTCTGTGTTTAGTGTATGTATTGAACAAAATATTTATCCGGCCCGCGCTCGGCATTGTTATATCTGGCTCACTATGAAAAAAGTTTGGTGACCCCTGCTCCAGGAGTATAATAGGGTTATTATACAACACTGAAATTCCTGTATTTAGAATAGTACAAATCAGAATTATTTTCTGGAACCATTATCAGAAATTGAGATAGAAATGTTAAGCTATCAATACTAAACACTTTATGTATTTAAAATAAAATGACAAAGTGTAGGGAATCCATGTATCCATGACACTAACAGAAGAAGTTGTTGTGTATCCCCCCCCCCCCAATGTCATATTCTGGTGACCTAGTCCTACTAACGTGTAATATTAGTTATATACTTCTACTCCACCTGGTTTCACATTGAACCATGCTCAGTCAAGTTACAAATAACAGTATAACATTAGTACTTTTACTCAACATAAACCTAGCCCTGGTTTCACATTAAACAATTCTCAGACTTAAATTACAAATTTACTCAAAATTGGTCGCCTTGTTTAAAAGATACAATATGTAAGATTTAGATAAATAGCTGGCTGTTCTTGCTATAATAGCTCAAAATAGATAATGCAAAATGAACATTTTAAAAATTTCATTCAAATTACTCCATTGTGAACGAAGACATTAGCTTTTGAAGGTTTGGCAAGATGGGTGCATTAATTGGTTGTTCGAAGCTTGGCCTCGCTCCTCCATTTTAAATTAAATCAAAATATAGCTGAACCATTCTAATCTACTTAATATCGGAGATATCTGATGGCATCAAGAGTTGATGATTATGATCTTGTTATGTTAATTAATGTCAAATTAATAGTTTATATAACATTTCAGGCTTTAAGAAAGACCTCCATAATGTATGTTTAAAGGAGCTAAGTCGCTAATATTTTGGACCTAGAAATTGGCACAAATGAGTCGCAACACATAGTAATGTAATATGAATTTATATAAACTGTTTTACATTCAATCGTGTCCGTTTTACTGTGAATTGTCATCAGTTATGTTCGGCGAAATATGCCAGAAGACTCAACCGCAAGTCAGTTTCTAGCGTCTTGTTATTCCAGTCAACACCGATATTATTTATTGCGCATGCTCTCCAAATAAGAATATGATATCACCGTTTGACATGACTTGTGGGATATGTCTAGCCTCATTCTTTGAGCACTTTCTTACAAATGGCGCTGAAACGCATTATGGTACACGATTCGTGTACCAATGGTAAAATGTTTATTTTGTTTTAAATATTGGATATCAGAAGCTCATCTTTTCCAGGTAAGATCACAACACCAATGCTGATTTAAATTGCATAAAAATTTGTGTTTTCAATGTCGAAGATTTTGGATGATATTGAGTTACGGACTTGGCTACTTTAACTAAAATATAGCCCTTTATAAAGAAACTATGTGCAAAGTTTTGTGTTTCTAGATCAAAGATATTTCTTATAAACAGTGATTGAAAGTTGAGTAAATTCTTAACTTAAGTCACAGAATGCTTTGTGAACTCCGGGACAGGTCATTCTGGGACTAACATGACAATTGTTTATTTCAATAATTCCCTTTTTCTTGTGCGTAGTACTTGAAGGTACCCGGAGAAAACCCACAACATTAGGAATGTTATTTTTTTTCATGTCAATTAACATATTTGCAATTTTTATAGTGTGTGTAATTTTGGAAGTTTTTTTTGAGGGGGTGGGGGGACATCTTCGGTTAGATATGATACATTCTCCAAATAATTATATTTGGCTTTGACAGTTGTCAGCATAGTTCTGTCAAATCAAATTATTTAATTCTTTGACTTTAATTGTTAATGACATGTTGATTGGTTGATAGATGAATAATTCTAATCATTAATCCAATCATTGGTCAGTTAACAAGACTGATTGTTTTTATAAGGCAACTGTTGATTAGTTATTAGATGAAGACAACTTGGCTTGTTATTGAAACTCACTGACACAGGTTGTGATTGGTTGGTTAACCAGGGTGAACATCAGTTACCTGTAATCTGATTGGTCCATGTTCTGGTGAGCAGATGACATAAAACAGAAGTGTGTCAGTTGTGTCATATCAACAAATATTTTGACTTCATTTCAACATCTTCAATAACATTTCTGTAAATCAGTGCTAAAAACAGTTTTAAAAAGTTGAATGGTTAGACTTTGTAGTCGTGTATGGTTTGAAAAAAAGTTGTCTGTCTGAATACAATTGTTTTAAATTTTATCTGAAATCAGGGATACCATTTGGACATTTGTGATACAACAAACATCAACTTGGATCTTTCATGATTTTAATGTGAAGAAGTTTGTCTGTCAATAATGGCGTCTATAGTAGAATACATGAAGAATACAGAAGTTATAAATTGTAACGAATATAACAAATTATCTTCTCATCCGATGTTTACGCAACTTCAAGCGACGTTGTTGTCCGACTGTTACCAACAAGATGTACCATATTCGCTGATTAATCCAGATACAGAGACGTCGCCAGCACCACAGATTAAACATGAAGTTATTAATTTAGATTCAGCTATGATCGCTGTCCAGGAAGCCAATTTACAAGCAGATTTTCGTCAGTTGTGTTTGCGGGGAGATTCACGTGTTTGTGAATTACAGAACTTTTATTATAGTCAGTGTGCTCAGAATGAAACACGACGATCAGAAGCTGTAATGGAACTTAAGGCAATGAGTTTTATTACAGCAGAAGAACTACAAGAAAAACTTGCCATCGTTCACGATTATTATGACAAGGAGCGACTACAGTTGACCAATCGAGTGACAGGAAGTTTACAGTTGTTGAAAGCTGCTCATGTTCCTGTAGCCAATCGAACTGTTTATAGTAAGAGTCGATCACGACAGTTAAATCCTCGTGCCGTGCAAGTTATGACTGATTGGTACGAAAAGAATCTGGACAGCCCGTATCCCAACGATGAGGAAAAGATCGAGTTAGCCGATAAGGGTGGGATATCGTTGTCGCAAGTTAAAGCGTGGTTCGCTAATAAACGAAATAGATCGAGTAACACGAAACCAAAACGTCAGAAACAACAAGTCGAAAAACAGCTGTTGACAATCTGTACTGAACTGAATTCTGGGCCAGGGAAATCCCCGAAAATGTATGGAGAAATAATACAGCAACTTTCTGATATTGTGAACGGATCAACGATATTTAATCAGGCGTGTCAAAGAAATGTCAGTGAACAGTGAGTGATATTCAATCTAGTCTGTCTGAAAGATGCTGGTGAACAGTGAGTGATATTATTCAATCAAGTGTGTCCGAAAGATGCTGGTGAATATATCGAGTAGGAGATATCATGAGATATAAACCGTGCCAAAAACAATATGATATCAAGTAACTTAAACTTTCACACGGACATTATAAATAATTATAACTTGATCCTGAAGCTAAATTTATATTTGATGCTTGAACAACATCATCATGGAACTGAAATTAATATTTCAGTGTTTGTGGGTCCATAATTTAAAAACATGGAACCAAATTTAATTTCTTGTGTAAGATGCTTGTTAGGACTAATGAGTTATTACAAGAAACCGATTATTTGTAAGTGAGAAGATTTGATACAAATATCAGCTGTTTTATTATTGATAATATTTTTAGTGCTATGTAAATAAACCAATTTATATATTGTAAATAAAAATTACTTATTTTAAACATTGTTTGTGTTTATTTATGTATGAGTTTAATAGGCCTTAATGTCCGCTTCCATCATTGAAAGGAAGCCATGACAGTTGGAATTCGATGAAGAGAAGGTGGTTTTGCGAAAGTTCCTGTATAGCACACTGTACGACGTATGTCAGACGTGGAACTCGAGTCCCATGACTTGGACTATAGGCCGACTTAAGGCACATCAATGACCCAAGTTGAGACTCAACTTAAAATATTTATTGCAACTCGAGACTCGACTAAAAAGAGCTTAGGACTCAAATCGTGACCGGGGGGGATAACTCTAACTTACCTTATACACCATGAATTGCTGACTTATTCGATAAACTGGCAACTTGAACAGGACTCAGACTTTGTTAGTGTGTTTATTAGTGCGGATTGTACGAGAAAGGAGGCCGTTTAACAGCATTTTATTTCCATCTAGGATTACATGACAAGCTAGATGTGGATTACATGCCAGATCTGTAGTGCGTGTTAGGGAGGAGAATTTTGCCTGGACAGTGGTACTTGCACCAGCCACTCTTCATCAAATGGTAACTGTCAAGAGTTTGTTTACTGGCAACCTCAATATAAACACATGCCTATTATTCTTTTATCTATGAAGAATTTGTAGACAAGTTGCGTAGAAATAAACCACCTGTTACAGACATTGTCTTCTGTTGCCTACCGATTTTGTCTGTTTTCTGTCTGTGTTTTTAATGAGATTTATAATACATGTCCACCACAGAGTTAAAAATGTCCTGAACAACCTCCATTAGCACCCAAGCAGGCCCGTAAATAAGGGAGGGGGGGGACACAGGGCGTGGGTGAAGCCCCGCCTCAAAACACAGGGTAGGGGTGAAGCCCCCGCTTCAAAAAGTTTTGCGCGCCCCCCCCCCCCCTTGTGAAAAAATTGTCGACCATAAAAAAAACAACCTAGATATACAGTGTCCGTCAATTTCACATCACCCCTGAGAACACTTCCCACCCCCTCGTTGTTCTGAGCTAGTTATGGCCCTGCACGCAAGCTTTTGTCCGGTACATTTAGAATTGTTTTTTCCAAGTCTGCAGTATTTGTGTTGGCAAATTCTTTATATTGGATAACGTGACAATTGAGGGGAGAAATTTTTATTTCAACTGCCAAGGCATCTTTTTCATCATCAATATCTGCTCTGTACTTTGGATATTAGTACCATTCAAATGACTAGACATAGTGGTTACCCTGACAACCCTTGGATGTTTGTCCCATCCGAAGGACTAGACACAAGTGTTACAAGATGGAGCAGTCTGAATGTTCTTCACAATCCATGGCAAGATTGGATCCTAGGACATTGTATTATTGTGTAACCAATTGAAGTCAGATTTTCATATTGAAAAAAGTATGAGTGACAACCAAGACTAAGTACATTACCACATTTCTGTAAACAATCGAAACCACCTACCTGATGCGAGCTGTGGGATGGCTGCCATAAAATGTATGCATTGATACAGCGGTGTTAATTGATCATTGTGACAGTCATGTTGAGTGTTGATTTATCATTGCGACAGTCATATTGAGTATAGATTTATCATTGGTACAGGCGTGTCGAGGATAGATTTATCATTGATACAGCCGTGTCGAGTATAGATTTATCATTGATACAGTCATGTTCTGTATATATTTATCATTAGTTTCGTGCAAGAAGAATGTTTCTGGCCATACCGTTGCTACAGTAGAGGTTATATTGAAATATTGTCACTTTTTCAGACTATGATTTAAAAATAATTTTAGACAAAATAAAAAACATTTAATTTGGGTTTTTTTTTTTCAGGTTTATGCCTGGCCATTATTAGAATCTGTATTTTCTGAAGTGTTAACGAAAGAAGAATGGTTAATGTTATGGGATAACATAATAAGTCGACATCCATCCTTTCTATTGATGTTAGTTGTGGCCTACGCTATCTGTGCCCGTGGTCCTCTAACACAGAGTACAGAGCTAGATGATTTTAAGGTAAGACCATTTGATGTTAATTGTAGTTTGAGTCTTACACTGGGGGGCTGGGTTGAATGGCTGGTTAGCATGTGCGAGCTGTATCATAAGGTCTGTCATTGAGTCAACTGCTGTGGTATCGATTCCACGGTTGTATGTGACAAGGAGTAGGCTCGCCTGTCCAACCTCGTGGTGGGTTTTCTCCAGGTTCTCTGATTTCCTCCCACTGCTAAAGACCCCTAGGCACAAGTGAATTATTGAAATATAGTTGAACCATGTGTTAGTCCTGAAATGACCTAGTTTGTGTCCAGTGGACGTTAAACCCCATTTCTCTCTCTCTTTCTGTCTGTCTAACACAGTGTAGAGAGCTAGATGACTTTAACGTAAGACCACATGATGTTGTAGCGTGGTCCTCTAACACAGAGTATAGAACTAAAAGATTTTAAGGTACATGTAAGACCACATTATGTTAATTCTAGTGTGGTCCTCTAACACAGAGTATACTGTATGCTCCTACAGATTATCAAGTTGCTCATATGTATGAGGAATGAAATTACTGAAATGGGTTACGTAACCGCTAGCGACATCCTTTTCAAACGGCTATTATATCATCATTTTATCAATATTTTGTATTGCAGTATTTCTTCCATCATCGTAATGCTGTGGATATAAAACTGGTGATAAAAGAAGCGACTAGGTTGATGGAGTCTACACCTCCCGACATCCATCCACGTAAATCGTTGGACAAGTTTAAACCTCTAACTAAAGGACAGTATCCAGTGTTTAATAAATATCCTAAATATATCGTCGATTATCAGGTTAGATATTTATAGAATCCAACACCAGGATTGAACCTGACACACCTTGGTTTATTGAACCAGTGCCTTACTCGGTAGGGGGGTTGGATGGCTGAATGGTTAGCACGTGCGCTCGCTGTATCATACGGTCTGTCATTGAGTCAACTGACGGGGTTTCGATTCCCGGTTGTACCTGACAAGGAGTAGGGTCGCATATCCAACCTCGTGTGTTTTCTCCGGGTCCTCCGGTTTCCTCCCACTGTTAAAGACCCCTACGCACAAGCGAATTATTGAAATAAAATTGAACCATGTGTTAGTCCCGAAATGACCTAGTTTTTGTCGAGTGGACGTTAAACCCATCTCTCTCTCTCTCTCCCTTACTCGGTACTCACTGAGCCACCCAGAGTGAAATGAAATAAAATGGGGTTTAGCGTTCTACTTTTCTACGCTATCATAAAGTCTCTCATTGAGGCAACTGTACGTGACAAGGAGTAGGGTCGCCTGTACAACCTCGTGGGTTTTCTCCGGGTCCTCTGTTTTCCTCATACTGCTAATTATTAAAATAAAATTGAACCACATGTTAATCCCGAAATGACATAGTTTGCGTCCCCATTTCTTTCTCACTATATATTGATGTGATATCCTATTTGTAACTTGAACAGCGCACCTGAACACACAGGTGAAGAATGTGTGCTTTATAAATATTATATAATAATAATACCTGACTTCATCAGTCTCATTGATGTAGATGAGTATTTTCTTGATAAAAAGGTAAAAATATGTGAATCATGTGTGAAGTCATGTAGAATGTGTGGGTCAATATAAGATTTGTTTTTATTTATTCAAGGTACAAGAAAGAGAGAGAATCATGTGTGAAGTCTTGATTCATGTAGAATGTGTGGGTCAATATAAGTTTTGTTTGTATTTATTCAAGGTACAAGAAAGAGAGAGAATCATGTGTGAAGTCATGTAGAATGTGTGGGTCAATATAAGTTTTGTTTATATTTATTCAAGGTACAAGAAAGAGAGAGAATACGACAGGAAGAAGATGAATATCTGAGACAAAGGTAAGTTTATTGTAATATCTGAGACAAAGGTAAGTTTATTGTAATATCTAAAACAAAGGTAAGTTTATTGTAATATCTGAGACAAAGGTAAGTTTATTGTAATATCTGAGACAAAGGTAAGTTTATTGTAATATCTAAAACAAAGGTAAGTTTATTGTAATATCGGAGACAAAGGTAAGTTTATTGTAATATCTAAAACAAAGGTAAGTTTATTGTAATCTCTGCCATCAGTCTCATTGATGTAGATGAATATCGGAGACAAAGGTAAGTTTATTGTTAAAGACAGATGACTTCTATAATAATTGATATTACCACACGTTGTTATAGTCAAATACTGTAATCTCTATCATCTCTCCCTCCCTACTATAATACTGTTATCAGTATCTTGACAGTCTATACCATCTCTCCCTCCCTACTATAAGACAAGGCACAATGTATAGTTGTTGGAATGGGAGGGAAAGCCTGAGGTCCTGTATACACATTGGAGTGCACTTAAAAGATCCCTACTGGGCTAATGAAAACAGGCTTACAGTGTGCTATGAGGGAAATTTTGCCTGGACAGCGGCGCTACGGCCTACTCTCGTATCGAATTTAAACTGCCAAGGAATAGTTAACTTGTACGCCAATGTGTGCATGGTACCTTGGTTTTTTGTTTCATCCGAAGAACATGATAGATATTATATTTCTGGATAAGCTTCTGTTGAGACATAGCTGTTGTGTTGGTGTATTTCCATGGTGGCTTTACGTAACTATTTTATTTGATGATGTGTCTGAATAGACATTATAAATGAAAACATTAAAACGCTGTGCTTATAGTTTATTTATTATTCATAATCTTCTTTATCAATCAAAGTTTCCCAGTTTATAAAATGCCGTAGTCACGAAAGTAAATTAAAAGTTTAGCCTTAGTGTACATAAAAACTGCCGTAGTGAAGAAGGAATTACTTTGTTCCAATTTCACGAATTTTGACCCCTGTGGCTTTGCGTAGCTATTTTATTTTATTTTATATGACACTATTTTCAGACAGTTATCATTGAATACGGAACAGGAAGCTAGAAAACGTCGAGAAGAAGAAGAAGCATGGTATCGTCAACAACAGTTATTGCTAGAGGCCGAGAATAAACGACGTCATATGATACAAGAAGAAGAACAGAAACTAGGAGATCAAAGAAAACGGTAAAATAGATACGTTGTTGTTATTTGGTGGCCGAATGGTTAGTGCGTGGACGTTAAATCATAAGGTCTGTCATTGGGTAAAGTGGCGTGGTTTTGATTCCCTGGTTGTTCGTGAGAAGGAGTAGAGTTGCATGTCCAACCTCTTGGGTTTTCTTTGGGTCCTCCGGTTTCATCTCACTGCTAAAGACCCTTATCTGCACGCAAACGAATTATTGAAATAAAATTGAACCATATGTTTGTCCTGAAATGACCTAGTTTGTGTCGAGTGGACGTTAAACCTCTCTCTTCTCACCATGTATTGTTAAAACTGTTCTTTAAAGTAACACATGCACCATTTGCATTTTTCGCCAAAATATCAAATTTCTGTCAACTTAAACCCCGCTAATATTGAATATTTAAAGGAGCTAAATCGCTAATATTTGACACCTAGAAATTGACACAAATGGGTGTATATAATAATGTAATATGAATGTATATAAATTGATTTACATTCAATCATTTCTGTTTTTACTGTAATTTCTAATCAGTTAGGTTCGGCGACATTTCAGTCCCTAGCGTCTGGTTATTCCAGTCTACGTCGATAGTATTAATTGGGCATGCTCTCCAGATAAGAATATAGCGTCACCGTTTGACATGACTTGTGGAATATGTCTAGCCTCGTTTTTCGTGTCCCTTATTACAAATGACGCTGAAACGCATTATGGTACACGATTCGTGTACCAATTGTAAAATGTTTATTTTGTCTTAAATATTGGATACTAGCAGGATACCCTGCTTCGCTCGGGGGTCATAACTCCGAAACCGGAAGTGGTAGACTAACGCCACCTGGCCTATGTTACTCCCCGGTCCGAGCTACCCCTATACCCCAAATTTCAGACTCGGGGCAGACCTAGTGTAGCCGCCAACCCCGAACATGTTTATTTTGTCTTAAATATTGGATACTAGCAGGATACCCTGCTTCGCTCGGGGGTCATAACTCCGAAACCGGAAGTGGTAGACTAACGCCACCTGGCCTATGTTACTCCCCGGTCCGAGCTACCCCTATACCCCAAATTTCAGACTCGGGGCAGACCTAGTGTAGCCGCCAACCCCGAACAGACCGGCTTCGCTCGGGGGTCATAACTTCGAAACCGGAAGTGGTAGACTAACGCCTCCTGGCCTATGTTACTCCCCGGTCCGAGCTACCCCTATACCCCAAATTTCAGACTCGGGACAGACCTAGTGTAGGTCTGACAAACAGACAGACAAACGACAGTCACAAATATATATATAGATCAACACTCCATCTTTTCCCGGTAATATCACAACATCAATGTTGATTTAAACCGACAAATAAATTGTGTTTTCAATGTCGAAGATTTTGGATGATATTAAGTTAGAGACTTAGCTACTTTAATTAAGAAAACAAAATCAAAATACCAAGGCTAGGATTTTAAAAAGGCCTACCAATGACTTTTCACAGGCAACAACATGGTGGTTGACTTATTACATAGCTAAGAGTATCGATTGATGAAATTTTAATGTCACATATCTTTGTAAATAACAGTTTTAGTGGTACGTTTTGTGGATTTGGCGCTATATAAATGGACATATTATTACGTGACAAAATGTCTGGCACTAATGAACTGGTATCTGACAATTTGAACTTTGTGCTGAACCTGTATTAAAATTATCAATAATTATAGATACAAAACAAAGACAAATCTGTGCAAAATAAAAACTGCAGGAAACAAGGACTTAGTGTAATAATGTCTGGTACGATGTCTGTTACAATTTTTTATTGTGGTCTGAATCCGTCAGCTTAAAAAAAAATGGGTTATGTCCCTTTATTTTTGGTAAACATTGGGTTGCCTCATTTCAAGGCTAGACTTCGACCTTGCAATTGACGTTCTGTTACAATAGCAATGGAAATGAAATAAAAGACAAAGCCCTGAAATAAGTATTTACATTTACGCCCAAAAATATATCTCTTATTTTAAAAATACATTAATCAGGAGCTCAACCCATTTACTATGATTTGTTCAGTTTTATAAAACATGATTGTTTATTATCACAGATTGTTTGCTATGAATAGAGAAATCAAGTTAAAAGAATTACATCTACTTGATGCTGCTAGACGAAAGTTTCTACAATTCCAGAAACATCAGAGAGAATCTGATTTAAAACGATTGGATGACGAGATGCAGAGAAAGGTTGGAAATTGATGATTTTTTTATAATTATATGTTACGATACTGTTGTTATCTTTGTTCACTGTTAATTGTCTCAGCAAAGGGGGCATTACTCCAACTTGCCTTATTTACCATGATTTGCTGACTCTTTGATAAATTGGCAAATTGAACAGGACTTTGGCTTTATGAAGAATTGGGGCTCAACCTAGACACAAGTTGTGGCATCTTGAGACTCCACTCGAACTTAAGACTCACAACCAGAATGTGACAGGTTCGAAGTCGACCGAACACAATCAAGCCCAGTTTCCAGTTGTCGGGGCTAGTCTCTGTATGGCTGACTTCAACTTCTATCTCCAAACTGATTGAATGCACAAAATTGTTTTGTTGTTGTTGTAAAAGTCTATACCAGTGGTTCTCAACCTTTCTTTGGCAATGGGACTGTTTCTATGTAACCAGCGAAAACACACACGGAAATGAGTACATGGAAAACGAGCCTAAGGATTTAAAGAGGGATGATGATAATGTGGGGTGACTTGTTTGATGTTGGTATAGTTCTGGAACTTATACAGAACAGCTTAATTTTTATTTTACATTAGTGTATATCTAAATTGTTTTAAATGATTTGTATTTTTAGGCGTTATTACGAGATCAAGAAACAGAAGCTGCTATAGAAGAAGCTGAAATCAGAAATCTTGAATTACAATTACAGCGTAAAATGTTTGAACAGGTACAATTAATAAGTTACGGTCGACTTGTTAACGTAAAATTGACCTATTTAACGGGATAGGTTACGGCCGACTTGTTAACGTAAAGTTGACCTATTTAAAGGAGCCTTATGGGAAATTAGATAAAGAGTTGACAGTTAAAAAATAGATAACGTAAATAGAATATGCTCCAATCTGAACCGAGATATTAGCCTTTGAATTTTTGGCTAGCATTGATCATCATTACTAAAGTCAGTACGATATAAAACAAAGTCTTGATTATCCATTTTTACGTTTAATTATTTTTCAAAAAATGTATTCCAATCCGCTAAATATTGCGGGCTAGCGATGACATTGAGAGTTGATTATGGTCTGGATCAGTTAATGAATGTCTTATTAATAATTTAGATAAAATTTCAGACCTAATGAAAGACGTGCAATAGGCAGATTTAGCTCTTGCATAATGTATGTTTAACAGGAGACTATGAAACTAATTACGTATTCCTATAAAAAAAACAAAGAGATAAATATAGTACCTGGACAGGTTATGCATGTAAGAAGTTATTTACCCCAGTTACCTGGGAGAACGCTAGATCCGAGACAGTCCTGCACATTTTACGACGTCATATGGGTTAGGGTAAGGGTTAGGCTTGGCCCAGGGTTAGATTTAGGGCTAGCCCTGTCTACATCTCGAGACTCTGACGAAATCTGCAGGTGCCCTTACCCTAACCCTTATCCGAACCCACAATCCACATATGACGTCATAAAATGCACAGGACCGTCTCCGATCTAGCGTTCTTTAGTTATCTGTTGGTGAAAGATAAACTATAAAATAAAAACATCCGTCCTGTATCACAATTTATTAAAGAATGGTCCAAGGACCAGAATATTCATTCTGTATTTTCTTTCAATCTTTCACCATTTATTGTTTTTTGTGCTAAATGTCTATTTTTTTTAGGAATTATTTCGAGATTTTTATGCTAAATGTCTATTTTTTTTAGGAATTATTTCGCGATTTTGCGATAACGTCCCAACAGTTGAGATCTGAAGAAGATGCTCATCGTAAACAAGAAGAGCTGGAGACGAGAATTCGACAGAGAATACAAAATGCTGAATATGAAAGACAAATGGAAGTTAGAAAGGTTTGTAAAGGCAGTCATTGTTTTTTAAGGCGAGCGATTGCTCTCGAGCACCCTGCCACTCACCTGAATGTCAAACGAGGAGAGTTTTTTTTTTCCCTCTCCTTAAAATTGAAAATCCCTCTCCTTTACATAGTCATTGGGGGTTTATTATCATTTATGAAATCAGGAATGACCCCATTACATGCAGTTAATGATCTTAGAACCATTTCCCATACTCACAAATAATCACTCTCCTTAATATCAGATCACCCTCCTTAATTTCTAAATCACTCTCCTTAATTTCTAAATCATTCTTCTTATCGAAACTGGAAGAGGTTTTTTAGGGAGCGATTTTTTCAATTTGTTGATTTAGGGGAGTTTTTTTCTGCTCTTGTCTAAAATACAAACAACGACTGTAGAGGGTGTGGGGGGGAGATCAGTGGGGAAGGGAAAGAAGAGAAAAGGAAGGGAGAGAGCAGGGCAGAGAGGGGGATGAGACAGGGGGTGTGGAGGGAATGGCTTGTTATTGACTAAACAGAAACTAGGTCATTTTTGGGCTAATATTTTAAATTTATTTCAATAATTTGTTTGGGTACAGGGATTGAACCAGAAAACCCATGTAGTTTGGTAGGCGACCCTATTCTTTGTCTGAACCATGTCATGTGAATCACAGACAGACCTTAGGATCTAAAGTGCACACATTAGAGAGAAATGGGGTTTAACATCCACTCAACATAAACCAGCTAGGTCATTTCGGGACTAACATATGGTTTAATTTTATTTCAATAATTCGCTTGCGCGTAGGGTTTTTTTAGCATTGGGAGGAAACTGGAGGACCCGGAGAAAACCCATGAGGTTGGACAGGCGACCCTACTCTTTGTCACGTACAACCGGGGAATCAAAACCATGCCAGTTGACTCAATGACAGACCGTATAATACAATGGGAGGAAACTGGAGGACCCGGAGAAAACCCACGAGGTTGGACAGGCGACCCTACTCTTTGTCACGTACAACCGGGGAATCAAAACCATGCCAGTTGACTCAATGACAGACCGTATAATACAGCAAGCACTTGCTAACCATCCAGCCAACCAACCCCCCTCACACATTAGACCACTCAACTCTCACCCCTCCCCTGCTGGTTTGAACATTACTCCATGCAAGGTGTGACTATTCTTTTCAGAACATCTAATACCCGACCCCTTCTAATTTGAGTACGTACATTATAAGACTATTCTTTTCAGAACATCTAATACCCGACCCCTTCTAATTTGAGTACGTACATTATAAGATAATTTTGATATATATTTGTATTTGTAGATGATGGAACAGAATTTAGCGGTTGCCAGTCAACAGAATGTTGAGATGCGAACACATAAAGAGATAGAAGATAGATTCCATGTTGAAGATCTTGAGAGAGAAGCTAAAAACGTTCAATTAGCACGTATACATACACAGAATCGATCTTTAGAATCAGAGGTTCATGATTTGATGCAAAAATGTCAGAAGGAAAGAGTGAGTTATTTCAACACTTTTAATTTGATGGGTTGGTTGGCCGAATGGTTAGTAAGTGCGCGCTGTATCATACGGTTTGTCATTGAGTCAACTGGCGTGGTTTCGATTCCCCGGTTGTACGTGACAAGGAGTAGGGTCGCCTGTTCAACCTCGTGGGTTTTCTACGGGTCCTCCGGTTTCCTCCCACTGCTAAAGACCCCTACGCGCAAGCGAATTATTGAAATAAAATTGAACCATGTGTTAGTCCCAAAATGACCTAGTTTGTTTTGAGTGGACATTAAACCCTATTTCTCTCTCTCTCTCTCTCTTTAATTTGATAGTCCTTGCTCCAACTAGCATAGGTATTTGATAGCCCTTGCTCCAACTAGCATAGGTATTTGATAGCCCTTGCTCCAACTAGCATAGGTATTTGATAGCCCTTGCTCCACCTAGTATAGGTATTTGATAGCCCTTGCTCCAACTAGGATAGGTATTTGATAGCCCTTGCTCCACCTAGTATAGGTATTTGATAGCCCTTGCTCCACCTAGTATAGGTATTTGATAGCCCTTGCTCTACCTAGCATAGGTATTTGATAGCCCTTGCTCCACCTAGTATAGGTATTTGATAGCCCTTGCTCCACCTAGTATAGGTATTTGATAGCCCTTGCTCCACCTAGTATAGGTATTTGATAGCCCTTGCTCCACCTAGTATAGGTATTTGATAGCCCTTGCTCCACCTAGTATAGGTATTTGATAGCCCTTGCTCCAACTAGGATAGGTATTTGCGTAGGTCATAGCACACTTTTAAGAGTCCCCAATGTTACCTGAAATTATATTTCGGTATTTGGGTGACGTACTACAGGGGTGTAGCAAAAGCATCTGGTGAAGGGGAAGCCACGGTTACACTATGTGGCGTACATGTTGCGTCAATCTACGCATTACCTACGCCAGGGTAAAGAATGTTGATGTGAGACAGGATTTAGATTTCAGTATATTGAATTTGATATGATATGGTTGACTCTTTAATTCACACAGATGACAATTCTATGGAATACAGTTATTGTTTATTACCGAGCGATGTTGAGCGACGTTTCGACGAGGCTTCTCTAGTCATTATCAATGAATTACTGTTTATTACTGAAATACGTTTCTACTAGGCTTCTCTATTCAATGATATCATTGTTTGATATCTATATATATATTTGTGACTGTCGTTTGTCTGTCTGTCTGTCTGTCTGTTCGGGGTTGGCGGCTACACTAGGTCTGCCCCGAGTCTGAAATTTGGGGTATAGGGGTAGCTCGGACTGGGGAGTAACATAGGCCAGGTGGCGTTAGTCTACCACTTCCGGTTTCGGAGTTATGACCCCCGAGCGAAGCCGGTCTGTTCGGGGTTGGCGGCTACACTAGGTCTGCCCCAAGTCTGAAATTTGGGGTATAGGGGTAGCTCGGACCGGGGAGTAACATAGGCCAGGTGGCGTTAGTCTACCACTTCCAGTTTCGGAGTTATGATCCCAGAGTGAAGCCGGGTATCCTGCTAGTATTATATAAAGATGATATGTAAAGGATGAGGTGTATAGAATGTTGTAGACTTATTGTACATGGTTTAAATAACATCTGGTTATTGTACATGGTTTAAATAACATTTGGTTATTGGACTAGGAATACACAGGACAATCTTAGTTGAACGTCTCTCAGTAATTCAAATTGTATTCCATAGAATTGTCACCTGTATGTTCAATTACTTAAGGGGTACTCGATTGAACGTTCCGGAATTGAATTCTCTCAATCCCAAAAATACTGACAATCGAGTAAAAAGGGGTATTTTGGGCTATAACGCATGCGTGGCCTGGATAAGTAAATATCTCAACCAACCAGGCAGCCGAAACATTTTCTGTCAATGCAGAATATTCTGGACTGTGAATCAAGCATCCACTAATTGTTAATTAAAGAATCTTGTAAATTGATTATATTAATTTTAGCAAAAAGATACGGTATCAGGTTATAAAGATCTGGGGTATGATGTAGAGGAACGAGTTAATAATAGTATGAGAGGATTGGATAGATTAGAGATAAATAGACATATAGGTCAACAACATACAGATAGTATAACACATCAAGGTAAATATACAGGTAGTATATAACACATCAAGGTATTACATAATATACAGGTAGTATAACACATCAAGGTATTATACAGATAGTATAACACAATATACAGGTAGTATAACACATCAAGGTAAATATACATATAGTATAATACATCAAGGTATTATACAGATAGTATAACACAATATACAGGTAGTATAACACATCAAGGTAAATATACAGGTAGTATAACACATCAAGGTATTATATATCGCGATATTGACCTCTGATGATGTCACAAGAGGTTAATATCTAAATGGAGATGAAAGAGATAATTTCACCGTGTTTTGTATAATCAGGAAATAAACCGACATAAAGCAGGGAAATCAGAGTCTATAGACACCTTTGACCAGACATAGACAAAATCGCGAGGGTCAACCCTGTTTTAATATTTGTATCAGATGATTGTAAATATTAAGATCAACAGAATGATGAAAATAAAACTGTTAAATAATTCCTTGTAAAATAAAACGGTTATTAGAATTAGAATAATAATAATGTATGATGTTATATTGAAGTAAAGGGTGAGTTTTAATATAGATAATATTATTTTATATATTTCTAGCTGGTACATCTAAACATCTGAGTTTTAAAGAAACAGATATGTATGATAATTTACCACCAGAAGATCCAGACATGTCAGCTAGAGGTTAGTTTTATAAAACATTTGGGTATTTTGTTACAAGTTTGGGTATTGGGTATTTTATTAAAAGCTTGGATATTGGGTATTTTATTCAAAGTTTGGGTATTGGGTATTTTATTAAAAGTTTGGGTATTGGGTATTTTATTAAAAGCTTGGAGATTGGGTATTTTATTAAAAGTTTGGGTATTGGGTATTTTATTAAAAGTTTGGGTATTGGGTATTTTATTAAAAGTTTGGGTATTGGGTATTTTATTAAAAGTTTGGGTATTGGGTATTTTATTAAAAGCTTGGATATTGGGTATTTTATTAAAAGCTTGGATATTGGGTATTTTATTAAAAGCTTGCATATTTTATTAATAGTTTAATAGTTCCACTGGATCCACCAGTGTGATTACCCCATGTCAGTGATGTAGGATGGAGAGCCTTGCAAGGGACAATGTATAGTCATTTGGATGGAACAAAAAACGAGGTCCCATGTACACGGGGGGGTGGGGGGGATGGCTGAATGGTTAGCGATGTGCGCGCGGTATCATAAAGTCTTGTTATTGAGTCGACTGGCGTGGTTTCGAATCCCCTGTTGTACGTGACAAGGAGTAGGGTCGCATGTCCAACCTCTGGTTTCCTCCCACTGCTAAAGACCCCTATGCGCAAGCGAATTATTGAAATAAAATTAAACCATATGTTAGTCCCGAAATGACCTAGTTTGTGTTGAGTGGACGTTAAACCCCTTCTCTCTCCCTCTCTCCCATGTACACATTGGCATGCACATAATAGAACCCTTGACACTTTGAATTCGATATAAGAGCAGGCTGTAGTGCTGCTGCCCGGGTAAAATGTCCTTCATAGAACACTGTATGGCGTATGCCCGTCTTCATTAGCCCAGTTCGGAGCAGTACAATAGGACGTTAAACCCCATTTCATTTTGTTTACTAATATATAATATGACTATAATTTTAGTATCGTTTGAGAGAAGTGGTAAAACATTTGATGAGAAGGAACAGGAATTATTACGTGAAGTGAGAAGATTACGGCAAAGACTCGCCACGGAAAACCGACATAAAAAACCACCACCTTTAATCACACATTAATCGTTTATTTAACTTAAATCGTGGATTGATGATACATTAATCAGGCCTTTGTGATTGAAGCGTGAAATAAAAATACTGAAATTAGACAAATCTGTGACTGATATAATGACCGGTGCCAGAGTATTGTCGTTGATATTAATATATTTATTTCTAATGCTAGATTAACAACTAAATTACCAAAATATCATCAACATTCCATACCCATGTTGTATAGCAAAACAAACTCAAATTATTAATTCCGATAAATTTATAATTACACAAGGTACAACTATTATAATAGGTTGATGTGTGTAGAGAGTTATATAAAAATATCTTGCATGGTTCGTGAATTATAATCCAGAAACAAACATAGTACAGAATATTTAAAATCCAAGAAATTTCTAAATAGCAAAAGGAACAACTACTATAATAGGTTGATGTGTGCACATAGTTTTATGAAAATATCTTGAACGGTTTATGAGTTATGGTCCTAAGAGACAGTCCGTGATATTACAAAACGTCTGAAATGAAAGTAGGTTTAATTATAAAAATCAAACACCAAAATGTACCAATATACCGGAAGTCTATATTATCTGGTCAAAAAATTTCAAATCTAAATATTGAGACCTGTTTTAAAAGTTTGTGATTATAATATCAGAGTTAATTAGATCATCTATACAGGATGTTACTCTTTTAGAGACATTTTATAGTAACTGGATAGAGCAATAAACTATAACATATATTATGTAAATTAAAGATACATTATGGGAGATTCGATAACGAGTTGGCAGTTCTCACTATAATAGTTAAAAACTAGATAATGTAAGGGCAATTTGCAGAAAATTTCAGTCAAATTGATCCACTATGAACCAAGAACTAAGCGATTGAAATTTCCGCCTAGCCTCGATCATCATTACTAAAGTCAGTATGATAAACAGCATAGTCACGATTATACATTTAATCCTTAAATCGTGAAGGAAAGATATGCAGTAAATCGGCTCATAATCCAATAAAGATCGCAGGCTAGCGATGCCATCTAGAGTTGATAAAGACGTGCAATAGACAGATTTAGCTCTTACATAATGCAAGGTTTAATTCGCTGTTTTTTTATAGTTTTATATACACATACTAATCTTCATAATTAAACGATGAAATAAAATTGTAAATATAATTTGTAAATAAAACATATATTTATTTATTGTATATAAAATTAGAGAGAAGAAATATGAAATAATATTCTGTGTAAAACTCCCCCACAGAATTAATATAAGTTTATAAATATCTGTCTATGGACCAGTCACATAAACGATCCCTTGACAGATGGAATTCGATATAAGAGTAGGCCATAGGGCGGCTGTCCAGGCAAAATTTCCCTCATAGCACACTGTATGGCGTATGCCCGTCTTCATTAGCACAGTCGGAGCAGAACAGTAGGACGTTAAACCCCATTTCATTTCATTTCTGACCAGTAATCATGTGGTAAATAAGGTACATTTAGCTTTCCACTTATCACAAGATAAAACCACAATTAAATGTTAATAAACAGTTGAAAAAAGATGAGTCTTTATATAATTAATTGCTTCTTAAAACAGACAAGAAATTGTGAATTCTTTAAGGTCAAGGGTAAAGCATATCCATAGGTTTGGTACAGTGCATGAGAAGCATCTGTGACTGAAAGACTTAATTCTATAGTCGGGTACCAAAAGACCGTTTTCATTTTGAGGAAACAGGTTTTCTGTGTTATGTTTTACCTGGAAATTGTCCATATATTATTATCTGTCCATTTATATATTCATATGTATAGATTTCTAATTATGGTCATGATTAACATTCAATAAAAATATCAGTTTTTCAATACTTTTGGTTGTTGCCACCAGTTTATCGGATGTTTTAGTTGTTTCGCCCCAGCACTGGGTGAATTCTTAACATTCCATGATACAAGTCTAAGAAAATAAAACTTAATTCCATGTGGAAAACCTGGGCCCTGTTTCTCGAAATTCTAACTAAAGATAAAATCCAATTTTAGTAGATACTTCAATTTTGATTGGCTAAGTACTAAAATCAATCTAATATTATCCAATCAAATTACTAAAATTTGGATTTTATCTTAGTTAAAATTTCGTGAAACAGGCCCCAGTTCCCCAGTTCTCCTGAACAGTAGAACCATCTCCTCCCCTGCTCTCCAGAACCCTAGAACCACCTTCCCTGTTCTCCAGAACCCTAGAACCAGAAGGGTTTAAATTGAAGGTTTTACACCGTAAAAAATCCAACGAATCCACAAAGAATTGTATAGGAAACACGAGTTCGTACACATACTGCGATTAACATGAATACGCTAAGTCCGGGTCCATATTTCAGATAAATATTATCGATAGGGATCTTCATAATGATATACACACACAAAATAAAAATGAAAACAATTGTAGCTTTTAATGTAAAGTGAGCACAAGATGAACGCACCGACGTGACGAACGTAAAGGGTGATAACTATATACGGCCTTATTATAAGGGTTAGGGTTCGTTCGATTAGAACAGTGATTCTCAACAAATGTGCCGCGAGATCTTCCTAAGTGTGCCGCGAAATTTTGAACGTCGCACTAAGAAAATGCGAAAAGCCACTTGATCCCAACTGAGTATTAACTGGTGCATAGGCGTACCAGTTGTGTATATTACAAGTAAATAAAATTTAGTTCTCTTTTATTGATGGTTTAGAAATTAAGAACTTATTCATCGCAAAAGAGATATGATGATTATTATGTAACATACTAAGAACCTAACTACATTTTTGGGGCACCAACCACCACCGCCCCCCAGTCAAAAGTTTCCCCGTACGCCTATGAACTGGTGTCTACGGATAAGTTCAGAGCTGTGATTTTTCTTTATTTAGTTTAAGTCATTCTATGTCTAGTCTCTGTCTACGGTTGTATGCCGTCTGACTTACCATGTTTTTATTTTGCAAAATTCAAATATTTTCCATATATATATTTAACCAGGCGTGTCGCTATTTTTTCACGTGTAACAAAGTGTGCTGTTAGCAAAAAAAAAGGTTGAGAACCACTGGATTAGAATAAAATAATATCCCCTCCCCCCCCCCCAGCCGAGAGTGTTACAGATTTATAATAAACATTTACATGCAGGTAATCTTTAGATAAAACATTAATGGATCTAAGCTTCATACAAATTATGTTCTTGACGTGTAGCGTATTATGACGTCATAATCATTCAGTGGAGATTTTCCACGTCTAGCGTCTTGCAAAGAGGATCGTTATAGGAATTATTCTTTAATTTGGATTTATATTTATAATATTTCGACCATTTCATTGGATTATTTTAGAAATAAATAATCATGGTCGTCTTTGAATCAAAGACCTGGGGTAATATAGTGATAATCGACACTAATACCAATAGTCAAGTGGATGATGCCGCGCCAACTGAAGCAGGTACAGATGGTCCAACTGTTAATGAAGAACAGACAGAGGCCACTGCCACAGCGGAAGTTACAGAAGCCGCTGCCACAGAAGCCGTAGCCACAATAGAAGTAACAGAGGCAGAAGCCCCACAGGAGGAAACTACCCCCGCGACAACAGAAGAGGCAACAGCGAATGCAGAAATAGGATCCAACAAATCAGTGGCCGGGGATGTTGGAGGGGCTGATAACCCAGTGGCAACTGACGAGGCTACGGGCACACCAGAAGTAACAGAGGCAGCAGCTGATACAACACCCACAGAGGCAGAAAACACCACAGAAGAATCGGTGAAAGATGAAACAAATGCTGATAAACCAACTGTGTCGGAGGAAGCAACCCAAGCCAAAGAGGCTCCGGTCGAAGAGACTAGCGCACCAGCATCTAGTGGTAAGAAAATTCCAATAATTCAACAAACAAGTATTTTATAAGATGACAAATCCTTAATACAAGATATTTTTTTTATAATAATAATTAATTCTCTGTATATTTCAGATGAGCCCACACAGAGTAAGACGTGTACAGCTTGTGTTTTATTATAGAGAGATAAAAGGAGAAGTTTATTTATATCTGCTGTATTAAATATTATCTTATCAACAACAACTTTTAAATCATATTTATAATATTATTACCGTCCTAACAACAACTTTTAAATTATGGGTTAATTATATGTAACAAATCCTTTCTATATGCACCATATGTACCAGTATAATAAAATATATCTGAAGTATTTCTAATCTTATCTTCTATTTTTCTTGGACAGTGGTGCTTTCTACTGTCTGTACCTATGCCAAACGATCTTTTACGTTTTACGTACCCGACCATATTGTACATGCGCGGGGCCTCGGTTTTGTGTAGTTATCCAATGACCTGACAGACAGGCAAAGGGAATGGAGACTCAAAGAATCCGGGGGGGGGGGGGTTACTCCCCCACAGAGGGATAAACATTCTTCACTACCGAAAACTCAATCGACCTTTGCTTATTCTTAGGAGATGAAAACTGAATCGTGGAGAAATGTTACCATTAACAAATAAAGTCAATGGTTGGATGTGTGGTCCGGAGAAAATTTAGAAAAATCGGGATGCCGGTATGTTATTTGTGGCGCATATGTTAACCCGAATTTAACATCATAGACGTACAAGGCAGATCAGCCTTTGGGACCTGAGCGGGGTGGGGGGGGGGAATTGGAAGTGCCCGAAAGAATTTTCTCCGTCGCGGCTGGCGAAGACGGGTGCCAACGAGCGCTGAAGGCGCGAAGCACGATCTTGTTGGCTGGAGGGAGGGGAGGGGGTGCAGCCAACGTGAACTCCAGATTTATTTTTTGTTTTTTTTTCGGGGGGTGGGGGGAGAGGCAGAAATGTATTGGTCGATAACAAAAAAATTCTGTCATCAGCCCGGGGTCCAAGGTACACATTGGTGTAAATGTATAAAAGACCAGTTTAAACACGATGAACACCCACCATGCAAAAGACAGTGGGTCTTTACCCAAACAAAACGGAATCGAATAAACCTAATTAATGATCTCGCGTCTCCTACCTATGCTAGGTTTAGCCTATTATTTGGCTCCTCTGTCTGCGATATCGCCCAAGGTGGAACCGGACGTTAATTGTAGAAGAATGGAAACACCGTTGTCCGGACAACAACATTTGCCTCATAGGACACTGCCTGGTGTTTGCCTATCTTTATTAACCAGTTACAGAATAGTAGGCCGTTAAACCCCCCGTTATCTGATTCCAATTTACTATTACAATTTAATCCGTTTCTCTGAGTCTTTGAGTGTAAAATTTAAATATTACAGTAACCGTGAAGGAGTTAATATCATAGGTTATCGGAACAAAACCATCGCGACATTTTCCGAACACAGCTGAAGGCAAAATTTCGTTAGAGTTCGTCCTCTCATAACCACAATGCTATTTTGTTATTTACACCAAAATTTGAAAAAAACATCCATAGCCAAAGGGTGGTAACTCCAGCATTGAAGGTTTCGGCACGCTGAAAATCGATAGGGTTCGTCATCTTATGACCATAATGCCTTACACCAAAATCTGAAAACAGATCGACTATAAAAACTGTGGCCACTATCGTATTAGTTTTCGTGTAAGGGGGCATAACTCTAGAACAAAATGTTACGGAACACTGATTTATCGATAAGGTTCGTCCTCTCATGACCCAAGGGCTTCAAACCAAATTTGAAAAAAAACGGTTAAAAAAAAGATAGCCTTTCCAAGTTTTTTGGGAAAAGAGAGCATAACTAAATCGGAAGATCCTTTTGATCCTTAACACATAATGTCAAGTTTCATCTGACTCTAGAGGGTTCACAAACCTTTTACATATTTCACATTTTACGTAAAAGACAGGGGGCAAAACTCTGGAACGGAAGGTCTGATGCACACCAAGATCGTTTGATTTTTAACACATATTTAAAGTTTCTACAGCTAGATGGTCCACAACCTTGGTATACGTATCACATGCTTTTCCACCGAGATCGTTGGGATATAAAACATATTTTAAGTTGCATCAAAATGGGATAAAAATTGTAACCTCTAGTGGGTCCACAAGACAAAAATTGCGATTTTTCGCACAATCTGGGACAATAATCCATTAAGTAACCCACCGATGCGTGTCAAGTTTGGCCACCCAACCCGCGAGAGAAGAACAAATGAATATTATTATAAGAACAAAGGGATAGATTATTGTAAAACAATTTAATTCTAAAAGTGAACAAGTTTTTAATACGTAGAATACAATAAAATATAAAAAACACAAAACAGCACGAAAAATACACGTAAAATATTTTTTTTTAAAGGATAAAGCATGGAAAAGATATAATATTATGCTAATATTACGCTTTACGATCTTGATATAGATAATACCAAATAAGGAAAGGTGGTAATTTATTAAAAATTAAAACGATAAAGTGAAAGTAGAAGGCACGACGGTTTACTATAAATATTCATATCATCATATAGAGAGGAATAATAACAAATAAGGCGGGAATCTTATAGAATAAAAACAATAGAAGGCGGGAACTTAATAATATCAAATTTAAAAACTGTGAAAATGAAAGTAAAAGATTCTATTTATAACTCTATGTAATGAATACAATAAATGCAATATATTCTCCTCTGTCTGGCGGAAGTGACGAGGAGTTAAAAATAACAGTAAACAACATTAAAAATTTAAAAAATACAACAGTAATATCTCTGTGATTTTATTTTATAATATAAAAAATATAATAAGTACTTTTAGTGTATAATGCCCTCAGATACTGTCCATCTATTCCAAAGAGAACCGTATATACCGAGTGCGAAAGCGTCTGCTAGTGCGGTGATCGATTGCAAATGCGGACGAAATTTTGTTTGCGCAGAGATTGCCTCCAGAGAGAGCGATTTTCATTAACCTAACGGCGTGTAACGTCAAAAGATGGATCTTGTTTAAAGCGTCAAGGCACAAGTTTCATCACGATCCACACAGAAAGTCGCAGTCGCTTTCGAGGCTACGTTCGCGCTCTGCACAAATGGCTCTTAAATAACAAAAAAACCCAACCCCCCCCCCCCCACACACACACACAAAGCCATATTTAATGTGATTTGAGGACTTGATGATCTTATCTATATCCTACCCCCCGGGTGATTTTATCGTCCCCGATTTCGAGTATTAAGCCGTATGTGCACTAGAGGCCATTTTACCCCAAGTCTGGTAAAATTTGGTATAAATTAGGATGGAAACGATGCTCTGACTCGTCTTTCACCAAGTTTCTGTGTTGGTCTGAAATTATCCGCCATGACACCATCTTCGCCTGTTTTAGGACATTCACCTTTAGGAAATGTTCTCAATCGACGGAATTCTTCAAGCTGCAATAGAAAATATTGTGAGAAGTTTTATAGTTTGTATGGAGAGAGAGAGAGAGAGCGCTTTAACGTCCACTCGACACAAACTAGGTCATTTCGGGACTAACATATTTGGTTCAATTTTATTTCAGTAATTTGCTTGCGCGTAGGGGTCTTTAGCAGTGGAAGAAAGCGGAGGACCCGGAGAAAACCCACGAGGTTGGTCAGGCGACCTCACTCTTTGTCACGTACAACCGGGAATCGAAACCACGCCACTTGACTCAATGACAGACCTTACGATACAGCGCGCACGCGCTCCACCCCCCCCCCCCATTTTAAATTATACCCATTTACACTAAACAGGAATTATTTTTCATCCAGATATACTTCAAACATTGTTTTAGAATTTAATTTGAAGAAGGAGACAAATTAATATTGTGAGCTAATTAAGCTAAGTAACCCACACCGATGACAGCTCTCTCAGTGACTGTAGCGGCCTAATGAGGTTGGACAGGCGACCCTACTCCTTGTCACATACAACCGGGGATTCGAAACCACGTCAGTCGACTCAATGACAGACTTTATGATACAGCGCGCGCACGCTAACCATTCAGCCACCCAACCCCTCACGCCCAGTCGAAGCAGAAGAGTGGGACGTTAAACCCTATTTTAATCTATGTACAAAGTTGAACTACCTGGTTCCGTGTATATTAATGTCGGTAGAATTAGCGTTAGTTCGTCTGTTTAGTTTTAATTTCGTTTTTTGTCCAGAAAAGATGAACGTAAAATCGGATGTTTATTTTTTAACAACGAGGAATTAATTTAACTGGTTGATTTAATAATAACCTTAACTTCAAGACTGCAAACATAAATTACAAATTAAAAAATAATACCAAAACCAAATGCTATATATCTATAAAACATATTAATATGCAAATGTATTTTTGTACAATTTATTTTTAGAAAAGTTAAGATAAGATTTTACTGCATCTAAACGTCATACAAATTTTGTTATTGACGTGTTGCGTATTATGACGTCATAATCATCAATTGGAGGTTGGCCAGGTCACCGAAGAGGAACGTTATAGGAATTGTTCTTTAATTTAGATATCGACCATTTCATTGGATTATTTTAGAAATAAATAATCATGGTTGTCTTTGAATCAAAGACCTGGGGTAATATAGTGATAATCGACACTAATACCAATAGTCAAGTGGATGATGCCGCGCCAACTGAAGCAGGTGCAGATGGCCCAACTGTTAATGAAGAACAGACAGAGGCCGCTGCCACAGCGGAAGTTACAGAAGCCGCTGCCACAGAAGAAGTTACAGAAGCCGCAGTCACAACAGAAGTAACAGAGGCAGAAACCCCACAGGAGGAAACTACCCCCGCGGCAACAGAAGAGGGAGCCGTAAATACAGAAGAAGGCGCTAATAAACCAGAGGCAGGGGATGCTACCGGGGATGCTGAAGGGGCTGATAACCCAGTGGCAACTGACGAGGCTACGAGCACACCAGAAGCAACGGAGGCAGCCGCTGATGCAACACCCACAGAGGCAGAAAATACCACAGAAGAATCGGTGAAAGATGAAGCAGCACAAGCCAAAGAGGCTCCGGTAGAAGAGACTAGCGCCCCAGCATCTAGTGGTAAGAAAGTTTGAATAATTCAACAAACAAGTATTTTATAAGATGACAAATCCTTAATGCAAGATATTTCATGTAATAATATAGTTAATTCTCTACATTTTTTTTTATTTTTCAGATAAACCCACACAGAGTAAGAAGTCTAAAGCTTGTGTGTTATTATAGAGGGATGAAAGGAGAAGTTTATTTGTATATGCTGTATTATATATTATCTTATCAACAACAACTTTTAAATTCTATTTATAATATTATTACCGCCCTAACAACAAGTTTTAAATCCAGTTTTATTGTAACAAATCCTTTCTATCCACCAGTATAATAAAATATATCTGAAGTTTTTCAAATCTTATCTTCTATTCTGTCTCATCGTCAATAGAAGGCTTGATCCGCACATCTTATCAAGCTAAATGTTGTAAAACTCGCGATCGTTGCTTCAGGAACATGATGTTGTCTAGGCGGTGGGTATTTCGCCTTGTCATATATTTCCAACTGCCAAACGATCTTTACATACATATTGAACATGCGCTGTCTTTATCAAACGACAAGAAAGACAGGCAAGGGGAAGAGGGCTGGAATAATCCGGGGAGGGGGGGGGGCGGATTTCTCTCTCCCCACATCGGGATAAACATGCTCCCCAACCGACAGATGTGGGGAAAATCAATCCACCCATACTAATAACTAGGAGATGAAAACTGAATCGTAGAGAGCTGTTCCTATTACTGATTAAATTGTCTGTAATAACACATCCGACCATTTCTCCATGGCAGTTGTGCAGGACGAAGAGACTGGATAGGATATGTTTAGTCGTTCGGATGGAACGAAAAGCGTAAAAAGAATCCTTGACAGCTGGAATTCCTCAGCTTGGTTTCTCCTTGACAGTAGTGCAGAACTTGTAACCCGACAAGGAACTGTGTCTAGTCGTTTGGATGGGACGAAAAACGTAAAAGAATCCTTGACAGTTAGAATTTGCTGTCCGGGCATGGCCTATGTCCGTCTTCATTAGCCCAATCGGAGCAGAACAATAGGACGCTAAACCTCATTTCATTCATTTCTCAAAGAGCTACCAAAGATCAACCCACTTAACCATACTATTTTGATCTGTATCTTTGATTGTAAAATATAAAATATTACGCTACCTGTGAATGAGATAACATCAGAGGGTATCGAAATAAAATCCATGCCACTTTTTCTGAACATGGCGGGGACGTTAAAGATCCTTCGTAGGCCCAGAAATCTCGTAGTTGGGGATCTGAAAAATATGTATCAAAATGTACAATATGATATAAAATGATTAAAGTAGTTTACATTAATCAATATGTACGATCAGTGAAGGATTTAAGTGAAGATAGGTCCCAGACTGTTCCTCTCATGAGACTCCCCCGAACCCCCTACCACTAGAGGAAGTGTGAAAGGTTGTTTTAAACACAACAGAATAAAGACGAGGATAATGGCGGATGTTTAAGACAATAGTGTGTCTAAGAAAGGCTATGGCAGTTTCCAAAATATTATACACCTTAGCTGGCGACCCCCAAAGTGAATCCGGTACTGCTTATGTTAGGGGGTTTGGTCACAAACGCACTGTACGCAAGAAGAGGGGTTGGAAGAGGACTTGCGCGGTGACCCCCCCCCCCCTCCCCAATAAAACAACTAAAATCAAACCAAACAAATAAAACAAGGAAAGGTAGGAAAACGGTCTAGGTTGTGTCCAATTCGTATAAAAAGTTGAAGGCTGTTCAAATTCGGACCATATAGTATAAAGAAAAGGGTCAAGGCTACTGTATGTATTCAAATCGGTATAAAATCGGTATAAATCGCACCATATATAGTATAAACGTACAGGACTGTATCTAATATTTATCAATGGACAGGACTGTATCTAATATTTATCAATGATATTTACCTGGTAATAAACAGGTAGGATTAAATGCTGACGTGGCTGTTTTCTGTCGTCCCTAAAATAATAATAATAATCACTCATTAAAAACAATCCTTTAATAAAATATGAATATATATATATTACTCATATTAATTCTCATTTCCTTGTACCATCTACCGAGAGAGAGAGAGAGAGAGAGAGAGAGAGAGAGACAGAGAGAGAGAGACAGAGAGAGAGAGAGAGGGTTTAACGTCCACTCGACACAAACTAGGTCATTTCGGAACTAACATATGGTTTAATTTTATTGCAATAATTCGCTTGCGCGTAGGGGTCTTTAGCAGTGGGAGGAAACCGGAGGACCCGGAAAAAGCCCACGAGGTTGGACAAGCGACCCTACTCCTTGTCACGTACAACCGGGGAATTGAAACCACGCCAGTTGATTCAATGACAGACCTTGATACAGCGCGCACGTGCTAACCATCCCGACATCCAACCTCCATCTACCAAGAGAAATATGGTTCAATTTTATTGCAACAATTCGCTTACGCGGAGAAAACCAACGAGGTTTGACAAGCGACCCTACCCCTTGTCACGTAGGATCGAAACCACGCTACTTGATTCAGTGACAGATCTTATGATCTAAAGCGCACGCATTGAACCATTCGGCCCCACTCCGCCACTCCCTCCGTTGTACAATATGCAATAAATTAAAACATCATTAGGTCCATTTAACACTGAGTTAGGAATTATTTGACACCGTCGCACGCGGACTAATTCGGTGTTCAATATAGCCATGACCTGTAGTGGGGCCACAATAAAATATGGACAAATGGGAGACCACACGACGTTAAAGGCCTTCACTTATTTTCCAAACTTTCCAACATCGTTGTATAGGAACCAGTTAACAAGGGACAATAAAAGCCTGTAATAAATGATCAGTTTACAAGGGAGAATATAACTTGTAAAATTTGATAAACCTACCTTATACAGAACATCTTCTAGGTTATCTGTAACAACACGTAAACCTGTATGTTCTCTTCCTAGCTATAATATAATATTACAACACAATATATTCCAGTCTATAATATTACAATACAAAATATTCCAGTCTATAATATTACAACACAATATATTCCAGTCTATAATATTACAATACAATATATTCCAGTCTATAATATAATATTACAACACAATATATTCCAGTCTACTCGTACATGGGACCTTGTTTTTTTAGTCCCATCCGAAGGACTAGAATGTAACGATTGCCAGACCCCTTGTCTTGCACAACTAACAAGGGGGAATCAGGATGAAAATACCAATGAACGTACTTACACGGTGTGCGGACCAAGTTGACACGGTGTGCGGACCAAGTTGACACGGTGCACTGATACATTTTAAACCGTGTACGGGCGAGATTCCACCGTGTGTATGTATGGACAGTTTCACCATGTGTATGTATGGACGAGTTTCACCATGTGTATGTATGGACGAGTTTCACCATGTGTATGTATGGACGAGTTTCACCATGTGTATGTATGGACGAGTTTCACCATGTGTATGTATGGACGAGTTTCACCATGTGTATGTATGGACGAGTTTCACCATGTGTATGTATGGACGAGTTTCACCATGTGTATGTATGGACGAGTTTCACCATGTGTATGTATGGACGAGTTTCACCATGTGTATGTATGGACGAGTTTCACCATGTGTATGTATGGACGAGTTTTACCATGTGTATGTATGGACGAGTTTCACCATGTGTATGTATGGACGAGTTTCACCATGTGTATGTATGGACGAGTTTCACCATGTGTATGTATGGACGAGTTTCACCATGTGTATATATGGACGAGTTTCACCATGTGTATGTATGGACGAGTTTCACCATGTGTATGTATGGACGAGTTTCACCGTGTGTATATATGGACGAGTTTCACCATGTGTATGTATGGACGAGTTTCACCATGTGTATGTATGGACGAGTTTCACCATGTGTATGTATGGACGAGTTTCACCATGTGTATGTATGGACGAGTTTCACCATGTGTATGTATGGACGAGTTTCACCGTGTGTATATATGGACGAGTTTCACCATGTGTATGTATGGACGAGTTTCACCATGTGTATGTATGGACGAGTTTCACCATGTGTATGTATGGACGAGTTTCACCATGTGTATGTATGGACGAGTTTCACCGTGTGTATATATGGACGAGTTTCACCGTGTGTATGTATGGACGAGTTTCACCATGTGTATGTACCTGAGTAAAGAGAGAGATTATAGCGATACCAGATGGACTACCCAATGCTTCTTCTATACTCGAATATTTCTCACTATTCCAATGAACTAGCTGTACCTGGAATATATACAATATATTTAATATGACCTGGGGAGCCACGGGTTTTCGATTTTCTGTAGTTGGCAGAGAAAGTTTATGGGATATGAATGAAATGGGGTTTAACGTCCTACTGTTCTGCTCCTACTAGGCTAATGAAGACGGGCATACGCCTACTCTTATATCGAATTCCAACTGTCAAGGGATCTTTTACGTGCACGCCATTTATACACGGGTCCTCAGTTTTTCGTCCCATCCGAACGACTGGACAGCTGTTCTTGTCAGGCCGCCCGTCCTGCACCACTGACAAGGCGAAACCACATCGGAAAATCACGATATACGAAAGTTCATGGAGATTTTCCAGCTTCGTTAACCTTTGTCAATGTCGCAGGACGGATGCTGGGCAAGTCAAAGCGTTTAGTCGATCGGATGGGACGAAAAACCGAGGACCAGTGTATACCAACGACAGCACGTTCAAGATCCGCTGTTAGTTGGTAAAGGAAATGGATTTCGAAATTGAATGGAATATTGCCCGCGGGAGTATAGTAGTATATATTACACTGTGACATTCACTGTCTGTATATAGTATTATAATATTGCCCGCGGGAGTGTACTATATGTTACACTGTGAAATTCACTGTCTGTATATAGTATTATATTGCCCGCGGGAGTATAGTAGTAGTATATGTATATATAGTATTATAACATCTGGTGGGAATTGTTGTTAATTGATATATTATTAAATATTTATATGATAATTACTGTATCTTCATATATCTACCACGTACATCATCAAATATATATATATATATATATCATCACAGGAGCTCGGAGTAACAATAATATTTTCATTAGTTAAGTACTCTTACCACGGTGCCCATTTTAGACGAGGGTCGATTCTAGTCGATAGTCGAGTTCCCTTACACAACCTCTAGTCAACAGTCGAGTTCCCTTACACAGAATCAGTTCTAGTCGACAGTCGAGTTCCCTTTAGACTGACTCGGCTCTAGTCGATATTAGAGTTCCCTTTACACAGACTCAGTTCTAGTCGATAGCCGTGTTCCCTTTACACAGACTCAGTTCTAGTCGATAGTCGAGTTCCCTTTACACAGACTCAGTTCTAGTCGATAGTCGAGTTCCCTTTACACAGACTCAGTTCTAGTCGATAGTCGAGTTCCCTTTACACAGACTCAGTTCTAGTCGATAGTCGAGTTCCCTTACAGCGGAAGCCACTCTAGTCGAGGATGAAAGCATGCTGTCTTCTAACGACAACACTATACCATATAACCCGAACTGATTGAAGAGAAGAAGAGAGAGGGAGAGAAATGGGGTTTAACGTCCACTCGACACAAATTAGGTCATTTCGGGACTAACACATGGTTTAATTATATTTCAATAATTTGCTTGCGCGTAGTGGTCTTTAGCAGTGGGAGGAAACTGGAGGACCAGGGGGGAAAGAGAGAGAGAGAGAGAGAGAGAGAGAGAAATGGGGTTTAACGTCCACTCGACACAAACTAGGTCATTTCGGGACTAACATATGGTTTAATTTTATTTACACAATTCGCTTGCGCGTAGGGGTCTTTAACAGTGGGAGGAAACTGGAGGCCCCGGAGAAAACCCACGAGGTTGGACAGGCGACCCTACTCCTTGCCACGTACAACCGGGAATTCGAAACCACGCCAGTCGACTCAATGACAGACTTTATGATACAGCGCGCGCACGCTAACCATTCAGCCATCCACCCCCCCCCCCCCCCACCAGGGGGGGGGGGAACCCACGAGGTTGGACAGACGACCTACTCCTTGTCACGTACAACCGTGGATTCGAAACCACGCCAGTTGACTCAATGACAGACCGCATGAAACAGCACGCACGTGCTAACCATTCGGCCATCCAAGACAATCTATACAAGTAACTAACCTCCATGGGAAAAGCCTTTTTATTAACTGTATGTTCTGATCCTTTATTATTTTCACGTCCCCAGTGAAATCTGATTTCTGCTAGTTCATATTCTGTACCTGGTGGTAGAGGACCTCCTGATATTACTATAAATAGATCATACAGACAGACATGTTACTATAAATAGATCATACACACAGACAAGTTAAAACAAGGACAGGTTGAAGTTGGGTTAATTAATTTGATGAGACCAACATGTGGTTATCTTTATTTCTAGACGTGGGAAGAGAAATCCGATAGGGCATGAGGAGGGGGGGGGGGGGCGACAAGGCGGGAGATCAGCCATGACAGGGATAATTCGAATGAGGCACTCGAGAGGGTAACCCTAGAAAAAGCATGATAGGGAAAGGCTTTGACCAGGCATGAGAACTCCGACCAGGCATGAGAACTCCGACGAGGCATGAGAACTCCGACCAGGCATGAGAACTCCGACCAGGCATGAGAACTCCGACCAGGCATGAGAACTCCGACCAGGCATGAGAACTCCGACCAGGCATGATAGGGAGAAATGCGATTTTAATGGATTTTATAATATGTTGTTTTATTTTTTTGGAATGACAAACTGTTTTAGTTGAACATTTTACTAGAACAGATAAAACAAGAGTTGAGATATGATTGATTTTGTGTTTGACTGTCGACACAACAAGCCAACAATTAGTGAACAGACGACGTGCAGTGAACTGACCACATGTAGTGAACTACCACATGTAGTTTTATAGCTAATATTTTACAATTGATCTAGAAGTATATTTAACTGACATATAAACATATATTACAGGTAAACATATATTACAGGTAAACATATATTACAGGTTAAATACCTGATCTGCCCATTGATTCATGTCTCAGACTTTCTGTAATATAAAAATTACATAAATATTAATCGATATGAAATATTATCATTATTCTGTGGGCATATATATTATATGGCTCTAGACATTCCAATCAGAGCAGAACAGTAGAATGTTGATATTAAATTAACACTGCGCAACCTTACCATGCAAAGAAACATAGAGTTGCGCAAACTTTTAGAACTGCGCAATGATAATTTGACTTTCAAGACACTCTCCCAAAGTTGGCCTTTATACTATATTGTTCAATCATGTGAAATAGCCCGTCTTCATTAGCCCAGTTCGGAGCAAAACAGTAGGACGTTAAACCCCATTTCATTTCATTTCATGTGAAATTGAATAACAAATGTTCTTTTACCATTAGAGGTGATCAAATGTTTACTACATTGGGTTTCAAATTGCCCTTTCCGGTGAGATTTTGATGGGGTAACGAGGGTAAAACGAAGCGCGAAATTCAGCTCTAGGAAATACAGCCAGTGTATGACCGTTATTTATATAATAGTATCCATACCTTGTTTTACTCTAGGAAATACAGCCAGTGTATGACCTTTATATATATAATAGTATCCATACCTTGTTTTACTCTAGGAAATACAGCCAGTGTATGACCGTTGTTTATATAATAGTATTCATACCTTGTTTTACTCTAGGAAATACAACCAGTGTATGTCCTTTGTTTATATAATAGTATTCATACCTTGTTTAACTCTAGGAAATACAGCCAGTGTATGTCCGTTATTTAATATATCAGTTTCTCTGCAGATGTAATAATTAAACCTTAATTCGTTCTTCTCTAACTCTGGATCATAACATGCGTCACGTGATACCAGATTGATGGGTGATTGACAGGTACCAACAGCTTCTGGGAACAAATTACCCCATTCTAGACATCCTGAAAATACAGGTAAATATATATCATATACTTAATACATTGTAGACATCATGAAATACAGGTAAATATATATCAGAGAGAGAGAGAGAGAGAGGGAGAGAGAGAGAGGGGGGAGAGAGAGGGGGAGAGAGAGAGAGAGAGAGGTTAAACAAGAACGTTTAGTATAATTAATGGATAATGTTACAATAATTATTTGAAATATCAAACCTGAACTGAATAAAATTAAAATGTCACCATGTTGTTGATAAGACTGAAAGACGGATGTATATTAAATTCACTGTGACATTTAATTTCCTATTACAACAGTAACTCAAAGGCGGATCCTAGAAAACAGGGAAATGTTGTTATTCAGTGGAAATTCTACTTGTAACGTCATTTGTTAGTGGTAATTCTACTTGTAACGTTACTTGTCAGTGGTAATTCTACTTATAACGTCATTTGTCGGTGGTAATTCTACTTGTAACGTCATTTGTCAGTGGTAATTCTACTTGTAACGTCATTTGTCAGTGGTAATTCTACTTGTAACGTCACTTGTCGGTGGTAATTCTACTTGTAACGTCATTTGTCGGTGATAATTCTACTTGTAACGTCGTTTGTCGGTGGTAATTCTACTTGTAACGTCATTTATCAGTGGTAATTCCATCTATAGTTCCATCTGTTATGGATAATCTAAATTCTAATGCCACTTGACAAAGACAATTCTGCCAGTAACAACATTGTCAAGGGTGAATCAACTTATTTTAAAACGATCCATTTATTTTTTTACACAAATCAAAGATATACAGAATGCTCCAGTACTTCCCTTCGAAAAAATCACATATAACCATCGCATATATAATTCAGGTTAACTTGTGCACGTTAAAGAACTCTTGACGTTAGTGTTTCGGTGTAGTTGTAAAATTTCATTCATAGCATACTGCATGGCGTATTGCCGTCTTCATTAGCCCAGTTTATGTAAAAATATAGGACGTTATACCCCATTTCATATCTGTAAGTTATAGGTAAAGGTAACGTTGTATAATAAATGTCACGCTGCCTACCTACTAGTGCTTTAACATGGCGGTCCCATGTTGGTCTCGTGATAAAACAGACCGGTCCCATGTTATAAATGTCACGCTGCCTACCAACTAGTGCTTTAACATGGCGGTCCCATGTTGGTCTCGTGATAAAACAGTCCGGTCCCATGTTATAAATGTCACGCTGCCTACCTACTAGTGATTTAACATGGCGGTCCCATGTTAGAACAGCTCGGTCTCGTGATATTACATCCCGGTCCCATGTTATAAATGTCATGCTGTCTACCTTCTAGTGAACTAACATGGCGGTCCCATGTTGGTCTCGTGATAAAACAGCTCGGTCCCATGTTATAAATGTCATGCTGTCTACCTTCTAGTGAACTAACATGGCGGTCTCAATTTTATAACAGCCCGATGTCGTGTTAGAACAGCCCCGTGTCGTGTTAGAACAGCCCGATGTCGTGTTAGAACTGCTCAGTCCCGTGTTAGAACAGCCCGATGTCGTGTTAGAACAGCACCGTGTCGTGTTAGAGCAGCCCCGTGTCGTGTTAGAACAGCCCCGTGTCGTGTTAGAACAGCCCCGTGTCGTGTTAGAATAGCCCGATGTCGTTTTAGAACAGCCCAGTCCCGTGATAAAACAGACCGATCTCGTGTTTAAACAGCTCGGTTAGATTGTATAATAAATGCTACACTGCCTACCTTCTAGCAATCTAACATGGCGGTCTCGTGTTTAAACAGCTCGGTTAGATGGTATAATAAATGCTACACTGCCTACCTTCTAGCGATCTAACATGGCGGTCTCGTGTTTAAACAGCTCGGTTAGATTGTATAATAAATGCTACACTGCCTACCTTCTAGCTATTTAACATGGCGGTCTCGTGTTTAAACAGCTCGGTTACATTGTATAATAAATGCTACACTGCCTACCTTCTAGCGAATTAACATGGCGGTCTCGTGTTTAAACAGCTCGGTTAGATTGTATAATAAATGCTACACTGCCTACCTTCTAGCTATTTAACATGGCGGTCTCGTGTTTAAACAGCTCGGTTAGATTGTATAATAAATGCTACACTGCCTACCTTCTAGCTATTTAACATGGCGGTCTCGTGTTTAAACAGCTCGGTTAGATTGTATAATAAATGCTACATTGCCTACCTTCTAGCGATTTAACATGGTGGTCTCGTGTTAAAACAGCTCGATTAGTTCTTAAAGCCATTTTCTTCCATTTAGAAATGCCAGTCATCTTGATGGTCAGTGTCTTTATAAAGTGTGTGATAAACGATACTTTATCACCTGTCCAGCCAACGCCCAGTTTATATATTATAATTAGTAACCATTTCATCAATATTACCTGATAGTACGCAAACCAACTAATGAGTACTGGTTAATGAACGACCTATTAGACGCCATTAACAAGTCTGTTTATTGACAGACTCGTCTTTTACAATAACAAGGTAATTAACATCGGTTAACACTTGTCAACATGCAAGCTTTCATTTCATCCAAATCGCTATCGTGTCATTAGAACATATTGCTATATATATATATCACATTGATTAAAGCCCCAAAACGCCAGACCGATTTAAAATTGATATGTATTTATACTTGAGCAGAAATTAAATGAAATGGGGTTTAACGCCCTACTATACGTTACCAGCTGGGCTAATGAAGACGGGAATTTTGTCCAGACATTGGAGCAACGACCTACTCTTATTTCGAATTCCAACTGTCAAGGGTCTTTTACGTACACGCCAATTTGTACACGGTGTCTCGATTTGTCTTCCCATCCGAACCCCCTAATTTTAACGTCATACTTTCCTGTAGGAACCGTGTTAATGAAGATGGGTGTACGTCATAGAGTGTGCTGTGAGGGAGCTCCTAGCCACATTCACCGATCTACTGTGGTCCCACATGTTAAATATAGAGTTTAAGACCAGAATCACTGATTCACTGAAATTAATCAAACCGATCAATTCAAACATAACTTCTGGTCATTTATTTTTATTTGTATATCTGTTTCACACCGCCATCTTTATGTGTCTTAGATAAATAAAATAATAATAATTCTTTTGTCTGCGATATCACTATTGTAGAAGCAGACGTTAACCCAACAGCTACTTCTACTCGGATGTATTATTGTGTTTGTGGAATAGCTTTATAACGTTGACTTCTACCGAACTGATGACATCGATGAATATATATATTAGAACAGCACCGTCATTTAAACTTATAACAATAAAATGGATAATCGAGACTTTGTTTATTATCGGAGCATTGTACTTGATAATCGAGGCTATCTTCACCCAGAATAAATTATTTTTAATGAATGATCAGATGTTTATTTAAATTTTACATAGTACATCTTTAAACTACTTCCGGTTTTCCTTCCATCCGAACAATTATACGGATTTTTTTTTCCGCACCCGTCCTGCACCACTGACATGACAAAACCGTTTTGAAAAACCCTGGGAAACCTGTGCCAGGCCACCGCGCGCTACAAAACCCTGGGGAACTTTCCAGGCCAGGACCGGTATCGAATCAAAAACACCCAAGTTGGTGAATCACAGCGGTCCTGTTAGATATATAAATTGGATATATTTGTCAGATATATACAAATGTTGACAATTGTTAACATATCTTTAAATTGGTCCATAGGGAAATATCCGGTTTCCTCCCACTGCTAAAGACCCCTACGCGCAAGCGAATTATTGAAATAAAATTAAAACCATATGTTAGTCCCGAAATGACCTAGTTTGTGTCGAGTGGACGTTAAATCCCATCTCTCTATCTCTCTCCATAGGGAAATAAGTAGTTGTTTTGTTAACAAATTGAATAGGGTTCAACGTAAACAACAGTTCCGGTATTTTTAAATTAATACATATATATATATATAGAGAGAGATTACTATGGTTACACGTGCAGTAAGGTTGCCCAGACAACAGTGTTTTCACCTACTCTTCTGTTCGGTTCACGCCAATATATACACGGATGAAGCTCGGGTTATTGTCCCATCCTAACGACTAGACAAGACTTTACTCGTTCGTTACGCAGGCACCACCTAACACATGAGAGAGAGAGAAATGAGGTTTAACGTCCACTCGACACAAACTAGGTCATTTCGGGACTAACATATGGTTTAATTTTATTTCAATAATTCCCTTGCGCGTAGGGGGTCTTTAGCAGTGGGAGGAAACCGGAGAACCCGGAGAAAACCCACGAGGTTGGACTAACACATGAGAGGCGGATATGACTAATATAGATCATACGTCATGGACAGTGCTACGAGGACAGTGAACTTTCATCAAACTCAATCCGGTACACAGACGAACAACACCCTTTCTTTGCCGCACAATCCCAAGGAAATTTCTGGGCCAAAGCTTATAACCAATAAAATGATGACTCTACCAGATCAAAATGGCTACCACCATCCATATCACATATATTATTATGATAAGATAATATTTTAGCATATTCTTGAACACAACTGTATTGGCTATCCATGTGTGTATCATAGTAATTGTATCATAGCTAACTTCAGAGAGAGAGAGAGAGAGAGAGAGAGAGAGATAGAGAGAGAGAGAGAGATTAGCGTCCACACGGCATAATCTAGGTCATTTGGGGACTAACATATGGCCCAATCTTATTTCAATAATTCGCTTGCGCGTAGGGGTCTTTAGCATTGGGAGTAAACCGGCGGACCCGGAGAAAACCCACGAGATTGGATAGGCGACCCTACTCCTTGTCACGTACAACCGGGGAATCGAAACCACGCCAGTTGACTCCATGACAGATTATATGATAAAGCGAGGGGTATTTCCAGAATTCTCTTATGATAAGATGCCATCGATTTAGTGGGGGACATAAACAAAAATATCTCTGGAACTAAATTCCAAATGGGAATCAATATGCCTACGTGGGTTGAAAGATATAAATATAATAAAAACTTACTGCGATACATAAATCCATCGAGTAGATCTTTTATTTTAACTGTACGTGGGCTGGAATTCATGTCTTCAGCTCTCTTTAATATAGTTCCAGATCTAGATCGGCACAATTTCTTTATACGTATTACACGACAACCTAGAATGGCAGGCGATAATTTAGGTGTCTCATCTGTTTGAAAGTTTCCACAATCCGGTTGGGGAGTTGGGGGCAACATTGTGTAAACTTTTAGAGGTGAGAGGTCAGGGGTCAGAGTTAAAGATCACCAATCTTGTTAGAACTATACCTTTAAAATAATTCTAGGACTTTTGAAAATTTGTAAAAGGTCAGAGTTCACACGTAAGATCGTAACATCCAATCATATAAAATGTCTGGCACAATACTTCTGATATCGGATATAATTCAGTTATTTTCTAGGGTTCGTACCAGGTTACGGGTAGCACTTTATGATCAAAAACCCAAACGAATGTCTGCTAAGAAACTGGGTAAAATTGCCGAGAAGTGTTTTGTTGTCTGTTCCCAGTCGATCTTTATTCTCGAAGTTTATATAAGAATGACAACTTTAAATGATGAATACTGTTCACTTTAACAACAACAACTCAGAGTCTGTTTGTTTCAGGGAGTGACACGGATCAAGGTCAGGCCACAGAACAGTCGTTCTGATTAAAGTCTCTTAAACTGTTCACTTTTACAATTCGCAGCTCGGAGTCTGTTTGTTTCAGGGAGTGACACGGCTCGAGAACACCAAAGCTAATCACAGCTCAGGTCCTTTTCGTTTCAGAGTGAAAGGGATCGAGGTCAGAGAACACAAAATCTACACATGGCCAATTACTTCTCTACATAGATATCCATAATGAATGTGTTTTAATTTCTGATCCGGATCCAGACAATCCCGAAACAAACAAAAAACATCTGACGTTCATTCACCCGAATCTGTTGATTTGTAATCTAGATGTTTACAGCAGCTGATTCATGCATGTAATAGATTGACTATAGATGAAATGGAGTTTAACGTCCTACTGTTCTGTCCGAACCGGGATAATGACGAGGGGTAGAATGTCAGGTAGAAGTTCGACTTTCATTGGACTATCAGACAATCCGACTTATGGTGTAATTATTTCATAATCACAGGTAGAACAGATCACCTGTAGACCAAACACAGATCGCCTGCATTATTGGTTATTACAGGTGATACAGGTGAGTTAATCTCTAATCCACTACTAGTATAAGCCGAAATAGTCAAAAGCAAGGGAATGGGGATTAACTTCTGGTCAACGCAAAAATTAGGTCAAAATTTTGTTATGTATTTGGAGGTTAGTGTCTCTATAAAAATGAAATGAAATGGGGTTTAACGTCCTACTGTTCTGCTCCTAAACTGGGCTAATGAAGACGGGCATACGTCATACAGTGTGCTAGGAGGGAAATTTTGCCCGGACAGCGGCACTACGGCCTACTCTTATATGGAACTCCAACTGTTAAGGGATCTTTTACGTGCACGCCAATGTGTACACGGGACCTCTGTTTTTCGTCCCATCCGAACGACTAGACAGCTGTCCTTGTCGGGCCCCCGTCCTTCATATGTGTCTATAGCCTCCAATTCCATGTATCAATACATCGTCAAGGGCTCTTTTATCTATATATGATATCTGGGTGCAGAGGCGTAGCCGTGAAATATATATTGGGGGGGGGGGGGGTCCGCAAATGAAATTATATAAAATGTTGAGACACCCCCATAAAACATTTTTAAAGTTTCAGTCTTCTGTAAACACTGTTTTGGCGTATTTTACGGGGTTAAACTAAAACATCACACCAATACAATGTTTATCATGTTTAAGTCAGGGGGTGCCGTATGCATATTGGGATATGTACAGGTTTTATACAGATAGAATCTTAACTAACCCTAATAATTTTTATAAATAAATAGGAGTTAGGGCCTAAAATGTAAATTTTTGGGGGGTCCAAGTATATTCAGACCCCCCACCCCCACGGACCCCCCACCCCATGTGTGACGCCCATGACTGGGTGTGCGGGCATACTCGTTAATTCGATGTCAGAATAAAATATATTCCTTTGTTATTCTATACAACGTGTAAAGTTGGGATGATATTGTTATATTCGGTTCCAGCATCAGTATTCCAATAACCCCACGTGTCTCGTCACTGGCCCTTACTCCTCACTGCACGTCTTGTATCGCCCCATAACTCAACATGGAGTAAGTTCGCCCCATAACTCAACATAGAGTTAGGTTGCCCCATAACTCAACATAGAGTTAGATCGCCCCGCAGGCAGTAGGGCCGCTTACAGAAGAATGAGCGGAGGGGTATGGGGTTGCCCTCCCATGACTGATCGCGAAGCCTTGAGGGGGTTATGGGGTTCTCCCCCCCCCCTCGCCCAGAACATTTTAAAAGTTTGAAGTCGATTTCCTTGCATCATGAAGGAAATTTACTAGGCTCTCTCCTGGGTATCTCTTGTATAGGCTCCACATGAGGTGGGGTGGGGGTGGGGGTCTTGAGCCCTGACCCCTCCCCCCTTGTACACGCACCTGTACAGTTACATCAAACGAATATCTGTTGATTAATTAAATACGTAGTTGGAAGAAAGGTGTGACAAGGCAGCGTAGACATGGTAGTTAGGGTAACCATGGTAGTCAGGGTAGCTAGGGTAGCCAGGGTAGGAATGGGGATGCGAAGACATAGACCTACCTTATCGTGACGTGTCTCCTTCTCAACTGGAGAAACGAATATTTAAATGAGATATTAATTATAATCTATATCCCATTACTACACATATTAATATAACTAGGTATCGCTTTCATCAGCCACGTGTTTTATTTCAGTTTAAAGGAACAGTCCCAGATGCCACTGCAGGGTGATGGAAATGAAATGAAATGGGGTTTTTAAAGTTACAATTTCATATTTTCTAAGAAAGTCAAAACATAATTATTTCTATGTCTTTTGCTCAATAGGTTGTCAACTCACTATTATACGATCATAGGTGTCGTTCTCACAATTAAAACTCATTTACGCCGGAAATAATAACACAATTACCTCCCTGGTTTTCTATTCTCCACCATGGAGTAGCGATATTCAAACGTTTGAATTTGAAGAGGAAAATGACATTTTTGCCAATTTCTCAACTGGCAATAGAGAATTATAGGATTAATAGGATTATTCTTTAACAAGGTAGGACTGCTTATAGATACCATCTATTTTAAGGCTTTATTTTAATAAATTTTAAAAATGTAACGTAAAAATATGAAATTGCAACTTTAAGGTCCCACTGTTCTGCTTCGACTGGGCTAATATACTAATAAAGACGGGCGTACAGCATACAGTATGCTGTGAGGGTAATTTACCCAGACAGTGGAGCTACGACCTACTCTTATATCGAATTCCAACTGTGAAGGGTCTTTTACGTGCACGCCAATGTGTACACGAGACCCCGGGTTTCCGGCCTAGCCAGCCCTGCAACCCCCCCCCCCCCCACCACCGTATATTTCAGCACGCTTTGGTTTATACTTGTCGTTCGGATGGGAAGACAAAACCATCGGCAGCACGTTCAAGATCCCCTGGCAGATGGAGATTGATTTTGGAGTAAGTCGTAGCGCTAGTGATCGGACAAAACAACCCTCATAGCACACTGAATGGCGCATGCCCGTCTACATCAGCCCAGTCTGATCAGAGCGTTAAACAAAATTTCATTTCATTTCAGAGATCGAAATAAGAGTATGTTGTAGCGCCAGTGATCGGACAGAATTCACCCCATAGAACAAGAGTATAGCGTTTAACGTCCACTCGACACAAACCAGGCCATTTCGGAACAAACATATGGTTCAATTTCATTTCAATAATTCGCTTGCTCGTAGGGGTCTTTAGCAGTGGGAGGAAACCGGCGGACCCGGAAAATCCCACGAGGTTGGACAGGCGACCCTACTCATTGTCACGTACAACCGGGGAATAGAAACCACGCCTAACTCGGTTAGTAGGACACTAAACAACATTTTATTTTAGTTTATTTTATAACAGTGGTTTTATTTCAATGGCTGATTTACAACGAAAACATCAACTTACCCGAGTACCTGAGATGATAAAGTGAGAAGTAGAATAGTTACTGATGTAAGTCGAGATAATTTATATATAAAAATAAACCACCATTATTTTTTTTTTCAGATGTTATCGTAAGTTACATAGATTTTATGATCGCTTCACTGATTTTATTAAACAATTTAACTAAATATTGAATCACATATTACAAGAACAAGACGAGTTCACCAACCACCATATACAGTATATCTTTAAAAAATTAAACTACGCCAAAAACAAAACAGGTTTTAACAATTTGAAACCCTGGGGGTTGATACCCCAAAATGTTCATGGGGACAAGTTAGATTTGTACAAATGCTAATTTTTCAGAATTTAATATTTACGCAATTATTGAAAGTATTTCTTTTACTCAGAAAAAAAAATATTCAAATGATGTTACATAGCGTGCGTTGGATCTCAATGTCTGTCATGGGGTCAGGTGTTGTGGTTGGAATCCCAGGCCTGTAATTGACAAGAGCTAGGGGTCGCCCGCCAAGCTCCATTCGCCATGGTGATTTACCTGAGTTTTTTTTACTTTTCTTCTTCCTGGATGTTTTAATTGAGGAAATTCCTCAATGTATAACTTCACACTTCCTTATTGTTCTGCTCTGTTTGATGGTCGAATGGAATGGTTAGCACGTACGTGTTGTATCATAAGGTCTGTCATTGAGTCAACTGGCGTGGTTTCGATTGCCCGGTTGTACGTGACAAGGAGTAGGGTCGCCTGTCCAACCTCGTGGGTTTTCTCCACGTACTCTGGTTTCCCCCACTGCTAAAGACCCTACGCACAAGCGAATTATTGAAATAAAACTGAACCATGTGTTAGTCCCGAAATGACCTAGTCTGTGTCAAGTGGGCGTTAACCCCCCTCCCCTTCTCTCTCTCTCTCTCTCTCTCTCTCTCTCTCTCTCCTCTCTCGAAATCCCCGGTTGTACGTGACAAGGAGTGGGGTCGCCTGTCCAACCTCGTGGGTTATCTCCGGGTCCTCCGATTTCTTCCCACTACTAAAGACCCCTATGAGCAAATGAATTAATGAAATAAAATAATATGTTAGTCCCGAAATGACCTAGTTTGTGTTGAGTGGACGTTAAACCCCATTTCTCTCTCTCTCTATCCTGTTTATATTACTAGTCTAATAAAACAAGGGGTAGGAACTTTATTGTTAAACAGTGAAATTGTAACAGGAGGCTTGAGTTACACAAATAACCATAGAAACCACTAATATCACATTACAAATAAAATAAAATAAAATCAAATCAAACGTCCTACTTTTCTGCACAAACAACTGAGCTAATGGAGACCGACATACGCCATTAAGTGTGTTATTAGGAACATTTTGCCCTGACAGCAGGAATACGGACACCAATGTGTACACTGGAATTCGGGATTTGTCCCATCCGAACGACTATACGTTGTTCCTTGTCACACCCACCGTGTTGTACCAGAAAAGACCTATGACCTTTCTCGGTCAACACGGGGATCGAACACACGGGACTCCCAGCCTAGCGTGCCAACTTCTTACTCACTAATCCACCGCGGCTCCGCTTCGATCGCTCACCACAACTTCTACAAGAATATAGTTGGTTATCCTGCCAACCGGGAAACATAGAATAATTAACCAATTTTATTCAAACAGTTATCAGACTTCCCCGTTCATTTTTGAAATGTATTTCAACGACAGATTTAAAGATACATTATGGGAGATTAGATAAAGAGCTGGCAGTTCTCGCTATAATAGTTAAAAACTAGATACTGTAAAGGTAATTTTTTGAAAATTTCAGTCAAAAAAGATATCAGCTTTGTAAATTTCCGCCTAGCCTCGTTCATCATTACTAAGTTAGTACGTTAAAAAGCATAGTCTCGATTATCCAATGTTTTGATTTAATTATCAATGAGCGTTCACAGCATATAAGATTCTAATCCAGTCGATATCGAAGGCCTTGACATCGAGAGTTGATTATGGTCTGGATAAGTTAATTAATGTCTATTTAATAATTTAGATAAGATTTCAGGCCTAAAGAAAGACCTGCGATAGGCAGATTTAGCTCTTGCATAATGCATGTTTAAATTTTTACTTTTTAAAAACTGATAATTTAGTCATGGTCCCAAACAAACCAACAAATCCTTTTTCCGCTTTCCGCTCGACTAAACAAATATATGGATTCATTATATTGAAACTGGATTAAATATAAATCCCCTGTAAAAACACCCTACTGTTCAGTAAGTGGTGATGGTCTAATACCTGACCCCAATTATATGACACCCTCTATCACACTCCTATCATCTTATTATTGATATAGGTCATCTAAACACTTATATTTATGAGAGAGGGTCGGGCCGTGTAATAATAAAACACGCCAACTCTTTGATTTGAAAGTGTTAATTTGGATAAGTTTGATGTTTTTATTGGTTTACAGCAGTGGTTCTCAACCTTTTTATGACAACGGAAAACCTTGGAACATATGAAAAAATAGCGGCACACCTGGCTAAATATATATGAAAAATATTGGATTTTTGCAAAATAAAAACATGGCAAGTCATAGACGGGCGGAATACAACCGTAGACACAGACTAGTTATAGACATGTAGAGTGACTCTAACTAAATAAAGAAAAACGCAGCTATGAAGTTACCAGTAGACACCAGTGAGTACATGGTTTTTCGCATTTGTTTAGTGTACTTAGGAAGATTTCGCGACACACTGTTTGAGAATCACTGGTTTAGAGTCACGTGATGACCACCACTCTTTCGTCTGTATTAACCGGTCCTTGAGTGAAGCAATTTTACTGAAATTTTAAGCATATTCTCTTTTTATTATCTACTTTTAACTATTATAGCGACAACCGTCAGTTCTTTATCTAATCGTACCTGATGTCCCTTTAAATATTTCTTTTTTTGGGATTAAACTGTGGACTGTGGAATACAGAATGTGTTACCCCTGACCATTAACTGTATATAATTTAAATGTAATATATCTTTATAACAATCTGATTAATACACGGATCCTATTTCGTTTCGTTTTTATAGTTCAAAATTTCGTTTTACTTGTCTTTACTACACTAGGGTAGTGTAGGCTATCGAAAGTATAAAAAACGAAACGAAATATAGATCTTTATTTTAATTAGATTGTCTTTATAATATATTTAGTGAAAGCAGTATTACAAAGAGCTTTACAGAAATGACCAACTCCTATTTCGAATTCCAACTGTCACGGGTTCTTCTTCGTCCCATCCGAACGACTATACGTTTTCTCTTGCTAGATCAAATGCCCCACTGACAAAGTTGTGCAGGATTTAGTAATAGGCAGATTTAGCTCTTGAATAATACTGGTTCACTAACCAGCATGGTTTCCCCTTGTTTTAAACATTATTTATTCACACTATTAGGAGGAATTATATTTATTCTGGTTTCGCATTGTCAGCGACGAAATATATAGATCGGATGTGATATAAACCCGAGGTGAGGCGGGGGGATCACGGTGGCTAAGACGCTAGCTCGCTAGCCCGGAGGTCGGGTGTTCGATCCCTGCATTGGCCGTGAAAGTTCATCCAGATTTTCCGGCGTAGATCCCCCTTGTCAGTGATGCAGGACGGAAGACCTGACAAGGACAGCTGTCTAGTCGTTCGGATGGGACGAAAAACCAAGGTCTCGTGTACACATTGGCGTGCACGTAAAAGATCCCTTGGCAGTTGGAATTCGATATAAGAGTAGGCCGTAGTGACGCTGTGCGGGCAAAATTTCCCTCATAGCACACTGTATGGCGTATGCCCGTCTTCATTAGCCCAGTTCGGAGCAGAACAGTAGGATGTTAAACCCCATTTCATTTCATCCCGAGGCGAGGCGTCCTCATAAAAAATCCCTTGACAATTGGATGAAGAGTATTATGTATTGGTGCAGACAAGTCCGACGTTAAACCCCATTTCATTTCACCCTTTAAAATGTGATGCAAATTAAGTCATGCACGTGTAAACCTAATACTCACCTGATATTCAACAAACCAGCGCCACGTGTCTGTCCTACTGTAGCAAGTTTTTTCAATGTCTCCAACTTGTATTGCTTGCCCTACTATAATTCTAGCCCGCTTTCCCTGTCTTCAACGTGTAATGTCTGTCCTACTGTAGCTAGTTTTCCCTGTCTCCAACTTGTAACGATTGTCCTACCTGTACTTACAGCCAGGTATATTTGACTCTCTAGTTGAAGTGTTTAATATAGTGTAAAGGTATTTATTATCTCTCTTGACGGTATAATAACCACCTTTCTTCACCGTTAACAATTTTTTTATGATGAAGTCGAGAGTAGAAATACATACAATGGTTATTCGGTCAGATGTGACTAACTGAAACATTCAGTAAAAAACTATTGAGCGATGTTCTCTTTTGGGTGGTAATTGGCGCGGAGGGTTCGGTAAGAAAAGATTTAAGTCCTACGCACAGCAAGCATTTTGTATCCCGGGCAGGCCAATTTATCGTTGACGATAATCTTTCGGTCAAACTACTCATATCGAGTTCCAGTTGTATGTCGTGTACGCAAGTTTCTCCATCAAGACTTGTCGAAAAGCGTAGAACCATTTAGAGATGGTACTGAATGGGACTCTCTCTCTCTCTCTCTCTCTCGTTCTCTCTCTCTCTCTCTCTCGTTCCCTCTCTCTCTCTCTCGTTCTCTCTCTCTCGCTCTCTCTCTCTCGTTCTCTCTCTCTCTCTCTCTCTCTCTCTCGTTCCCTCTCTCTCTCTCTCTCTCGTTCTCTCTCTCTCTCTCTCTCTCTCTCTCTCGTTCTCTCTCTCTCGTTCTCTCTCTCTCGTTCCCTCTCTCTCTCGTTCTCTCTCTCTCTCTCTCGTTCTCTCTCTCTCTCTCTCTCTCGTTCCCTCTCTCTCTCTCTCGTTCTCTCTCTCTCTCTCTCTCTCGTTCTCTCTCTCTCGTTCCCTCTCTCTCTCTCTCGTTCTCTCTCTCTCTCTCTCTCTCTCGTTCTCTCTCTCTCTCTATCTCTCTCTATCTCGTTCTCTCTCTCTCTCTCCCTCTCTCTCTCGTTCTCTCTCTCGTTCTCTCTCTCTCTCTCTCTCTCGTTCTCTCTCTCTCTCGTTCTCTCTCTCCCTCTCTCGTTCTCTCTCTCTCTCGTTCTCTCTCTCTCTCGTTCTCTCTCTCTCGTTCCCTCTCTCTCTCTCTCGTTCTCTCTCTCTCTCTCTCTCGTTCTCTCTCTCTCTCTCTCTCGCTCTCTCTCTCGTTCCCTCTCTCTCTCTCTCTCGTTCTCTCTCTCTCTCTCGTTCTCTCTCTCTCTCCCGTTCTCTCTCTCTCTCTCTCTCTCGTTCCCTCTCTCTCTTCGAAAAGCGTTGAACCGTGGGGATGTACCATCCCTAAACACCATTTAGAGATGGTACTGAATGGCTGAATGGGATATAGGTAGTTTGTCTTCGAGAGAGGATAAACTATAAAATACTTCACAATAAAATATAGGCTAGCATTTATATAAAATAACAAAAACACACAAAAAATGTTATTTATAAAATATTTTATACTGTTAAACAATATCAAGGCACAGTAATCAGTAACATAAAATACTCTCCCCTAAAACAATATCAGATTAATTTAAAGCGATAATTTCATATTTTTAAGTTAAATTTTTAAAATGTATTAAAATAAAGCCTTAAAATAGATGGTATCTATAAACAGTCCTGCCTTGTTAAAGATTAATCCTATTAATCCCAAATTCACTATTACCAGTTGAGAAATTGGCAAAAATGTCATTTTCAACTTCAAATTCAAACGTTTGAAGATAGCTATTCCATGTGGGGAATAGCAAAATAAGGGAGGTAATTGTGTTATTGTTTCCGGGGTGAATGATTTTTAAGTGTGAGAATGATAGCTATGACTTATAATAGTGAGTTGACAACCTATTCAGCAAAAGACATAGGAATAATTACGTTTTGACTTTCTTAGAAAATATGAAATTCTCGCTTTAATATCATTCTTAAACAAAAACAATGTCATATTTAATTTATATCATTCTTAAACAAAAACAATGTCAGATTTAATTTAATATCTTATATCATTCTTAAACAAAAACAATATCAGTTTTAATTTATCATTTAATATCATTCTTAAACAAAAGCAATGTAGGTCTGGACTGGATTTATCGTTAATATCATTCTTAACCACTGGCATAAATACACCCCCCCCCCCCCACCAAACAATGCCAGATTTGATTAATTATCTAATATCATTCTTAAATAAACAAAAACCAAATTTAAAGGATGCCACGAGGGGGTTCTTTTTCATAAGTAAGTTGAAGAAATATCTCAATAGTCGTAGGCCTACCTGGAAATATGTCCAGCTTTGTTACGGACATGCAACAGATGTCGGACTGGATTTAATAAATCTTAAACACAACGATGGATGCCACCAGAGAAACAAACAGTCAATATCATTTGTGCAAGGCGTTATTTAATCTCGTTAATCTAGCCTTCAGACCTCCATTATTCTGGGAGTCAATAAATTGGGGTTTTAGGTTTGACTAGGGTATTAAAGGACAACCTTATTACTAGGTTCGACTAGTGTATTAAAGGACAACCTTATTACTAGGTTCGACTAGTGTATTAAAGGACAACCTTCTTACTATGTTCGACTAGGGGATTAAAGGACAACCTTCTTACTAGGTTCGACTAGGGGATTAAAGGACAACCTTATTACTAGGTTTGACTAGGGTATTAAAGGACAACCTTATTACTAGGTTTGACTAGGGGATTAAAGGACAACCTTATTACTAGATTTGACTAGGGTATTTAAAGAACTACTAGGTTTGACTAGGGTATTAAAACTCGGGGGTAATGTAACAAAATCTACATTTGCAATATACATAGCACTTTAAACTTATGACTGGATTAACCAAGCCTAGAGCTACATAGCACTTAAAATTGATAGCTAGATTAACCAAGTCTAGAGCAACATTTGTAATATACACAGCACTATGAATTGATAGCACGATTAACCAAGTCTAGATCTACATAGCATCTTAAATTAGTTGACTGAATTATTTCCTTAAAAATTACAAAATCATAGAAAGAAATATGTATTAATATAATAGACAAATGTTATAGAAAGAAATATATATAAGAGCAAATGTTTTGGTACATGGATGAACATTAGAACAAACGAATCCTAACTAGTTCTGTGAATAGTGCCCCCACCCCACCCCCTCAAATTTAATATTTATATCATTTTCAAATATTACACAGTAAATGTTATAGATTTTTACTAGATGTAACTCTGGTCTTGGAACAACCATGTTAGCGTCTCCTCAAGCGAGGTGAAGCATCATCAGTTCTGAGATCAGCTAAATATATAGTAGACCCATCAGTAACATGATAGTAAGATAATTTATGATGACTCTTCAGAGTATGTTGATCATTATTACCATCAATATAAAATAGTTTCTGATGATTGGGTGGTATACCATCATGATCCTGTATCAAGTCTTTAAGTGCTGACACCAAAAGATCTTTTGAAATATCTTCAATGATGAATCGACTACCATTTGATATTCTTTCTATGTAAACGTCTATGTAATGAGAGACCGCATATTCAGGCAATGCCTTACTACTGAGGTCAACAAAGAATGGTGCAAACAGCCTCTTCATCTCTTTAACAAAAAACTGAGAAAAAAAAAAACAAAAAAACCCCACAAAATAATTTCTGATTTAGGTCACACTAAAAACCTGTTACATGTATTTCTAGGTAAAAATTTGTTATTTCTGGATAAATATTTGTTATTTTTTGGTAAAAATTAGTTGTTTCGGGTAAAAACGAAACATAACCCGTACCGTTCTTCACTAACCGGGAAAATGACTAGGAAATGAAATGAAATGAAATGGGTTTTTACGTTTAATGTACTGTTCCGACTGGGCTAATGAAGACGGGCATACGACATACAGTGTGCTATTACAGTGTCTTACTGGCCCGGAAAGTTGCTCTACGACCGCCTCGTATATCGAAATCCAACTGACAATGGATCTTTTACGTGCACGATACCTCCAGATTACCGAGTCAAGGTCCCAACCGCTGAGCCACCGTACGTGGCTTCCATAAAGACGGAGGATATATCGCAATAAAAATTCCATCAGAAATCGTCTGTCAAAAAGAGCCGTGGTCTTGGGTTAGCTAGCTCCCGGTGATAGCGGAGAGAGTTCCTCTGAATTTTATGGTGTGGTTTCCGGTGTGGTTTCCACATGCCTGTCTAGTCCCAAAATGACCTAGTCTGTGTCGAGTGGACGTTAAACCCCATATCTCTCTCTCTCTCTCTCCACATGCCTGTCGCAATCCCAGTCGGTGTGGTTTCCACATGCCTGTCGCTATATATAGCCCAGTCGGTGTTTCCACATGCCTGTCGCATAAGAAAAAGATAACAAAAAATAAGATGGCTCTATTTAGCTTCCGTAAGTTTGACCCAGATGAAATTCCCCGGGAATAGTTAATTCTAGCTGGCGATAACCACAGAATGTTTGTATTCTTATTTTATTTTAACAAAAATAAGAGAATATTTAATTTACTTATTAGTCCAATATCTAACTTAATGATAAGATTGTCAAAATTGTTTACTGTATGCTCATGTAACAAGTAAACTTATTTCGACTTTACAAGCATGGGTACGTGACTCGGCATCAGATCCTTACATATGTTCAGTTAAAATGACATTACTGAACATATAAAATATATTCTGTACCAATCTCATGTAAATTATAATAATTAGATGCAATATTTCAATATTAACTTACATCTACTGTATTATATAGGAAAACAGAACAGGCAACACACTACCAGTGGAAATATGCAACTAACAGCTAGATTAAATATAAAATTTAGGTCGAAGCGATAGACCTACATAGATTCTATAAATAGAAGGGCTGGATTTCCCCTTTCCTTAAAATACATACGAGGGCCTTGGCTCACTGATCTATAACTGGATGGTTAGTGCTAAATGATAAGGCCAACTCAATTATTCGTCATAGGTCACGAGATGTAAATCCCAACCCCAACCCTGTACCTAGCCCCAATGTGGCCAATGATTACACTAACCGTAATCTACATACTCGCCAACAATCACGTGCCCTAATCTTATGGGCGCTAATGCACTTTCGTACACCTAGTACTAGATAACAATCCTTAATCTCTCAACCCTCCGCGTGTTTCGAACAAACACATCAGTATATCTCAACGTTCTTAGCTACAGCTAGTACTTAATTGGTTAATTGGCTGAGAAATTTGAAGTCACCGGAAGTACTAACTCCGCCATATTATCACTCCCAAAACAAAAGCAGAAGACGATAATCGACCGACTTTCCTGGATCTGGATAGGAACGTTGCAGGGCTTTTCAGCATCGAGAGAGAGAGAGAGAGAGAGACGTGTAGCACCAGTCTTTAAGGGAGGTCCAATCGATAGTAGTTCTCGGAAAGAATGAATGTTTTATAAATATGTGTTTTACACTGCTGCTCAGGTTTGAAACATTTACTACTGCTCGTGCACCGTCTATCAACACTACACTACTGTTTAAAGTAGCTAAGTCTCTAACTCAATATCATCCAAAATCTTCAACATTGAAAACACGATTTATTTGTCAAATTAAATCAACATTGATGTTGTGATCTTACCGGAATAAGATGGGCTTTTGATATCCAATATTTAGGCCTAAGACAAAATAAACATTTTACCATTGGTACACGAATTGTGTACCATAATGCGCTGCAGTCCCAGTTGTTAAAAGAGACTCGAGGGACGAGGCTAGACACATTGCACCAAATCGAACGGCGTATGTAGACTGGAATAACCAGACGCTAGAAATTTGCACTCGATTGACACTGCTGGCTTATTTCGCCGAACATAATTGATTTGAAATTGGAGTAAAAACGGAAACCATTGAATGTAAATCAGTTTATATACATTCATATTACAGTATTATATGCGTTGCGACCCACTTTTGTCAATTTCTAGGTCCCAAATGTTAGCGATTTAGCTCCTTTAAAGGAGCGAGATCGCTATTGGGACCTAGAAATTGACACAAATAGGTATTAATGCATATAATAATGTAATGTGAATGTATATAAACTGATTTACATTCCGTTTTAACTCAAATTTCAAATCAGTTATGTTCGGAGAAATACGCCAGATTGAAGTCTCAATCGAATCATATGGCAATCTCTAGCGTCTGGTTATTCCAGTCTACACCGATAGTATTTATTGCGCATGCTCTTTACTTGTTAGCAATGGCGCTGAAATGTCTTAAATATCAGAAGCCCATCTGATCACCACATCAATGTTAATTTAAATTGACAATTAATTCATGTTTTTAATGTCGAAGACTTTGGATGATATTGAATTAGAGACTTAGCTACTTTAAGCTCTCGCAATCTTTAAAAGTTTTCCTCTCAAATTATTTTTATGTACGATATTTCAGATATCCCCACAGCATTTCATGTTGAAAAAGGTAAACAATTTTGTTATATTGATATAGTTACTTTAGTAACGTAAATTGTACTACGTTACTGTCAGCTCCTAATGACAACTAGTATGAAAATAAGGCTTTTTGGAACCCTTACCGTCTATTTTTCACTGTGATTCTTCTTTTGTTCACCTGATAAGAAAACAAATCTTGATAAAGTATTATTTCAAAAGAAATACAATAAAATTAGGATATGATTGTGTTGAATTTTGTGAATAATAATTCATAGTTTTTATACGCCCACATTTTCATGTGGATGTATGTTGTCGTCGCCCATTTCCGTCCAGAATTTGTTTGTGTACACTCTAGAGGTCACAATTTGAAATATAGGTTTATATATGTTTATATGATAAAGATATCGGTTCCTTTGAATACTGGCATGTATTGGACCCTAACTTTGTGGATTATCGCCCCTGATTGTACGAAAAATAATGTTTTTATCTTGTGGACCCTCTAGAGGTCACAATTTTTATCTGATTTTGATGAAATTTAAAATATATTTTTATATCTCAAAGATCTTGGTGTCTTTTGATCTTGACCATCTCTTGTAAAATGTGTCGTATCTTGCATGGCAACATGTTTTTGTTAATATTTTCATCTTGTTTAATAAATTAATATCTTTTTTCTCGATTAGATTATAAATGGTTTAGTTTAATTCTATAAAATGCCTTCTTGTGCTGCTATCAAGTGTACAAATAGACAGTACAGAGGATGTGGTCAAACATTTCACAGGTAACACAATGATATCATTAGAAGGGGTGGGAAGGGGGTGGGTAGTTGAACGAATAGTGTAATGCTTCCATAAGGGGGGGGGAGTAGGTGAACGAATGGTGTAATGCTTCCATTAGAGGGTGGGGTGGGGTGGGGTGAACGTATGGTTCAATGCTCTCATTATTGTTTCTTGATTTAAAATTGATTTGTTGGTTGTTGAAAGAAATGAGGAAAATTTTGCCCGGGCAGCAGCACTATGGCCTACTCTTATAGCGAATTCCAACTGCCAAGGGATCTTTTACATGCACACCAATGTGTACACGGGATCTCGGTTTTTCGTACCATCCAAATGACTAGACAGTTGTCCTTGTCAGGCCTTCCGTCCTGCATCACTAACAAGGTGAAACCACGTTGGAAAATCCCATTGAACTTTCTCGGTCAATACAGGGATCGAACATGCGACCTCCAGGCTAGCGAGCCAGCGTCTTACCCTCTTAGTCACCATGGCTCCCTGAATGTTGAAAGAGACAGAGTATGTCTATCTTAATTAATAGAATAAAACTTGCTTGTCTAACCTCATGGGTTTTCTCCGGGTCCTCTGGTTTCCTTGCTTGTTTGATTCTTGATTCTAATCTGATTAAAATATCGTTTCGATTTCCCGGTTGTACGTGACAAGGAGTAGGGTCGCCTGTCCAACCTCGTGGGTTTTCTCCGGGTCCTCCGGTTTCCGAACACTGCTAAAAACCCTACGCGCAAGCGAATTATTGAAATAAAATTAAACCATATGTTAGTCCCGAAATGACCTAGTTTGTGTCGAGTGGACATTAAACCCGCCTCTCTGTCTCTCTCTCTGATTAAAACATAGATCCTATTTCGTTTTGTTTTTTATAGTTCAAAATTTCGTTTTACTTGTCTTTACTACACTAGAATCTGGAAGAGTTGATATCATTGACGTGTTCTGAATGATGTGAGGGTTTAGCCAATGAAACGGTCTGTTACGGCGAGCCATAGGCGTGTTTTGCGCGGAACTGTGGGTAATCCACTAGTAACAACAATGCTGATTGGTTAATCAAATGTCTGACATTATAGAGTCAAAAGCAGTTCGTATGACCTCTGACCCGACCTTCGACTACAACCGGTCAGATCTTCATGACGTGACCTATCGCTACAACCGGTCAGATCTTCATGTAGTGTAGACCATCGAAAGTATAAAAAAACGAAATGAATTATAGATCTGTATTATAATCAGATTGTAGATTCTAAATTATCTTACGGCACTACTCTCAAAATTCCTGAGTTTAACACACATGAAAATGAAATGAAATAGGGTTTTAACGTCGACTGAGCTAGGGGACAGGAGGGATAAGTACGCGTTAGAACAAGAGGTCTGTCATTGAGGCAAGTGGCGTAGTTTCGATGCCCTGCTTGTACGTGACACGGAGTAGGGTCGCTTGTCCAACCTCATCGGTGTTCTCCTGGTCCTCTTTTTTCCTCCCACTGCTAAAGACCCCCACGCGCAAGCGGATTATGGAAATAAAATTGAACCATATGTTAGTCTCGAAATGATCTAGTTTGTGTCATGTAAGTTAAACCCCATTTTTCTATCTCGCTGCTCTTATTATGCTAATGAAGATGGGTATATGCCATACAATGTGCTATGATTGAAATTGTTGCCGAACATAGGACTGTACGATATTGTTGTTTGTGTGTGATTTACGTTGTCACTTTGTAAAGTGCCCCTGAACATGTTATATGAAAGGGTGCACTATAAATATGCTGTAATAATAATAATAATAATAATAATAATATTGGCATTTTTTTCAACGATATAGTAATATTTAATAATGTCACTTTGCTATTAAATAAATTAAATATAAATAATAAATGCATTAAAGCTGACTAGTGTGAGTAAGAATTGTGGGTAATAATTGCTTTATTCATACACTTTAAACTTTGCTTTTTTTATAATATAGATTTATTAAAATGAACAAAACAACATCCTTTTTGGATAAAAATTAAACACAACCGCTGATGTTTAAAAAGCGTCTGCTTGTGACCTTGTGTAAGAAAATTCTCAAATATCACGTGCAGCGGAAGTAAGTAGATGCGGTCTTCAAGTCTTGTATTGTAAGTTCAAACAGTTTAACAAATACTAAATGATCCGGACTATCTTCCATTCAAGCATTTGATTGGCTGGCCTAACAGGGACAGTAATCTATTTATAGATCGTTTTATTCTTGTTTTTAGAAATTAAGTTTCGTAGAGTTTTCTAAAAATATTTGTTTTTTAAAAATATGACAACCTATTTATAGCCTGGTAGTTAACCGCGGTAGTGGGAAATTTAAGGCGTTTAGTAGGCCAAAGCTTTACATGTAGTAACAACCGACAATTTATTGTCGACTAAAAACAAAGTAAAAGTAACGCATACACGATGCAGTGAAAAACGGCTGCGGACACTACGCAAGTGTTTTCGACATTTAATGATTCTCAAAACATTAGTTTTATTATAGTTTATTACTGTCGGCTAATTTCCACTGCTGTTTAGTGTATTTATTATCTATTTTTATGATAATTTTTTTCGATATTTAAGTTTTTGGCGATATTCGATAAACCACTATATGGACGATTTTTGGCCACATGAGATATCGTAGTTGGGTCTGAAAATGCCATATCGCGATAAATGACTATATCGAGAATATAGTACAGCCCTAGCCGAAGAGCAGCACTGTAATCTACTCTTGAATTCCAACAGTCAGTGGCTCTTTTACATGTACGCCAATCTATTTTTTTTTCGTACCATTCGAACGAGTATTTGTGCTGTAGACGCATTTAAAGGAAGGTTGGATGGCTGAATGGTTAGCCCATGTGCGTTGTATCATAAGGTCTGTCATTGAGTCAACTGGCGTGGTTTCGATTCCCTGGTTGTACGTGACAAAAAGTAGGGTTGCCTGTTCAACCTTGTGGATTTTCTCTGGGTCCTCCAGTTTCGTCCCACTGCTAAAGACACCTACGCACAAGCAAATTATTGAAATAAAATTGCACCATATGTTAGTCCGGAAATGACCTAGTTTGTGTCCCATTTCTCTCGCTCGAAAGACTATACGTTGTCCCATTCCAGACTCTCTGCGTCCTGCACAGCTAACTAGGGGGAACCACTCTGGAAAGTCCAGACAAATTTTCTCGGCCAACACCAGGAACAAACACAGGACCCCCAGATTAGCGAGCCAACATCTTACTCAGTGAGTCACCACAGCTCCGTGTTTTTCTCATACAGTAAAATATGTTATGTTTTACAGATTTCCTTCAAAAGAATCAGAAAAAAAATTATGGTTAGAAAAGATAAAGAGAGAAAATTTTTATCCGTCATCCACAGCAGTACTTTGTTCAGATCATTTTGAGGCGTCATGCTTTGATCGTACAGGACAGACTGTTCGATTAAAACAGAACTCTTTACCAACTATATTTAAATTTCCAGCACATTTGTTAACGGAGGTAGGTATGACAGTATTACTGGTGTCCACTAATTTTTATACGTCCCACATTAAAATGTTCAGTGTCCAATTAGTATCCAATTCACTTAAAACTTATAAACATTGTTTATGGTCATGACACGAAGAAGTCTATTAATTTTCAATGACTTCCGATAATTACTGCTAGAGTTCTGGTCATAGATCATGTTGAAAAATCTTGTGGATGCTTTAGAGGCTAAAGATATTGTAGTTGCTGAAGGTTATAAATTTATGTTTTGAATCAAATGCCTTTATTTTAACACCCTGTGTTTATGTTCATGAAGTGAATTGAAATGGGTTTTAACGTCCTACTGTTCTGCTCCTATACTGGACTAATGAAGATGGGCATATGCCATACTGTGTGCTATGAGGGAAATTTTGCCCGGGCAGCGGCACTATCGCCTACTCTTATATAGAATTCCAACTGCCAGGGGATCTTTTATGTGCATTCCAATATATACACGGGACCTCGGTTTTTCGTCTCATTCGAAGGACTAGACAGCTGTCCTTGTCAGGCCCTCAGTCCTGCATCACTGACAAGGGGCAACCATGCCGAAAAATCTGGATGAACTTTCTCGGCCAATGCAGGAATCGAACACCTGACCTCCAGGCTAGCGAGCCAGTGTCTTACCCACTTCACGTTAAGTGAAGAAGTCTAGAATTTCTTTCAGAGCTGTGGGGTTGGATGGCTGAATGGTTAGCATGGCGCGCTGTATCATAAGGCCTGTCATTGAGTCAACTGACATGGTTTTGGATCCCCTGTTGTACGTGACAAGGAGTAGGGTCTGTCCAACCTCATGGGTTTTCTCCAGGACTTCCGGTTTCCTCCCACTGCTAAAGACCTCTATGCACCAGCAAATTATTGAAATAAAATTAAACCATATGTAACTCCCGAAATGACCTAATTTGTGTTGAGTGGACTTAAACCCCATTTCTCTCTCTCTCTCTCAGAGTTATTTTCTGATTGACTTGAAACTAATACACAGTTTTCATGTTGTGAAACCTATTAAAACCTGTTAGTACAGCTAAATTGATCATTGTTATCGATACATGTTTTGTATAATAAAGGTTGCTATAGCATGTGGAACAACTAGATATTGTAAACTCCATTCCTTTAAAAAGTTTCTCATTCCTTAGTGATCATTCATATATGTAAAACTGTAATTTTACTATTTTATTTTCCAGAAAGTAACTCCAACAAAACCAATACAGAAGGACGTAATGGTGACTGAATCATGTGATGGTATTTTAACAGATATTCTGTCAGTGTCAGCTAATGTCAGTAAATCTACCAATGTGCCATCAGTATCCGTCGCTAATGTCAGTAATTCTAATAATGTTCCATCAGTATCCGTTGCTAATGTCAGTAATTCTAACAATGTTTCATCAGTATCCGCTAATGTCAGTAATTCTGACAGTATTCCTTCAGTGTCCACTAATGTTAGTAATTCTGACAATGTTCCATCAGTATCTGCAGATGTCAGTAATTCTAACAATATTCCATCAGTATCCATCAGTAATTCTAACAGTGATCATCAATATGCTGATGTCAGTAATTCTAACAATATTCCATTAGTATCTGTCAGTAATTCTAACAGTGATCATCAATATGCTGATGTCAGTAATTCTAACAATATTCCATTAGTATCTGTCAGTAATTCTAACAGTGATCATCAATATGCTATTGCTGACAGCCCTTGTAAATTAAAGAGACAGTTGGAAGAGACTATTGAGAAAATGAAAAGCTTGAAAAAAAGATTGAAACATTCCCAACAAGTGTCACGACGGGCTAAAAAGAAGTGCCAATATCTCTCCACGCTAGTTGAAGCTTTACAGCAGAAACCGTTGATCTTTTATAATTGTGCTTGAGAATACATTTTCTGGTTTATCATTAACTATTATAAAGAGATCTGAAAAATACTCCTTTGGTTTAGTATTTATTATCAATAACAATGGTAATAGTATTTATTATCAATAATAATGATGATTGAAACCCAGGTATTTATTATCAATATTAATCTATATAGATCAGTGCCTTGGCTACGTTATCTTTATAAAATATTATATTATGAAGTCGAGGCTCGTGTCTAAGGGTTGGAGGGTCTAGATCCCCCTCCCTGCTCATGCAGAGCCTATACAAGTGAGCCTAAGAGTGGGCCTATAAAAGAGTAAATTGGCTTCAAAAATGCCACAGACGTTACGAAATTTACCTCAATATTTTCTTGGGGAGAACTCCCCATGCCAACCCTGAGGCAGGGGCGTGGTAACCTGGGGCTAACTAAGTGAGAGGGACGCAATGACAAGCTTTGGGTCATGGTTTTTAGTTTTTGCACTCCCTCGCGATGTCAAAAAAATCATGCGGTTTTCAACATTATAATCCTAATCATAATGCTCAACCAGTGTCAAACATATACCATGGTTCAGGAGGAACAAGATCCAATCCGGACCCCCAAAGTACAATATTTATATGGCATACGCAATGTGGTGGGGGGGGGGCATTTCTGCTCACTGTTTCCGGTTTTAAAGTAACTAAGTCTCTAACTCAATATCATCAAAAATTTTCAATATTGAAAACAAGAATTATTTGTCAATTCAAATTAACATTGGTCTTGTGATCTTACAGAGGAAAAGATGGGCTTCTGATATCCAATATTCAAGACAAAATAAACATTTTAAAATGGGTACACGAATCGTGTAACATGATACGTTTCAGCACCATTTGGAACAAGGGACTCAAAGAACAGGGCTAGACATATTCCACAAGTCATGTCAAATGGTGACGCTATATTCTTATCTGGAGAGCATGCGCAATAAATACCATTGGTGTAGACGCTAAAGATTGCCATTCACATGAGACTTCTGGCATATTTCGCCGAACATAACTGATTAGAAATTACAGTAAAAATAAAAACGATTGAATGTAAATAAGTTTATATACATTCATATTACATTATTATATGCGTTGCGACTCATTTTTGTCAATTTCTAGATCCCAAATATTAGCGATTTAACTCCTTTAACGTCCACTCGACACAAACTAGATCATTTCGAGACTAACATGGTTCAAGTTTATTTCAATAATTCGCTGGCAAGTAGGGGTCTGTAGCTATGGGAGGAAACCGGATGACCAGGAGAAAACCCACGAGGTTGGACAGGCGACCCTACTCCTTGTTGTGTACAACCGGTGAATCGAAACCACACCAGTTGACTCAATAACAGACCTTATTATACAACGCGCGCGAGCTAACCATTCCCCTCCCCCCGGTTCCTTGTATAAGCAATCTCTGTGTCATTACATATTTTAATTTTTACCTCGTGGTGATGGCACCATTTTGGTTCTAAGCTCATTTGTAACCGAAACCAACCAATCGCTACCGAAATAAACTCTCTATGACGGCAATTTGTCGAGGTTCGCTGCGAATCCTGGGCGTGTTTTAGCCGTGGTAAAACATAATCAGACAATATATGATTTTCACGCTATCGTATAGTCAGATTAATTATTCAAAATTTAGTTAAGAAAACTCTATATACATCTATCGAATACTCACCGCAATATAGTTAGGGTTGGGAATACCAAAGTGTGCATTTCAAGGTCAGAGGTAAAGGTTGAACGTTTTAGGGTACCTGGCGGCCCTAGCCATCCTGCATCGCCACTCCCCGCCCGCCACGATCATAGCCGCCCCGTCTCGCTCCGACACCCCTAGCCATCCTGCATCGCCACGATCATAGTCGCCCCGTCTCGCTCCGACGCCCCTAGCCACCCTGCATCATCCCCTCCCCACTTGTCCCACCCCAAGCCGCCCTGCACTGCCCCTACCAGCACCTCTCCACCAAAAACCGCCTTACACCACCCCTCCCACCTGGAAACGTCATATACGGAAATATTTACAGCTTTATTTTATATGTCACCTTTTTTTTAAAAAAAACCCAAACAAACAAAAGAAACAAGAATTGGTTATACCCCATTTTGTTTCTGGTTATTTCTGAAATCTAACAAAAGCTCAACGATATTGTGTTTAATCAAATGATTGCATCAGATCTTTATGTCACGCGCCTGTTGTTAAACAAATTGACATGAACCAACCAATCAAATGATGCGAAATGAAATGGGGTTTAACATCCTAATGTGCTGCTCCGACAGGGTTAATGGAGACGGAGAGAAAAATGGGGTTTAACGTCCACTTGACACAAACTAGATCATTTCGGGACTAACATATGGTTTAATTTTATTTCAATAATTCGCTTGCGCGTAGAGGTCTCTAGCAGTGGGGGGAACCCGGAGGACCCAGAGAAAACCCACGAGGTTGGACAGGCGACCCTACTCCTTGTCACTACAACCGTAATGAAGACGGACATACGCCATGCAGTATTCATTATTTGATACTTGGTAATAGAAAAGAACCTATGACAACCTGCTTGCAATATCACCATCGCTGGAAGTGGACGTTATACACAAAGAAGAAGAAGAAGAACAACAACAACCTTGTGCAATCAAAGGTGCTTTTAATTTGAAAAAAAAAAATTGGTTCTTAAAATTACTCCAATCGATCAATTCTAAATTGAACGTTTACACTGGTTACTACTGAATTCATGGCATCACCTTTAAAGGAGCTGAACCTCTAATTCAGTAGTTTCCACAATATTTCAAATTAATAACAATAATTTTAATTCAATATGGGTCAATATTGATGCTACTATCTTGTCGTGAAATGTGGGATCCTAATATCCAATATTTAAGACGCATTGATCATTTTATAATCACTACACGAGTCGTGTATTCTATGGTTTCGGGCGCCATTTGTAATGAACAAAACAAAACATATGCTACAACAAGACAGTACAATGGCTGACTCAAAAAACATCAACAAAATAATAAAGAAAATGTTCCTACTGGACTAAAAACAGAAACTAACGAATGTCGTTTAATTTGAACTGTTCACATATTTCACCGAACATAATTGATTAGAAATTACAATAAAAAAATTAAAAATGAGACATAAATCATTCTATACCAATTCATATGACATTAATATATGCTTTTAGGCCGATTGTCGTGTATTTTAAAGTTGCAATGTCATATTTTTAATTTATATTTTTAAAATAAAGCCTAAAATAGATGGTATCTATAAACAGTCCTACCTTGTTAAAGACTAATCCTATTAATCCTATAATTCACTATTGCCAGTTGAGAAATTGGCAAAAATATCATTTTCATCTTCAAATTCCAACGTTTGAAGATAACTACTCCATGGTGGAGAATAGAAAACAAGGGCGGTAATTGGGAGGCAATTGAGTTATTATTTCCGGTGTAAATGAGTTTTAAGTGTGAGAATGACACCTATGATGGTATAATAGTGAGTTGACAACCTATTGAGCAAAAGACATAGAAATAATTATGTTTTAACTTTTTTAGAAAATATAAAATTGTAACTTTAAGGTTACTAGATATACGCCCTTTAAGTGTTTTAGACAAATACTGTATAATATCTCTGTAACCGTTCATTACATATTGCTTTGGATTACAGAGCGTCTACGGAGACATGTTAAAGTAGCTAAGTCTCTAACTCAATATCATCCAAAATCTTCAACATTGAAAACATGATTTATTTGTCAAATTAAATCAACATTCATGTTGTGATCTTACCGGAAAAAGATGGGCTTTTGATATCCAATATTTAAGACAAAATAAACATTTTACCATTGGTACACGAATCGTGTACCATAATGCGCTTCGGCCCCAGTTGTATCAAGAGACTCGAGGGACGAGGCTAGACACATTGCACCAAATCAAACAGCGTATGTAGACTGGAATAACCAGACGCTAGAAATTTGCACTCGCTTGAGACTGCTGGCTTATTTCGCCGAACATAACTGATTTGAAATTGGAGTAAAAACGGAAACCATTGAATGTAAATCAGTTTATATACATTCATATTACAGTATTATATGCGTTGCGACCCACTTTTGTCAATTTCTAGGTCCCAAATGTTAGCGATTTAGCTCCTTTAAGTGCTCTGGATTACAGAGTGTCTATAGAGAAATGTTGAATGCTCCGGATTACAGAGTTTCTAGAGACATGCTGAGTATCTTTTCCGGACAAAGATTTCTATCCGAGCTGCAGCAGCTTAAAGCATTCTTCGCCAGCTATCAGTCTTAAGACGAGTTACTTGCCCCTGAATCGGGTTCAGACTACTTAGTTTTAAATCTCGCCCACTTCGTCACAGTTTGATATTTAACGTTATTTTCCACGTTACAGGTGCCCGTAGCATGTGGTTGATGGTAATGCAACCATCGGACTTCGATTTATATTACAGCTAGCATCCATAGAATTATAAATTTAAGGAAAGTTGATCAGCTATTGATCTGAACAGTGTCTTGATACCTTCAAGATCCAGTTGCATATTGATTAAGTTTCATCCATAATTCATGATTATCATCTTTAAAAATATAAATTCTAATTTTCAGAAACATATTCTAAACATCACTGACTAATGGTGGATCTCGTACACGGCCTAATGTTAGATTCTTTTTATACATGTTTCCAATGAAGATTCTAGAGGAAGCCTCGGCAGTTTCAAAATAGTTATTTGTCCAGGCACGGTTCTGTGGAATGAGAGGACGGTTGGGATACATAGAGCGATTAATATTTATGTTTATATTTTTCTTCTTGATGCAGCGATAGATGTCGTAGAATATTAAAATAACAGCTGTGATTATTAGCAGGACTAGAAACAGGATCCAAATCCAATCAGGTCCCAAATCCATAGTTAAAGTCCAAGACGTTGAATACGTTAAAAGGCTATAGATTTATACACTAATGTCTAACAAGTCAGGACGCTAACACATTACAGTTAGTACACAAATCTGTAACAGTACAGCACGTTAAAACGCTATAGTTAGTACGCAAATTTGTAACAGTA